CGTGGCACTGAGAAAAAAATTAGGATATAATAGCTACGGATATAAATGAAAATTAAATTTCAAAATTAAACTACAAATTTAATTTTAAATATTAATCAACATTTTCTTTATTTCGAAAAACATATTTAGAAAATAAACATATTTAGTATTTAATCAAATAAAATATTTAGTTTGTATAACGAAAGTAAGTTATTTATTTAATGTAAAACTTTATTTTGTAATTTAAAATCAACGCTTCTATATATTTTAATTTTTTTGTCACACCGATAGAGAGAAAATCTGTTTTAAATTAATGAAAATGGTGAAAAATATTTATTTAAGAGTCCATGCTCGAGCTAAAAATTAACATATTTCTCATAAAATCATACTCACAAACTGTTACCAATATTTTTTCCAGTGCGATTCAGCCCGCTGTTACTGGACTCTGGGCAACATTTATCATTGAAATGTGGCGTGCGGTTTCTACGCAGTCGCAGCAGCAGCCGAGGATGCTTTGCGGCACCAAAACGAGCTCCCGAAACTCTCTTTTGACTTTGGCGGTTGCTTTGCATATATGCAGTGTGGCAGGGCTCAAGGGGTGGGCGCAGAGCGGCGGGGGGCGTGGCAGTTGGCTGATAAACTAGCCCCGATCCCTACCAGTCCAGTCCAGTCCAGTCAGTCGCGTAAGTCAGGCAGTCGAATGGCTATGGGCGCAGGAAAAATCAATTCATCGGCCTGAACTGAACAGATTTCCCTTTATCTCCGGCAGCCTCTAGCCTGTTCGTCTTGACTGGTCGGCTGATTTGCATATGTTTTGGTACTATACTTCCAGTACTTTGGTACTTTCGTGCTTGCGACAAAGGCCCTCATAATTGCTTGATTTAGCGACCCATTCAAGGCGAAGAGTCGGCGCCAACCGCATCCCAGTATCATCGCTCTCTGGCTATTTCTTGGTGTAAATTGTCGTCCGCAGATGCTACGTGTGGAGCTAGGCTTACACTAAGAAAAATCATAGGATTAATAATGCGATCACTTTCATATGTTAGCATAATAATTTGGGAAGCATCTCTTACTTAAAGATAATAGAATATATATTTCCCTTTTTGATAATATTACCTTCTTTGTGATAAATCTTAAAAATGAAGTAACTAATAATATTTTAATTAAATTCTCTGTGCAGATGCTTTTTGCGTTGTTTTTGCCTTTGCAGTGGGTGTCTTGGCGGTTTCTGTCGCGTAAATTGCCAAGCAATTCATAAATGTCAACGCGTCTCGTATGAAAAGTGGTAGCTGACTTCTGGAAGGGTGCAAAGTTGGAGGAGATTTATGAGTTTGCTTGGCTACTCGAATCGGTTGGGCAACAATTAGAAAAGGTTTAAAAAGTTAAGCTTACGTAATTTACTAAAGATCTCCATAATGCCACAAGAAATGTTAGATTTTGATTCAGATTCCGTTCTTACATATTTCGGAGTGTTCCATAAATTGTATTATGTCTCAATTTTCTTAGAAACATAATTTAATCCTATTAATATTCAAGTAAGAATAACATTTTGACTATTATTAAAAGGTAAACAACATAAGATTATCATAACTATCAATATTTTAAACAAATAATGAGATATCCTTAGAACGGTATACTTTTTCCGAAATCCCCTCGTCTGGTTTGTTTACTCCGTTCCAATCCTGTTGATTTCCAACTGTCCTCGTCTCGGCCTCCGATCAAAATATTTGCATAAGCAGAGGCCCGAATTACAGTTTAAGCCAGAAACCCCAAAAGCGGAGAGCAAAAGGCGAAAAAACAGAGTTGAGCAGCGTCATGTGCTCGGTTCAGATACAGATACTCGTACACCGAAGCCCAGGTCTTAAGACCCGCCGAAGACGACGACGACAGCAGGCACGCGCCCCGATCCCAAATCCAAAACTCAGGTAAAGGATGGCGAAAAAAAAGAGCAACAGCCAGGGAAAAAATCGAAAAAGGACCCAAAAATATGCAACTGTTGGGCGATCGGACGAATCGGGTGAATAACCCGCAGAGGTTCCTTTCGGAGAATCTCGATCTAGTGAAGCTTAGTTTATAATTTTGGACAGGAAAAAGCTGCTGCTTTTGCGAGATGGAAGATCTTATCGTATCTAATATCTGTGCGCGGGACTCGATCAAATTACAGTTCCGGTCAAGATTGAGCATTTGGTTCCGCTTTTGTTTCGGGGATGAAGACAATGCAGCAGGGGCAACCGTTAACGTTGAGTTAATGATTTGGCCCCGCTGCCTGCGCTTCAAGTGCAGCATATGGCATTATTCTTACTCCTCTTGCTGTGGCTTCAGCACAACTGACGCAGGATACGCAGGATACTTGGGATTGCAGTGCCGGCCTACCTACGATCGGTGTTTTGGGTCGGCTCACTTCCTATCCTCCACATGGGCCCGGCCATCTCTCGAATATGTAAAAAGATCAATCAAATATTGAGGTCCCTTCGCCGGGTTCAACTCTCCCTAGAAGGAATTCTACTCGTATCTAGATGCTCACTTGACTGTGGCGTTTTTTTTTTTTAGGTATTTATACCGTGTAATAATAGGAATTGGGGATCCCAGGGTGTGAATGCGGTATGATTGGTTGTATAAACTTAATAGGGAAAAGTGTTTTGGTGAGCAATTCATGTCCTATTTATAAAGCAATACAATATCATCATCATTCTTTTTGTAATTTGAAGGTTTGTTATAGTATAAATGAACAAATTAAATTTTATATTGATTTAATTTTGTGACTAGTGCTTTATATTTAAGTTAAAATGTAAACTTTAGCGCTAGGAAGATAAATAAATTAGAAGAGAGACAGATAAGAACCCACTTTATTAAATTCTAATGCCAGCAAAACTAATTTGGAATAAGTAATAGAATATTTTTTTTTATTATTAAAAATTCATTTTTACTTACTGATTATACTGCTTTTAGTATTAGGGGCATATTTATTTCTTTATATATTTAATTGAGAGCTTTATTTTTGAGGAACAAGTCCAAACTTTTTTGTTTTCCAGGTCATCGCCTAGTCTTATGCCTCCACAAGTCCTTTTTTTTCTCCTCCTGCTTAGCTGGCATTTTTTTCCGACTGCCGCTGCTGGTGTGCACCTGCTTTTCGAGCACAGGACGCGCGTCTTTTGACCGCAATCGTTGCCAGGGCTCGCCAGAAAAGCAAAACCAAATAAAATAGCGCTCTTACAAGCCAGGTCGCTTAACTGTTAAGCTTGGCGCGCTTACATAGCAGGGGATCGCACTTATGCTTTTTGTTTTTGCTTTTAAGACGGGACGAATACGAATTATCCTGCAGAGCGTGTGCCAAAAAAGCAACCGCAGCCCGCTGCTTTACACAAATCCCAAAGCCAAAACGAATCCGAGCTCGGCTCACTTCGTCCTGGGCTCAAACCACTTTCGTTTATTTTAATTTGGCTTGCGGTCAAGGGGATCGGGGCTTCGGGAGAACTGGCAGTCAGCCTGCTGCAATCTGACAAGAGCCTGCTGCATTTAATAACTGTTTTCGTTTTTGCCGCTGGTTTCTCATACTCTAACTTTTAATCAGAGTTACTATCTTAACAAAAGGGGGTTAAAAGGGATATTTTTGAATATTTTTACAAACAGGTTATTTATTTAATGTATCGTTAAGGTAAATCATATACTTTCAAACCTAAAAACTTTCATAGAAATATGAATCTGACTAGACTTGTTTAAAGTAATAAAATTACATTTTTAAAAGCATAACTTAATTGATTTTTAATAAACTTCTCTTGATTTTCTTGAAATTAAAAACGTGATACTAACATTAACTTAACTTTAACCCGGTTTGTATATTGTTTATACTGAAATACAATTAATTTTAATAACTCCAAGGTCTAAAAGTGTATTTAATACATCGGATTCTAACAGTTTCTGTCCCGTGCTGGTTTTTTATTTCCCTGCTCGTCTGCTTGGGCCTGTAAAACTGCCCCCCGAGTGCTCACGACCTGGACTTGGAACTCTTAGGACTCTATAGCGATCCCGTTTTGCGGTGCACGTGCCACCTTTTGCAGCTTGCCACGAGATGTTCACCGGTCGAGCTCTTATCTCGCAGAACAACGCGCCTCGGACTTAATTAATTTTTATTTATGTTAACGAGCCTTTGGCTTTTAGTTAAATCAAAGTATAGGGTCTACAGCGTGAACATCCCCTACTTAATCTGAACTCCAGGCATGTTGAGCCATTTGTTTGCAAAACGTCGCAAAGGGATTGATCTTCACTAGTTGAAAAGGTGTCCAGATCAAAAAGCAATATAAAGGTTTTCTCTCGCTCTCTTATTAGCAAATAAAATCATTTATTACTCTGAGTTAGTTTTTGTAGAAACTAAGTTTAGTACCGTGAACTATGGCTTTTACATTATTAACTAATTAAATTATAACGCTATTGGGGTTGTCACAGAAATATCTTAAAAAAACGATTCTTTTTGTGCATTGACGTATAAAAGTACAAAACGTTTTATTGGTTGGAAAAAATTTCCCAGAATAAGATAAAATTGTATGTTAATAATCTGATCAATTAGGATATTTTTTTCAATTCCCCATCAGAATATTCACTAAGGGATCATGCGTGCCTTTACTAATGTTTATTTTGTAATGTTTATTTTGTAAATATAATTCCAATTATATTTTTATTTCTTTGTATTTTAAAAGCCTTATTTAGCCCTTCTACTCATCTACACAAGTTGGCATGCATTTTACACGATAAATTGACACGCTCTAAACGCCAGCTAGTGGTGGTTTTATAGCATAGTTGATCAACAGGTGTCTGTGGATGTTTTTGTGAAACTCTACAGATCAGAGCATTAAAAAACATATTTTTAGGGTAACCCAGCTTGCAAAATTTTGATGTTTCCTTATTTCGATGGCTGCTACAAGTTAACCATTTATGTTTTAATTTACACAACATGAGTTTATAATCGTTTAATGCACCGCACAGGGAGTGTTATCACAGGCTATTTTCAATCACTCCCCGTACCACTACTCCACATAGGGCTGGATGTCGTGCCTCTGGCGGGCGGCCTCTGTTTCTGCCCCCACGGCGCAGGCCAGCAGTGAGTTGACCGTCTGCTCCTCGCCCGCCTTGTAGACGTAACCGTTGGCCTTGTCGATGTGGTTGCGCAGCCGCAGCATGCTGTCCGTGCTGAAGGCGTCCAGCAGTTGGAACGAAACAAGCGCGTAGTCCTCCACCATGGAGCAGATGGCGGCATTCAGTTTGCGATGTTTGCGCATGGTGGGATCATCGTCCAGCTTGTCCAACAGATACTTGAGGTCCAGGACGTCGGTGTAGTAGTCCACGTTGAAGTGCAGCTTGGCCTCGTGCTTCCGCAGCAGATCGGCCTTGGACAGGACATTCACGTGGGGCAGACTCATGCGCAGCATGGTATTCAAGGCCATCAGCAGGGTGGCAATGAACTTGGACGGCTCCGAGCAGTAATGCGAATCGATGAGGTTCACGGTGACCAGGCTGTAACGCTCCCGCTCCAAACGCTCGAAAACCCGCGCCATGGCGGTGTGATGGGTATAGAGCTCAATTTGCCCGGGACAATCGAAGAGGAAATAATTGTGGGTGGCGCCCAGTTTGCGCAGCGCCGGCAACAGCCAATCCTCCAGGTGATCGGCCAGATACTCGGCGCAGTGCATCAGGGCTCCGTTGGGACCCAGTTTCAGGTGCTCCATGCAATCCTCCACGGTGATTAGCTCCATCACACTGAGCACCGGTTCGTAGGACATGTTTTCGTTGGCGGGGTCCAGATTCACAACGCCCACCTGGCGGCCAAGTTCGCGGTAGAACTTGAGGGCCTCGGCGCAGTAGGTGGTCTTTCCGGAGCCAGGAGGTCCAATGATCAGCTGTCCGTAGCGGGGATTCTCCACCGTCGTCTGTGCCGGGAATCTTTGCAACATTTTTGCGATTTTTTAGATTTTTGCGGCAAATTGAAGAGCATAAAAAAATGTAAACAAAAAAATAGAGTGGCCAGAGCTAGGTCACCGATAAACGCCCTTAACAAATAACCCACATACACTGTTCAAAAATATACTTCTGTTATAGCAACTTGACATTTTTAAATAAATCAATTTTTTCATTAAAGATTTTATACGTTAATATTTATCATTGCCAACTTACAAAATGATAAACGTTAAAATTAAATAAAAAATAGAACTGTTGAAAATTTAAGGAACAGATTGATCCTTAGCTAAATTTTCGAACAATTTTTTATAACTGTTCTGTAAACATTAGTGAATTGTTGAAAATTTAACACAAAATTTAAGAAAAGGCATCTGACCCTTCTAAGAAATTTTTCTTGACGAATTTTCAGAGAGATGTCGGCTGTTGCTAATACTTTGAGGCCTACCGATTTGGTTTATTCCTTTTTAATTTGGTAGTTAATTGAGATGGTTAAATTAATCAAAATTCAATTTTTCAAAGAGTTTTTGCATTAGGGGGATTCCCTAAACTGTTGAATTGCTGAATTGTTGAATTTTGGTCAGCTGTTAATCAGCTGTTCCATTCAAAGTAAAATTTCAGAAATTTCAGCAATTCAACAGCCTCGGGGCTGCTGAAAAGAGGGATTCCTTAAACTGTTGATTGCTGAATTGTTGAAAATTCAACAAAATTTCAGAATTAAGGGAACGCCAAAATGGTTCCTGTTGAATTTTCAAACAGCTGTTATTTGTTGAAAAATTTGTTTTTTACGAAACTTAAAGCACGTAAAATTTGATTTTAAAAAATATGCTTTCTAAGTTGATTTTAAAATAAATAGTCTGGTTACTAAATGTGAGAGTTTGCCACGACTTTTAAAAAAGGTGACAACTCTGGCTTTTCAGCAATTCAACAAAATTTTCAGCAGCCCCGAGGCTGATGAATTGCTGAAATTTCTGAAAGTTGACTTTGTATGGAACAGCTGATTAACAGCTGACCAAATTCAACAATTCGCAATTCAACAGTTTAGGAATCCCCCTAAAATTTTGTTGAATTGTTGAAAAGAGAGTTGTACCTTTTTTAAAAGTCTGGCAACTCTGTAACATTTTATCACCAGTACGCATTATTAATTTTAAATCAACTTAGAATTTTTATAACTAGCAAAAATAAATCAAATTTTATGCTTTAGTTTCGTGAATTTTAACAAATAACAGTGCATTTTGGTCGTTCCTTAATTGCTGAAATTTTTTTTTTAATTTAATTTGGAATCCCTATTATATACTAGAAAGAACAGAATACCCTTAATACTTTTGCGTGGGCGGTTCTTAAAATACCAAACGGCGTTGGGCGGAATTGCACTGCCTCGCGAACTGGCCACACTGCAGAGAGAATAATTTTTCGGTGTTTTCATTTATCCGCGTAAACTCGCCTTGATTAGTAAACTTTCCTAGCAGCGAAGCACAGAGGAACCACCGCAATGGCTCAACCCCAACCACCGGCGTACGAAAACAGTGAGTTGGCATCCCACAGTGATAAACCGCGGCCTTAAACCCGCTCCCAATGGCAGTTAGTCGGCTGAGAGGGGGGATGAGTCAACAGGCGAAAACGGTAAAAGCAGAAAGCAAATCGCCGGAAGCGCCGTGATTATGACCATAAATGGGCATAGCTGCATATGAGAAAGACCTTTGGAGTTTAGGAGGAGGGGAAGGGGGAGGGGAGCCACCCTGGCGACCCCTGAAAAAAGAAGCCGCACCCTGTTTTCCACCCACTCCCTGCCGCTTTTTTGCCGGCCTTATCTTTGCAGCGCCCCCTTTCTAATCGAAATAATCACTCTACTTGCAGAAAACATCTACGCAACTCTGCCGCGCACCCAACGCGGCCAACCCATCGTCTTGGGTTCCGATCCCAAGGGCAAGAACTTCCTGTACACCAATGGCAACTCGGTGATCATCCGCAACATCGAGGTAAGATGATATATGCAGGGACTGCAGCAGCCTGATGCTCCTGCCATAAATCCATCGCGTTTTTTTTCCAAACGCTGTTTTATTTTTGGACAGCTGCTGCTGCAGTTTCTGCTGCCAGTTTGTGTTTCTGGCTTTCTGGCAGCTGTTCTATATTTATTTTTATATACGGCGCAAAAAACACAGAGATTCCCATTCCACAGGCCGACCGGCAAAATCAGCCATACCACACAGAGAAATTTCTTGTTTGCCGCCCACGCATCATCATTATGATGTTTTCATCTGGTAGAAGTGATTCTACAAAAGAGGCTATGATTGTCTGTTTTTCAACCGCAGAATCTGTAGATATTGTACTAAAATCCCCCAGTTCCATTGTCTTTTTTTTTTAGAAATTCGGTTATTAAGTTGACTTCTTTCATAAATCATTTTTGAGAGGTTTTTAACGTTTTACTATCCTTAGTAGCGCCAGTTCCAGAGTTTCTCACTAAAAAGTTGTAATCTTCTTAGAATCTGTAGATATTGTATTAAGAATCCCAAAGATCCATTGTGTTTCTCCAAAAAAAAAAAAGGTTATTTAGTTTAATTCTTTAAAAAAACGTTTTTGAGATGTCAATTACGTTTTACTATCCCTAGTAATACCAGTTCCACGTTTCTCACTATTAAGTTGTAATCATCTTAGAGATCTGTTCTGATTTCCTCCCAACCTTCTTTTTCTCTCACCAAAAATCCCCATTTACTTATTTATATTATTCATTATTCCACCAAAATCCATATTAAGTTGTTTCCTGATGGTAAAAGTGTTTCTAACATGCACTCTCTTTTCCCTTTCTTTGCCACCTTAGAACCCAGCCATCGCCGATGTCTACACGGAGCACTCGTGTGCAGTGAATGTGGCCAAGTACTCGCCCAGCGGCTTCTACATCGCTTCTGGCGGTAAGTCTCGCCCTGCAATTTCACACTTGGAGCACCCGACTTGGGGCAGCGGAGCATAAAGAATCGTGACCACCATGAGTCACGCCATGGCCAGCGATTAGCATTTCCCTATATGGAGCTGCTTTTGTTTTATCTTATCTGCGGTTTCGATTCGAGCAAAATTATTTCATTGCCTTTCCCTATTCTCTCCAACAGACGCCTCGGGCAAGATTCGCATTTGGGACACGGTCAACAAGGAGCACCTGCTGAAGAATGAGTTCCAGCCGATTGCAGGACCCATCAAGGACATTAGCTGGTCGCCGGACAACCAGCGCATCGTGGCTGTGGGTGAGGGACGCGAGCGATTCGGTCATGTCTTCATGTCTGAAACAGGCACCTCGGTGGGCGAGATCAGCGGCCAGTCCAAGTCCATAAACTCGGCGGACTTTCGGCCAGCCAGGCCTTTCCGCATTGTTACGGGTAAGTTTACTTGATAACCATTAGTGCCCTGCATGAATGGATTCAATAAATTATTTTGAATTTTTTGTTTTATATGAATTAGAATTTTGAGTTTAATAGAATTGAATGCATTTGAATTTTGAGTTTGAATTCCGAAATAATTCAAACGACAATTTCTTTTGATAAAGAAAGGGCCATATTTTGTGATTAAATCGGCCTGAATTTTATTTACCAAGCAGTTAACATTGATTTTTTAAAAATGTTCCGCTTTTTGTTTTCAAAAGAAAGCACAAAAAAAAATCTCTCAATTTCAAAAAAAATTCATAAAAATTATTCAATTCGAAATGAATTAGAAAAACATTCAATTTATTTCCATAGAATTGAATTAAACAAATCAGAAATTTCATGGCTTACTATGATAAAACAAAAATTGAATGATTCACGCAGGGCTCTAATAACCATAAAAGGGAATAAACTAATTCCAAAAATTCGTTTTTTGCAGGCAGCGAAGACAACACCGTGGCCGTTTTCGAGGGACCCCCGTTCAAGTTCAAGATGACCAAGCAGGATCACTCCCGTTTTGTCCAAGCTGTGCGCTACTCTCCCGACGGCAAGTTCTTCGCCTCGGCCGGTTTCGATGGCAAGGTCTTCCTGTACGACGGCACCAGCTCCGAACTGGTGGGCGAGTTCGGCTCGCCGGCCCACAAGGGCGGCGTTTACGCCTTGGCCTGGAAACCGGATGGCAGCCAGCTGCTGACCTGCTCGGGAGACAAGACCTGTCGCCTGTGGACAGTGGAATCGCGCGAGCTGGTTAGCGAGTTCGTGATGGGCACCACAGTGGATGACCAGCAAGTTTCTTGCCTGTGGCAGGGAGATAACCTGATCACCGTCTCGCTGTCGGGCGTGATTACCTACCTCAATGTCGCGGATCCCTCGAAGCCACTGCGCATTGTCAAGGGCCACAACAAGCCGATCACCGTGCTGGGGCTAAGCGACGATCGCAGCACCATTTACACCGGCAGCCACGACGGCGTGTTGACCAACTGGAATTCGGGCAGCGGCACCAACGATCGCATCACAGGCACCGGCCACGGGAACCAAATCAATGGCATTGCCGCCTGGGGCGACTTTGTCTACACTTGCGGCATCGACGACAGCCTGCGCCAGTTTAGCGTCGAGGGCAACACCTACACCGACTATGTGGTCAAGCTTAATTGCCAGCCGCGTGGTTTGGCCATTCTGCGCAGCGAGAACATCATTGCGCTGGCCTGCATCAAGGAGCTGACCCTCGTGCAGGACCAGAAGAAGATCTTCTCGCTGCCCATCAAGTACGAGGCCAGTTCGATTGCCGTCAATGCGGATACATCCGATGTGGCTGTCGGCGGCGATGATCAGAAGCTGCACATCTACAGCCTGAAGGGCGGAGTGCTGGAGCCCAAGGTGGAGCTGGATCATCTGGGCGCCGTCACGGATGTTTCGTACTCGCCGGACTTGAAGTATCTGGTCGCTTGCGATGCCCATCGCAAGGTGGTGCTCTACTCGGTGGAGGAGTACAAGGTATTGTAGTAATATTACTATTTAAATTCCTTTACTAATTTAATTTATTTTCATAGCCTGCCCACAACAAGGAGTGGGGCTTCCACAGTGCTCGCGTGAATACGGTGGCCTGGTCGCCCAATTCGCTGTTGGTGGCCAGTGGTTCGCTGGACACCACCATCATTATCTGGTCCGTGGCCAACCCGGCCAAGCACACCATCATCAAGAGTGAGTTTTTAAGAAGACGATCCAATTTAACTAGTTTATGACCTTATTTTCTGTGCATTGCAGATGCCCATCCGCAGTCGCAGATCACTCGGTTAGTCTGGCTGGACAACAACACTGTGATCTCCACCGGACAGGACTGCAACACCAAAGTGTGGCATGTGGAAAGCATCTAAGTGGCCCAGCCGTGAAGCATATTTTTATACTTATCCAGGGAGAGCAGCCAGCCGCGCCCTGGCTTCATTTCATTTAAGTGCAAGAGTTTACATTTAGCTATTTATGTCTTTATCCCGCCCTCATGTCATGTCTTTAAGTTTAAGCCCAAAGTGTTTGCTAATCATCATATCATGGATATCCAACTATTTTGCTCCGCTATCATTTGCCTCTGTGTTTTTCTAACACGTTTTTTATACCTACTACTGGAACTACGAACTACGAAAGGAAACACAAACAAAGATATGTAAAGTACGCCAGCGTACATAAATTATTGTATTATGAAATGAAATATACTAGTTTTTGCATAGCTTGCAGCCTCCTTTCCTTTTGGTTGTCGATCGGGAATCAGCTAAACACGCACAGTATCTTTGGCTTCTTAAACATTTATTCCTTTTAAAATTGTTTTTTGTGTATTTGTTTTTTTGGTTTTGGATTGGTAGGTCTTCACCCTGTCTTTTTGTGTGCAAGTGTGTGTGCGTGTTCAGGTGTATAATTACAATATTTATAAAAACTTGGCTTAGTTTACTAGAATGTGTGGACGTGTGTGCTTGTGAGAGAGCGTGATAGCGACAGGTAAGTGTTTGTAACTTGCAGTTTGTAGATTGCAGTTTGAGAGCCTCGGAGGTTGCTACAGTTTGAGAAATAATAAACGTAAATTGTGCTAAAAGTAAGTACATAAATTTAAGATAGCTAGAAAGGCGCTCGCATGTGTTTGTGTGCAGAAGACGAAAAACGAATTGCGCTAATTATCACAGCCGGGTCTAAGACGTTGGTTTTGGTGGGGCTAAAAGATGGCATATGAGTGTTGGGCAAGGGTGATTTCTTAAATTTCTTGACCCTTGGCCTTCGTTTTAATTTTCGATCAAATCCAAAAAAAAAAAAATATATTTAAAGAAAAAGTTTAAAAAGAGGTTTAAATAGTTATACAAAAACTGTGGTTCGAAAATCTTTTTTTTTTATGAATATGATTTTTGAAATATTCCCAAAAATTAGTTTTAGGATTTTTTAAAACTGTTTTAAAAGAGATTAAATTTTAGTCAAAGACAAATTTAAAAAAAATTAAAATATATTTAAAGCAAAAGATTAAAAAGAGGTTTAAATTGTACTACAAAAACTGTGGTTTGGAAATCTTTTTATTTTTTTCATGAATATAATTTTCGAAATATCCGAAAAAATAGTTTTACGATTTTTTAAAACTTTAAAAAGAGATTAAATTTTAGTCAAAGATAAATTAGTTTATATATGTTAGACTTTTATATGCTCGGATCCTGAGGATCCTAAGAACATTTTGGTATGTGGTATTAAAATTTTTAAATTTAACGATTCAGATTTCTATAGATTTGATCGGAATCTAAATCGATGCCTCAGGTAAGAATTTTCTTTTTTTAACTCACTCATGACTCAACCCAACACTATTGAATATGCGTGTGCGTGGGTGGGGGTGTTTCTTGTGTCTGTGTGCGTGTCTGTGTGGTGTGTTGAACAAATCAAAAACATTTGAAAACATTATCCTCAGGTGGTCGCCGTCGAGGTCTCCACACCTGTCGCCTCCCCGTTGCTGGCCGCCGATGGCTCCCGTTCGCTCTTGATGACCGTCGGCGCCTCGTGGGCCAAGTCCAGCGATGGCTGGCCAGAAGCTGGCGAGGATTCGGCCACAGCCACGGCGGCTGCGGCAGCCGCCATCTGAAATTGGTTGGGCAGGAAGAGGTACGGATTCCTCGCCTCCTGACCCGAACATCCAATGGCCGTCGCCGGAGCTGGACCCACCTCCCCGCTGGTCACCGTGTGACTGGCCACCAGGGGCATGGGAGTTGGAGTGGCCCCCGATGGTAAGGTGGTGGCCGCCGTCAGCTTGGAGACCCTCTTCCTCCGCGCCTCGTTCTCACATGGCGATGGCGCCCCCGGATGACGGTAGCTGACGTGCTTGCGCAGGGCATCCTTGCTGCGGGACACATGGGAGCAGACATTGCAAGCGTACCTGGGGAGATAATAACAAAGATTTTTATGATATAATATTTTTAAATAGAATACGAAAAGCTTTTCTTTACTCAAAATATTTTAAATGGAGATCTTAATCCTAGAAGTATTATTACGTAATTTTAATTTAACATTTGGAGTTTATTACCTAACTTTAAATTTGAAAAACAACGTCAAAAAATTTGTTTCTATGATTTTTTTTTTTTATTTTTTTAAAGACTGAAATCGAGCCTGAAGCTCACCATTTATTTTTTGGCGTAAGTACTTAACCCAACAAGTCAACAAATTAAATTTTTTACTTGTTTTTCATATGAAGGTTTAAATAAGCTTATTTAATAATTTAAAACCTACTTATATAGATACTCTTTGTCTTTTTTTTTTTTTTTAATATCTACCAATTTTTTGTAAGTTTATTTAAATAAGATAATAAAAAAAATAATAAAAATGAAATAAATGAATAAATAAAAAAAAAAAAATAAAATAAATGAAAATATAAAAAAAAAAATAAAAATAAAATAATAAAAAAAAAAAAAATAAATAAAAATAAAAAAAAAAATAAAATAAAAAAAAAAAAGTAAAATAAAATATTAAAATTTCGGATTTGACAAATAAATGATATTAAAGCTCTAAAAATTGCTACTTCTGATCATTTTGAACCCCATAACACAACTTCATACATAACCTATCATAACCATTGTGCACTCCATGGACTCTTCCTACAATTTAGTTTTGTTTTTAATGAACGACTCACCGCACATTCTGATGGGTTTCGAGGTGGACGCGCAGGTTGTACTGGTTGCTCAGCTGCTTGTGGCAGATGAAGCAGGTGGCGTAGAGCTTCGAGTTGGACGGCGGCTTGATGGGTGCGGTGGCCAGCGATTTGTCGCGGTCGGCGCTCAGCGAGAGCAGATTGGGCTCCGACTTGGCGCTGACCAGCGCCATTCCGCTGGCGGCCGCAGCGGCAGCAGCCGCCTCCCTTTGATACTGCTCGATGTGGAGCTGCAGCTTGGCGTGATCCTCGGCGGAGATGTAGGGCGTGGGTCCAGGCTGTGGGTGGTGGTGCTGCTGCTGCTGCTGGTGGTGGTGGTGGTGGTGCATCTGGGCCGCCTGCTGGGCGGACGTGGGCGTGGCAGCGGCACTATAAAGCGGCGCCTTGCTGCTGTACAGTTGAGCCTGGGTGCCAAGGTTACTCGGGTAGCTGGCCGACGAGCACTTGACCACCGGCAGCTGGGGCGAAAAGTGGGCCATGGTCGGCGGAGCGAGGGTGACGGGTGAGGTGGCCACAATGGGATTCGGGACGGAGCACTCCGGCGGCGACTTGCTGCTGTTGCTGTTAGCGGTCGACGAGGTCTTAGGGTTCTTGGCCAAACTCTTCTCCAGACGTCGCAGCTCCTTGGGCGGACTCTCGCCCTTCAGCCGCTTGGAGCCGAAGCAGTCGGCCGCCTCCAGCAGTCCCTGATCCTCCTGCATTCCGCTCTGGTACAGCTGGTACTTGGCCAGCAGCTCCGTCGTCTTGTTGAGGGCCGTTTGCGAGAAGTTGAGCGGTTGGGGCAGCAGACTGGGGTAGAACTGCAGCGACTTGAAGAGATTCTCCAGCGGGGTGGTGCCCAATCCACTTGCCGCCCCCACGGAGCCCAGTTTGTTGGCCAAAAGGGGCGTGCTTAGCGCCGGACTGGTCAATTGGGGCAGGGGGAGGGGCAGGCTGGGAGTGGGCGTGTGGGAGGGCGTGAGGGTGGGCGTGGCCGAGGGAGAGGGCGTGCTGGGACGCTCAAACTCAGAGGACTTGTCATTGGCCGCGTCCATGTAGGAGCCTCCACTCCTCGCTGTCTTCGGTAGCTGTTGGGATTTGTGAGATCAGAAATTAGTTTAAGATTAAATAGGAAAAATACTGGTAAATATTCTTATTAAAAATATATATTATATATTTTTTATTTATTTATTTATTTTTTTTTTTTTATTTATTTAAAGTTAGTAAATATCTGCCAACATAAACATAGTACCCTACTCACATAAAGTGGGAGGGGGCAAGGACAGGTAAGTTAGGATGTTTGTTACAATTAAATTAACAGAGCATTCCGAAAAGAGAAGAGAACAAAAGACTAAATTTTAGATTATAGTAGTGTTAAAGATCAACAGAAATATGTAAAAGATTCATTGTACCCACAATATCTTAAGATTTCATTACAATAGATAATATTTTGATACTTAAATATCGTTAAAAAAGAATTAACCTTGAGAAAATAAATTAATTTGTGTTTCTGTGTTATCGCTCATTATTTTGTTATTTTAATATTTTTTATTAGTTTTTTTTTTTGTTCTTATAGATAACCTTTTTAAAGACTCACGTTGTTGTTCTGGACATCGGCCAGTCCCTTGATGCCCAGCGTCTCGGCCAGATTGAGCAGCATGGGGATCTGCTCCTCGTAGACATTCACCTCGCCGGAGTACATGAAGGTGAGCAGCGAGACGATGGCCCCGAAGCTGGCTCCGGGTATGATGATGACGGGGTGGTTGCTGGCCTCCAGGGCCCGGAAGATGTCCATAAAGAAGCTGCTGCAGGCACTCAACACCACGCGGTGGGCTTTTAACTGCCGACCCTCCGCCGAGATGGTCACATCCGTGAGATGGGATTGGTCCAGCAGAATGGGCAGGGTGCTGAGCAAACTGGTCTGGAAGGGAAGAAGAAGTGAAAAGTGGGTCAGACGATCATAAAAATATACAATTTTCCTGGGCACAAAGATGGGATGGGAATGGGTGTTCGCCTGCAGCTGCTTTCCAACTTTTCGATTTACTCTCTCTGTGGAAATTCTTTGGATTTTGGCAATTGCACGAATCTGTTCACTTATGTGACACACACACACACCACCACCACCCGGGAATCTTTTGCTATTTTGGACAGCCCAGTCAGCCCCGCTCGTTCCACCCTTTTGGGCCGCCTTAGTAAGCATCGGAAAACAGAAAAATTGTCACTATATGAAAATGCGGAAAACTATGTGTGAATCGGTACGTATACGGGGATGGATGGATCCTATATATAGACAGGGCGACATTTCGCTTGGCTCGCTCGTTCGCTTCACTGAACGATGTCCAGAGTCCAGATCTTTTCGGCTTACTTACACAGAAAAAAAATTGACAAGAGATCAGATTAAAATGTGCAGGTTAATTTGATATTTTTAAAAAATCAAGATCATTTTGATATGAATAAAGATTATGTTTATCTTATTTTACTAGAATTGGTATTTTAAAACAGTGTTTTTATAACTTTTATGAAATTATAAAATATCAAGTTGACATGTTTGAATCATCAATTTGACATTAATCATAGAAATGACTCTATTTCATATTGCATTTTTTTTTGTGTATGTGGCTAGCTAAGCTATGTCGAACATAACTCATCTTATAAGCCCCTCAATGATATTTGTTTAGATTATAGCTGGAGGACCTCACCTGATGATTGTGCCATCGCAGACAGAATTGCTGCTGGTTGTCATTGTGGGGCAGCTGCTGATCGAAATGATGGTGCTGCGTTTGTCTGGCATTAGTGCTATTTACATGTTCCATAATTCATCGGCTCTTGGATCACATGGACCGACCAGCTGAAAGGAAGGGGGGAAATGTGCAATTATTATTATTTTCATACGTCGTGGAGGTAAACAAATTCTTTTCGCCTTGTCCCCAGCCCACTTGGCTTCTTTGTTGTCGTTTCCCATAATTTGTTTGTTTGCCTTTCGGTTTGTTTATTTATTGAGCGTTTTGTCACACACACTTTTCGTTTCGTTTTATTCGGCTGTTCGGCTCTTCTTGGCTAGAGGACTAGAAGAGCGTCTGCACCACGAGGCGTATACGTATTATGTCGTAGCAGTTGGCTTATTACTCATACGCCCAGTGGGGGGTGGGAAATCTGGGGGGCCGGGGAAATGGCATAATTTGATATAATGACAGCTTGATCCATCTTTAGATGGCCGCTCCTCCAAGGCGTCCACTTCGCTGATCTTGTTGACCAAGTCAACGGGTCTCGGGAAACCGATTTACTCGGCCATTTCGTTGAGTGCCCAGTTGACGAATCGGAATTACAATAAAACCGCACACACGCACACTCACACACACACGCCGTGTTATTTGTGTTCTTTCTGCTGGCAATTAAACTAAATTTATTTAAATAAAATAAGTTTTCCTTGGCTGGCCTGGCCTGGGCGATCTGATCGCTGTGGGTTTCTGGGTGCGCTATAAATTTGGCAATTTCCATTGTTCGTGTATGTGGATGCACTGGGCGGTTAGTTGGTTGGTTCACACTTTTGTCCGAGGGCTATTTTTATAAGAAATGCTAGACCAAGATTTTGGGGATTTCTCGGTCTATGCTGCTGCTGCCGACCATTGGAGGCCCCCCAAAAACAGCCCCAACGGCCAATGCAAATCCGCAGCGAAGTGACAAGTCTTCTTTTTGTTTTTTCTTGTTTTCCCTCTTTGCATTTCAGCATTTCAGCATTTCAGCTAGCCCAGCGTGCAATTGTTGGACGACGGAATTTTCTTCATTCCATTATGTGTGCACATGGGGCTGAGAATCGCATCTAAGCATTTGCTCTATTGAGAGACGATGGATGTTGGATGGTGGAGGTTGCCTTGCCTTGCACAATGGATGCCTGGGAATTGGGATTGGTTGGGAGAATGGATGGGCAGGGGGATGGATCGGTGCGGCCTTTTTGGCGCTCGTTCACACAAGAAAGTGTTGTCGTGACAGGCAAGGCAGCCTTCTTTTCCGTAACTCTTTGGTATTTCGCTCAGTTTTTACTTGACTTTCCGAAATTAGTTTTTCAGCCTTTCGGCTACCCTCGATCTTCTCCGTCATCTCCGTCCTCTGGCTGTTGTTTTAAATAGCCATCCAAAAAATAAAGATCTGTGCTAAACGCTCTCGCCAGGCTGTCTATTTTGATTTGTTGTCCAAGTGCCAGCCTTTTGTCATCCGCGGCAATTCATTCCAAAGCACCAGCAATCGTTTTCATTTCGATTTTAGTACGTTTCGTTGGTATTCCGTTGATGCGTAATATTTTACACATAATCACTCATACGCCTCGTTGGTGGAACTGAATTCTTAAGCCTTAACTTTCATTTGTTCCATGAAATGTGGGCGCCCATAAATTCGATGTCAACGCCGCTTTTTTCGAGAGGTAGCTAAATTTCATTATAGAATTCGCACCATCAGCTATATCGGCTAAATGTGGCTGTGAATCACGCATAATCCAGTGGCCCAGCATATCTGCCCCTGGGGGAGTCTAATAATAGAGCTCTGCGGCCAGGCTAACCCTTCTGGCCGATCGAGGATCTCGAAAGACCACTTCTTTAGTGCTAATGGAATGCTCGTGCCGATCATCAAATGATATTTCTCCTCTTCGCATGTTTTATGTGGTGTTTTTTATGGCTCGCGTTTAGAGAAACCCCTTTTGATCTGCCGACGAACGAGGTTACACAATTTACTAATTTACTTGAACAAGTTAATCACTTGGTTTTCTCTTTCTCTTCAAACAGAATCCTTCACATTCTTGTTTTATTTCTTGTGTGTTTTTCACACACTTTCCCCGCGCCCGTTACGAATTTTCCCTTTATGCGATTTTCGCGGCGGGACGAGCGCGCACCTTTGTTAACCGTTTGCTGCTCGCATCTGAAATGAAAAAATCCGAAAATGTTTCAATTCTTTCGGTTTAGTTGGAGATTTTCTATTTTTCGAATGTCCATCTCTTGACAATTTTCCTCTATCTCGTGTTGCTGTTGCTTTTGCTGCCGTTGGTGTTGCTGTTGCTGTTGGCCCAAATGTTGTTGCTGGTGCTAGTGCCATTTGTTTAGCGGATTCGAATTTGGCTCTCAGCATGTCGGGCGGATCCGTTTGTCGCCCGATTCCATGTTCTTTAATTAATGAGCAGCCTGGCAGCCCCGGCGGCCAGCGAAGAGAAATCTCATCGGTTTTGTACTCGCGATCTCGCCACTTGGCCAAAAATTAATTGGCTGCCCCGCAGTTAGTTAATCAAAACATTTGCCAGTGAGGGCTTCCTCATCATCATCATCATTATCATCTTCATCGTCGTCTTCAGGAACTGCACCTCTAGACACAATTGACATGGGATTTCGTTGCTGCTACGTGTGCATTATTAATTTGCAATAAAATGTGGAAGCAGAGACAGCAGTTGCCGCCGCTCGAAAATTGCCCGCCGAAAATAAATTCATACCTGCGCGTTGGATTTTGAATTATGCCTGACAAATACAAATGGAATCGCCAGATGGAGACGCCCGTTGGTCATCGGGCACCCAGCACTTAGAGCACCCAGCACCTTCATTATGCACTTTTTCAATTCATTAAAATGCCACAAATACTTATTTATTATTGTCATATGTGCGCACCTCGATTTGGGTTAGCAGCGTCGCCGCTTGGAGGCTGCAAATATCCCAACAGAAATAAACCCCTTTCATAAAGAAAATTCCTTATATAAATCTATAGTCTATATGATAATACACGGTACCACAAAAAGGGTTCATTGAAAAATGCAATTTGGGAAAGAAATAAGAAGGAATTTAAATGTGTAAAAATTAAAAAACTTTTTTAATTATTAAAATAATAAATATAAATTTATTATATAAATCTAGAATAAATATAAAGGTATTATCTAGAACTAGGAGCTAAAACTAAAGCACTGAGCCTCGGCCAACGGCTTGCATTGCTTTGTGGAATAATCCCAGCCATATTTGTAAGGACATCGCACGATAGTCAGATAGCCACTGAGGCACCTGTAGAAGTACTCGCAGCGCTGGGGATGAGGATGATCACCATCTCCGGATGAATCGCAGTGTGGCCTGTCCGTAGAAGTTGGAGAAGATGGTTTGGGAGCTGGCGAAGATGTCTGAGGAGCTGGAGAGGGTGGGGAAGATTCTGCAGAGGGTGTAGAAATAACCGAAGAAGGCGTAGAAATATCTGAAGACGATGTGGAAGAATCTGTAGAGGTTGTCGAGGCATATTGAGCAGGTGGAGTGGGAGATGGAGTGGTGCTACTGTTTCTGTCCTCCTCCTCCTCTTCCTCAGTAAACTGCTGATTTGGTTCCTCCTCCGTTAAGCCAGAAACAGAGTTCCTGAGACAGACGCCCTCATCATCGAAGGCGCACTCCTGGGTCCGGTCGTCAAAGTAGGTGGACTCCGGACAACTATCCCGGAAGGAATCCTCTCCATTGCAATAAATGTACGAAGCACAGTCGTCAATTGCCATGACAAAGGTATCGAAAGCTGCATTTGCACACTGCGGAAACTGTTCGCCTTGGATAAAGGAAAGGCATCCTGTGAGGAGCAGCAGAGCGAAGCCAAGATTCTACTTTGAGTGGCATGGTGATGGTCGGTTGGTTTACTTGATTGATGGAGTCGAAGTTAGTAGACCTCTTTTTATGGCAATTTTCAAGGTTGACTGCGAAACTCTTATCTTCATTCTTGTAGCTGTTATCAAGCAAAGAAATGTTGCCAATTTTTTGTATCTTTTTAGCTTGTAAATATGTCAAGGCCGTGCATTGACTTTCTTGTTTTGATAAAGCAACGATCACTCAAAAATTTGGTTTATACTCTTTCAAAGGGCAGTATTCCTTATTTAAAATACCTTAATAATAATAACCGTAATAATAACACATCATAACTAAAGATTACACTGTGCAGCATTTTTAGTGCTTTTTAAATTTACCTCGATGGATGCTATATTTTTGGATTCGTTACGAATTCCCAAGTTAAACTGCGTTTTCCAAAAAGTTCCCCGACGCAAGGATTCTTGAAAAGAACCTCAAAGTTCGAAAATGCTGAAATTGGCCAACTTTGCGGAGCTCTCAGAGGCAAATGGATGCATGGTTTGATTTATCTTTTAAACCCCATACTTAAAAATTTTTAAGATTTTTTTAAGGCAGAAACAAATTCTAGAAAACATAGTCAAAAAACATAAAGTATACAGCTGCGGTCAAAATGGTAGTAGTGTTGCCGCCCTGCGTATTTAAAAGTTTGTTGTTGTAATTGATCTTTTCCTGGTAATATTGTATTGATTATAATTTTACTATTAGACTAATTGGATAAGAAAAATTACAACATCAACTTTTAAAAACACAAGGCGGCGACACTGCTACTATTTTGACCGCAGCTGTATGTTTTTCAGTTTTTTAACTATGTTTTTGGAATTTATTTCTGCCTTAAAAAATCCTAAAATTATTTTATGTATGGGGTTTGTAAGATAAAGGGTGTATCTTTTAAAAACTTTAACTTCGAACCAAGCCATGCATCCAGATGCCTCTGAGAGCTCCGGAAAGTTGGTCAATTTCAGCATTTTTCGAACTTTGAGGTCCTTTTGCTAAGAATCCTTGCGTCGGGGAACTCTTTGGAAAACGCAGTTTAACTTGGGAATTCGTAACGAATCCAAAAATATAGCATTCATCAAGGTTAATTTTTGATGCTGCATAGTGTTATTGAAAAATTCTTATCATTTACTTACATCAAGTATAAATAAAATTTTTATTTTTTAAAATACCTTTTTTTTAATTTAGTTTAATTTACAATGCCTAATTTGTAACAGTTATTTGTGATTTTTATTTTAAAAGGCCTACTGAGATTTGTACAAGTTTTAATCAACAATTTAACTGGTTTTTATGCACTTTATAGACATGAACAAATAACAGTTAATTTGCTTTCCAGATTTGTTGAAATGCATATACTTTGTGGACAAGAGTAAAAAGAACGTTATTTTTGACGTTTAAAACCAAATATCACAGTAGTCTTTTTAAAATAAAAATCACAAATAACTGTTATTTACGGTCCCTGTTAATTTGTGAAGCAAAAAATAATCTAAAATTTTATATTCTTTTTCCCAAATACTCTAATCGGCATTTACAATCTATTACAAAGACTATCTTTAAGAACTTGATACTTTTGGGAATTAAATTGAATTCAAACTCTGGTGTCAGGGCTAATTTTTGTTTTTATTATTTTCGTTTACACTTTCTGATAAGCAAGTGTTGCACAATTGTTCTCCTGTTTCAAGTACACTTTCTCCAGAAGAAGCATGCTGAGATCGTGGTCCACCACATCCAATTGCTGCTCCAATTTCCTCTTGAGATTGCGCACGCGCAAAGTGCCCATTGAAAGTGGCAATCGATTGTACTCGGCAATTAATTGGTTTTTCTGTTTATTGGCAGCATCCAAGAGTTCCCTGCGCTGTTCGCTGGAAAGCAGGATTGGCTGGATGTCCGGCTGCTTCTCCAGCTCCTTCTGATGTTCCACTCGCTCTTGGACCTCCACTTCTTGAGGTTGAACCTCTACCACAGACAGCTTCTCGCAGGACGCTTGCGAGTGGACACTCAGCACATCCTCCGGATCCACATCCACCATCTCCGGAATATCCATTTGCCGGACTCTGGGAGTACTCGTCCTGGAGGAGAGGGATGTCTCGTCATCTTGTTTTTCGATAGAGGAGCAACTGTGGTCCAATCCGCTGGGCAAAATGCCGAAATCGCTGGCTAACGGCCGGTGCCCCAGTTGGTAGCCATCGCGTTGTTCCGGCATTCTGCCCAGCTCGAAATTGGACGCAGTGCGTCGCAGATGACGTAGTCCTTCGCCAGGGAACACTGGATCGTCGCCCTCGCTGCGGGATTGCAACTGGGATTGGCTCTTCTCCGAGCACTTGAGCAAAGCGGCACTGAGAAACCGCTCGTCGCTAATGTCCTCCGTTTGGCTTTGTTTCTCGGAGAGCTTCCGTCGAACGGGGATGTTTCTTTTGGGCTGATTACATGTTCCACCCTTCAAACGTCGCTGGGTTTCGGTTAATACAAGTTTAACTGGTCCGTAGCATCTGGCCGTTGAGGCGACCGTGGGCATCTGGTAGTTGGGAGTCGCCTGGCTCACCATCATCCGGTTTTCTCGCAGGAAGTTGCGCATTATGACCATCAAAACCAAACAAAACAGGAGATGCAAAAACAAAAAAAAACAAATATAAAAACAGTGAACGTGGGGGAATTGTTTTGGGGCTACAAAATTTAACTGGAAAATTGTATTAAATTTATCGCACAATGAAGCTTCATGCAAAATGGGGTGTGATCTGTTTTACGAATATGGTTAAAACAATTTGTTCAGCAAAAGCATGGAATAAATCCATTAAAGAAAGATTTTTATCCGTTGTAGATGTTTGTAAAAGCTTTATTGTTTAAAATTACATAAAATATTAAGAAATCGGGAATTGCAGCATTTTTAAAAATTTTTGCTATTATAATTTTACAATAAATTGATTCAATTCAACCCATTTTTATTATTAATTTAATTTAAATAATGTCATTTAATTAAGTATGCAAATATTTTAACAAACTGTTGGTACACACACATCACTTTAACTGATCGAAGGCCTGACGGAGCATTTGATTGCAGAGAGCTGCAAAGGGATTGATTTCCACAAGCTGAAAAATATGGCGGTGTTATATAGAAATATTATAGAACAGAATATTATATAAAAAACTTGACCACAGATTCTAAATTTAACATAAAAAGTGCAATAGAATTTAAAAATAAGGTTAATGACGCATATATAACAGATGACGAAAAAATGGTGTCCTTCGATGTAGTTTCGTTGTTTCCCAGCATACCGACTGGCTTAGCACTAACAGTAATACAGTCCAAATGGAAAGACATACAAGAACACACAAAAATCCCAAAAACATTATTCATGGACATTTTAAGCTTCTGCATTACAGAAAACAGATATTTTAAGTGGGAAAATGATATATACACACAATTGAAAGGACTTCCCATGGGATCTCCTGCATCACCAATAATAGCAGACATTATTATGGAGGAAATTCTTAAACCAATTGAACAAACAAAATTCCTTACCAAATACGTTGATGATCTCTTCGCTATTGTAAAGGAAACGGAAATACAGAATACATTAAAAATATTAAACACATATCATAAAGACGTACAATTTACGATTGAAATAGAAAATGACAACAAACTTCCCTTCCTAGACGCATGTGCACACCGGATCAACAACCAAATAAAATTAAACTGGTACAAAAAGCCTATCGCCTCAGGACGAATAATTAGCTACTACTCAAAACACCCACGAAATGTTATAATAAACACAGCACAGAATCTAGCCAACCGGATTATTAATACAAGTGACAAAATTTTCCACGAAGATAATAAAATAGTTATAAAAAACATTTTAAGTAAGAATGATTTTCCACTGAAGGTTATTCATCAAATAATTAAAAATATTAACCAGAAACACAAACATCCAGAATTACAAGAAAACAAAACATACAAATCCTTTATATACATTCCTAGATTCTCCGAACGCCTTACCTTATCAAACATTTATGACCGTGACAAAATTCAATTAGCTTATAAACCTACAAAAACAATGGCATCAATATTTAGCAATATGAAAAGCAAAATTGAAATATTCGATAAACACAATATTATTTATAAAATTCCGTGTGCTGGTAACGGCTCAGAAAACTGCAATAAAATATATATTGGAACAACTAAAGCCAAACTAAAAACAAGAATAGCGGGCCACAAATCCGACATAAAAAACAACAATAATTCAAATATGCCAAAAACAGCACTTGCAGCCCACTGTGCGAGCGAACGACACTTGCCCAATTTCGATGAAGCGGGTGTGGTACAACAAGAACAACATTACAAGAAACGGTTCACACTAGAAATGCTGCACATCATCAACATACCGACAAACATTCGACTTAATTTCAAGACAGACACAGAAAACGTCGCACATATATACAGACACTTACTGGACAAACAAAAATACGTAGGTTAGTTACTCTCTTGACTCCGCGGCAGACGCTCGTTTTTTCGTTTTTTTGTCGCGTAACAAAAAATTGTATGTATTTTTTGTAACATTAGTTTTATACGTTGTTTATAATTTGCGTGTTGTTGCTAGCCCCTGAAGACGGACTCCGATGCGGGACCGAAATATATTGGGAAAAATTGGAAACAAAAACTGTGTTTTATTACATGGATCCATGACCTTGAGCCAGCCAAACAAAACATTAACCCCATTCTTTAATTACCTGTTCCCTGGCGAATTTACTGCCTAGCTCGGCTGCTGCCCCGAAATCTGCACGTGCCGCATCCAGATTATCCAGTTTTCTATATAAGACACCTCGCTGACAGTGGGAATGGCACTTGGTACGGGTCTGCTGATCATTTGCCAGTTCCAGGGCTCTGTTCAAGTCATCGAGGGCCTCTATTAATAGAAATATTCATTTAAATATTTATTTTAAACTTAAAAACATAGATATATCACTTACCCTCATCGCGTTTTGCCAGACGCAGAGTTTGTGCTCGATTATTTAGCACAGAAGCCCTTTGGGCCAGATTAAGTGATTGCCGGAATACCTCAAGAGCTTCATCCAGCTCCCCTTTTTCGGATAAGGCAATAGCCCTTAGTTCCAGTTCCCTCGATGCTCTGATAGCTTCGGTGTCTGGTTCCACATCCGTAAGATCGGATTCAGCGGGCACGGAGTCAAAAGATTGACTACTGCCGAGTTCCAGGGGATCGAAAATGGAATCCAGCACCTGCTGGTCGTGAGGACTTAACTTTAGGCTGGCCTGAGGCATGATACGATGTTATTTAGCTTAATACTTCAATCAAACTGAACTTGGCATCGAAATAGATAAGATACAAAATAGTGGGGGGAGAACGAAATGCAAATCATGTCGTCCAACCTGTTCAGCTGGAGAGCGAAAAACATTTTCAAAACAAGAAAGACAGCTGTAGTCGTGTTTATCAAAACTGTATGATACAGTCTACTCATTGCCTTGGTTTAATGATCAGAATCAATCTCATTTCTTCAGCATTTACAAAAAATTAAGATAAAATATTACAATCTTTTATTCTGTGTAATTTATGAAAATATATAATCACTTAAACTAAATATATATAATTAAATCTTTAGTTCTGACAAATGAAAAAGTTTTCACCGGTGCACTCACTATCGTTCATTTTAAGATCTTTAAGCTCAACACAGTCCTCATCTAATCCAGCATCTTTAGCGGCATTATTAGGTTCTGCAAGACCCCACTCAAAAAATGTAACCTTCTTGCCGAAGTCTACGGATACAAAATTATTCTCTTTAGCCCGATCGTTAATGCCCAGCCAATATCTTTCAGATGGATCGATCTCCCCTGTAATCAAGTCAAACTCTTCTTTGTTTTTGAAGGTCGCCAGATGGCCGCCCATTACACGACAGTAAGCCTCGGCATCGTCCCATGATTTTCGAATTTTGATAGTTGTGAAATGTCTTCCGACATCCCGCTCACAATTTGTTTGCGCTTGTAGTTGGTTTTCCTTATTGGTCAGCTTAGATGGAGTTCCTTGTTGAATGCTTTTCAATATAACTTGCATATCCTTTTGAATCTTAGCCATTGTATTTAACTGCTGTCGGAGATCAGCTAAGCCGCCAAATAGGGGATGAAGGGCGGCTAGGCAAAAGGAACCGCATTGATTTGGTGCATCCGTCAATAAGCAAACTGATGGCGAATTTGTCGGGTAATGCGCATCGGCATATATATTCCAAGCGATTACGGCGTACAAAAAAAATATTGTGTACTTTATCATGTTTATGGTATACAACCTTATAGGACGAGAGGTTTTGGAGTACTGATTTGTGTTTGCATTTGCTGATCGACGAAGAGCCCTTGGCGCGGTTGATAAGCCTTTACTTAGTATAAGTTATGCCGATTACATTCATAGGCCTGAGCCAATACGGGAATTGAATTTCTGAACAGACCTCTAAAAATAATATTTAATTACGATTGTCAAATATTAAACCTAATAAACCAATATCTATTAAACTTCTATTCACTTACAAAAAAGTCGAATATTCCATGCTTAAATTTATCGTTTTATCAACGTACTTATTTCATTTGCAATCTTAGAGAATAAATTGACTCATTCGCTTTGCTATGAGTTAAGCTTGAATCACAATACGATATTTGATTATTCTTGAAAAGAATGAGTGGGTCTCAATAAAGAGTTCCGTGATATGAAGGCGGTGACAGCTCGTCCAGTGGAATTTCTTCGAACGCTGTTGTTTCTGGCCAAGAATCCTGCATTTGTAATGCTATGTGATAAGGAGGTGGACACTCGAACGCTTCAGTCTCCTGTCGCTGATCTGGTAATTGGTTATCGGTTGTATTCGACTGGCTATTGGTTCGCCTACAAATCAATATCTGATCCTTTAGGCCCCTGCATATTGATAGTATGACGGCGACCAGGAAGATGACAAGCAAGAATGCACAGAAGGTCAACCACGCGGTCTTTTCACGTTCACTCTCGCGAATAATTTCAATTTCTTCAACTTTCTGCTGTAACTTATCCAAGTAATCCCTCCTTTCTTGCATTAATTGCTCTTGAAGATTACTAATTATGAGGCACAAATAGCTTTCACCACGATTATCTATACATTTTGGGACTGCAAAACTTGTAGATTCAGCCAGGATACACAAATTCCAAGTAACAGAAGAGTAGAAAAATAATTTTGCTGACTCTAGCATTATTCGACTTTAAAACCTCTAAAGTCGAGCGATTCTAATGTACTAATTTTGGATGGCAAACAATAAAAAACTTTTTAGTTGTAGATAAGCTTCTCCATATTTTTTAAAAATTTTTTCATACCCATTAGTCATGACATCTTAGTCCAACCGATATCAAAAACATAAAAAAGATACAGCCACCGAAATACCGATTTAGATATTTTGTTAAACTATTTTAATTTAATATTTTATGAAAGTTTCATAGAAATTTAGCAAACGATTCTCAAGTTAAGCACTTCTTCATTAGGAGAAGTATTTCTCGACTTTTCTTATTGAAATTTTATAACAAATTCAAATCTTAGAGAGGGAAATTAATATAGAAGCGTGTGATATGAAGGCGGTGGCAGCTCGTCCAGTGGAATTTCTTCTCCCGTTGTGGTTGTGGTTCTTGGCGTTGGGCTCCGCATATGTGCTGCTATTTGATATGTAGGTGGGCGTTCAATCTCTTCAGTCACCTGCCGCCGTTCTGGTACTCTTCTAACGGGCGTATTCGATAGCCTATCCAATAGGTTCCTGCATTTTGTAAAAAAAACGGCGAGCACGAAGAAGAAAAGGACAATAACCAAGATGACGCTCAAGTTTAACCACGTGGACTTCTCCTCTTTTATCGTTTCAATCTCTTCCAGTAATTGATCTATCTTATTCGTGCATTCTTCCGATACTTGCGTTAATGTTTCCCTAAGAAAATAAATGGTGTCATTGCATGTAACTATGTAACTTTCCACTTTCTCTATTGGGTTGTCCTTCAAGCACATGGTAATGCTTTTTAGCTGGCATTCAGCTGTACATTCCGAAAATGTTTCATATGCCAGGGTACACAAATTCCATGAAGTACACGCGTAGAAAAACAATGTGGCTGACTTTAGCATTATTTGAGTTCACAACCTATTAAGTCGAGAGATTCTAATGGACTACTTCTGGGTTGGCAAAAAAAACGATTTCTGAGTTATTGATAAGCTTTTTTCTAAACACACATATGAGCAGAAACTGTTATCTCAAAAAAGCACAAAATGTTTTCTGTGAATATTCAAAATTTTGTAGTTGGGTCACTGAACACTAATGATCTCACTCGTTCTTATATTTTGAGAATTTAAATTTCCGAATACTCTCGCAATGTAATTTATGTTTCCATTGGATTCTTTTATGGAGAATTCCAGTATAACAGCCAAAAGAAAATGTTCTCTTTAAATTACGAATTAAAAATTTAAAAAAAAAATGGAAGACTATATCAAAGTTCTGCTAAAAGAATAAGTATTTTAAAAATATACTGCATTAGGGTTTTTTCGATTTTGAATACAAAATAAGAAGATCGAAAGTCCACGCTGAAAATGGCCGTCACGCATCTTACGTCTATATTATCTTTGGTCAAACCAATCCTCATTATAGTATAATAATAAACTTTTAATACATTTAAGATCGCTTTATTTAATATATGTCGTATTTTCTTAATATATTGCACTCTTCTTTAGTATTTTGTAAGAGAACTGGGCATTTGATTGGTTAATTTATTACTTAACTGCCTACTAATACTGCTGCTTGAATTATTTATTTTCTGTATCCGCTATTTCTACATCTTTTTCTCGTTGCATTGGCTTGTCGTGGTTTGTAGCTAATGGTTAAACATAGTTTGATCTCGCGGTCTTTATAGCGTATGATTTCTTGATCTCTTGAGCATATCACAGAACAAAAATGACAGTAGAATATGACATGTTTGGGTTTTGGAGTGGAAGAATTTTGGTTCTAGTACGGGGCATAGAAAGTGTAAAAATATTATTCGGAGCTTAATAGTAAATATTCGTGTATTCGTATATGTTTATCTGATATATATGTCTGTATATATATAAATATGCCGTGTAAATGTTCATATAAACTGTGATATCGTTTTGGTTTAGAAAAATACTGAGCAAAAGTACTTGGCATTGTGCATTTAAGGGGGTGTCAGGGATGAGGATTCGGGAACTGGAACTAAAGCTCAATTCCCCGATAGCCTACACGAGAATTTTGTCATATGACGGCGGCGGCGATTCATCCAGCGGCAGTTGCTTTCCTAAAGTCGCCGGCGTCTGTTCCGGCAGCAATATGGCTATATGATAGGGTGGCGGACCGGCACTGGACGTCATCCCGCCCCCGGCATTCACCTGTTGCTCCTCCAGATACCGCACCTCGCTCATCTCCAGCAGACAGCCGGCGGACTGGGCCGATCCCGATCCCGAGTTCACGCCGCGACTGTGGCCCACGGCTGCCCGGCCATCCGAGCGACTGGAGCTCGAGAGCAGGCCCTTGGGAATGCGGCACAGGCTGACCAGGCAGGCGGCCAGGAAGAAGGTGGCCGAGAAGGCGCAGAAGATCAGCACCTCCAGTCCGGTGCCCTGGTGGTCGAAGTAGAACTTTGTTCCGGCCACGAAAACAGAGGCCAGCACCAGCGAGGCGCACATGCCGCACTTCAAGTGGCCGGGCAGCAGTTGCGAGTCCGCGTGCTGCAGCAGCGCATGATGTTGCTGCTGCAACTGGTTGCTGTGCGCTGTTGCTGGTACAGCAGCAGCAACTGTTGCCGCTGGACTGGCCGCCTCTACCGTTGATGTTGCTCCTGTTGCTGCTGCTGCTGCCGTCGAGTGTCGCATGTTGCTGCTGGAGTTGTGGCGACGGGGCGCTGCGTAGGCGGCCGATTGTCGGGGGTTGTTGCTGCCGCTGGTCGAGTGATTGCTGCTGCTGTGCTGGTGATGGGCGGTGTGGTGATAGGCGCTGTAGGCATCATCGCTGGAAGAGGATTGGAGATGTTAATCTGTCTGTACAATATTTACTTGTGGGTTAACACCAATGCAGGCTAGGCACCCTAAAAACGTTCTATCGATCTTAAAGGTAAGATATATATTCAATCAAGATCTATTCAATCGTAAATTCTCAAAATCAAGACGACCTGATGTAAAATCGAGACTACTGTTATCTCTATTTCAAGGTCTGTTTACCTCAAAAAAACTCAAGAGTGCATTTGTCTTGATTTCAAGAGGGATTTTTCTCAAAAAATGTTAAAGTAATGTTATCAATCAATGTATTCTGTATTCTATCCAATGTAATGTTATTACAATCGAAATTTCATAAAAAATGCAAAATCTTTACTTTTATCTTTATTTCGAGATCTGTTTACTTCAAAAAACAAACTTGAGAGTACATTTGTCTTGATTTCAAGAGGGTTTTTCTCAAATAACAATGAGTACAAATTCTAAAACTTAGAGCTTTTATTCCTAACGTTTTTTCGTTTCTAATTAATTAATTTCTTTATTTATTATTTCTATTTAACGTATTTTCAAAGTTACTCCCTAATATTGGCTAATATTTTAAGTGATCTGCAGTGGTGTTACTCCTTAAAAACCATCAGCTACTCACGCGTAGACATTGCTCGAATATTGCTGCTGCTGCTGATGTGCATCATAGTGTCTCATGGGCACGGCCATGTTGCCAAATTGCGGATGGTGGTAGCTGTAGTGCTGCTGCTGTTGCTGCTGATGTTGCTGCTGCTGGTGATGATGCTGCTGTGACGGTTGCTGGTGTTGGTGCAACACTTGCTGCTGCGACCTTGGCTGATAGCGCGTGCTGCCGTGGTGATTGTAGTGCGAGCCGCGGGCCACCAGGGGAACGATAGTTCCGCTTCCGGTGAGCACAGCTGCCGAGGAGGCTATTCCGCTGGCATTGTTATTGTTGCTGGCAGTTGTTGTTGTGCCGGCGGCAGCCAAGTTGTTGTTGTTGCTGCTGCCGCCGCTGGAATGTTGCTGCAACATGTGTTGCTGCTGCTGCTGGCCGTGCAGGGAGTTGTTGTTGCCATACGACGACGACTGCGACTGGCGACTTGTGCCCGGCTGGTGGAGATCGTAGGGGGTCTGCGGCAGGGATCGGTGCACCGAGGGCATCGACTGGCCGCTGCTGCCGGCGCCGTTGCTGCTGCAACTGCTGGACTTGGTCCTTCGGGGCGGATGGCCGTAGCTCAGGCCGCTGCCAGCATGCGACAAGGAGGCCGCCACGCGGGAGCGTCCAAAGCCGCACTGCTGCGATCGTTTGTCAATCCAGAAATGCATCGTGGAAGGTAAGTTGAGTAAACTGAAAGGTAAAAAAGAAAAGAAGATCTGTAATGTACTTTCTAGGTAATTCTAAAATAAATTATAGTTTCAAAAGAAAACTGCAGTGCTGGATTTTATTAATTCTTCTGTTCTCTAAAGAGAAACAAGACCTATTTAATTGCGATTTCTCAAAATCAAGATCAACTGAAGGAAAATCCTTCTTTTATCTTATTTTAAGTTCTTTTTAGCTTAAAAAAAAACTCGAAAGTACATTTGTCTTGATTTCAAAAAGGATTTTTCTCTAATTAAGTGAAAGTTTTTAGTCATTAAAAAACTAAACACAATGGAACTAACAGATTCTGATTGCTTTAACATTAAAATATTAAATTTTGGTGTCTCTCTTTATTTTTTAAAATAGTGAAATATAAATAAATTAAAATAATAAAAATATTTATGATTAAATTATATAAAAATTCTAAAGTAGAGTGCAAATCGCAAACAAAAACTTAAAATGTTTACCCTTGCAATAATTACAAGTTGTGTTGGCCAGCGCATGAGACAATGCATTTCTTTCATTTTTAAAGAATTTGGCTTGGTCACAAAAAATCTAAAATACGCAATTTTAGAGTGCAGACAGACAGACAGTCGGCATTAAGTGCTGCAAACTTATTTGAAGTTCAAGTTGTGTGTTTAGGATGGGGGAAGGGAAAATCCTTGACTAGACAAAGCGCATCTGACTCATTTGGCTTTGTGTCTGCCAGACGGAAGGGCGTCATTCCCCGGTCCCGGTTTCCCCCCGGTTTCCAAAACGCTAAAACAGGAAACGTGCGCATCGCATTTCATGAGCCAGCCTCTCTGTCTGCGAAAGAAACCCCCATCCAAGCAAGCCAACCAACCATCCAGGACCTGGTTCGGCATTTCCTCTTTGTGCTTCCCTGTTTCGAAGGTGCAACAAGGAACAAAGGTTTGCCTGGTCAAGGAACCCGCCCGAAAAATAAAACATTCATTGAACGCTTTCACTTCCCGTGTCATTGGCATCCAGCCACATCGAAAACATCCTAAAAGCAAAACCAACACGGCCACAAGGACCCCAGCGCGCCAAAATCCACAGACAGAGTTCGGAATGGGGAGGTGGTTCTGAAAAAAGGACACAACGGGGCTTTTGGGGAGCTCAAAGGGGGGTTAAGAAACATCCAAGTCGTTTATTTACCTGAGTTCTAAGCAAATATTTGCATAAGCTTACAGCAGGCTGTGAAAACTCTTTTAAAGTTTAAGTCTGAATTAAGTTAATTATAATTTTTGCGAAACCCCTTCTTAATTTAACTTCAGGGTTCGCGAACTATTCAAAGATGAGTTATGACGCGTACTTTCTTTTCTCTGTTCTTGAAAGAGTAAAGCTTCCGATGCCATTGTGCCTGGTGTTTGCATTTTTGGTTCTTAGCTCGCTTAGCTGTTCGTTGAACTGTCCCTCCGGCTTTTTGCTTTTACTTTTTGTGTGTGTGGTTGTGGTTTTGGTTTGGCGGTCTTAGCCAATCAACGCTGACAGCGAGGAGAAAATAATGAATTTTTTAAATGATCCCACAGACAATTTGCCGTGTCGTGTAAACAATCGAGTACATAGATACGCAGCACCGTGACCGAAAGTCATAAAATCCACCGCACAATAAAATAACTTTTATTTCGGGGGAACTTTCCTGTTCCACTTGGCAGCAAGGTTCAAAGTTCAATGCCTGTCAACATCTTCGAGAGCAGCATTACACAATACAATGCCAGAGAGAAAGAGCCGAGTGCCGAATGCGAATAAATAAATACTCAAGCACGGGGCCAGGGTAATAAAATAAACATATTTAAAAGGGACATTTTGACAACCTTTTGATAGGTTCATTTCGTTTCCATTTCTCGCCTGGCGCCACTCGGATTTCGGTTTTTGCTCTTTGGCCACCCCATCATTGTCCTTTCCAGCTGGGGGTTCATCCACCCTGATTACAACCATTTAGCTGTAGTTTGCTTGCCATTCGGGGCAGAGTTCAGCTCGATTTGTCTCGATGCTGGTCAAGATTTGTACGGAACTTGAAGGAACCCGGCCATTGACATTGCTCATACGAAAGTGTTGCCCTTGCAAGATAATCATAAAAAGAACTTCTGTACTACCCACATAAAGAAAGAGAGCTCTCCCATTCAATTTGTTTTAATCACCATTTACACACACTATATAAATCACTATCTCAGCACCGCACCTTATTATAATAATATTTCTATTATCAGCCCCGCCCTGCCCCTCGCTGCGCTGAACACCATCAACAATGGCAAACTGCCCGCTCATTTGGGTCTCCTTGAAACATTCCCCATAAAATAGATTAATTTAAATGGATACAACAGCACTTTCCGATTTAATTTACGGAACCTGTTTTATTTTTGGCCATCCGCCAGATGAGGTCGCTGAAGTTGGCCTCTGCGCCGCCGTATTTTCAACTGTTTCCGTGGTGTAGCGGTTATCACATCTGCCTAACACGCAGAAGGCCCCCGGTTCGATCCCGGGCGGAAACAGATGAAATAACTTTTTTGTTTTTTTTTTTATAAAATAATTTAGATTAAGAGTTTGTCCAGTCCAGTTTGTCCACGGAACATGAAAACACTTTTAATAAGTGCGGTTTCTATCACAGAAATCTCTTCAAAGCGAAGACGGTTGGTTGAGTGCATTGATGTACGGATTTTGGTTGGAAAAGATTTCTGTGACACCCCCATATAGCTCGTATAGTACGAAACGTTCTCTTGATTTAATGGACAGTTTTTAAATTGTATTTTAGAATTGTAACATTAATTAATACAATCCATTTTGCACCCATATATGTATATTTTACTTTTTCTGTATATTTCCTTAACACAAAAACAAAGAGACGTCATCGTCATATAATAAACTAAATTTAATATAAGTAGCTCGTTATTTGCACTTTAATAAATTTATTTAATGGATAAAATTATCTTCATCTTTTTTATTAATAAACTGGCAAGGAAAAGTAAGAGAATTATTTATGTCTTGTATTATCTTTGTACAAAACCATGTCGAGAACATCTGAACAAAAAATTTAATATATATTCAATATTTTAAAGTTAAAACCAAAACCCTAAAAACTTTCCTTATAAAAACTATAAGTAATAATAAAAAAAAAAATAAAAAAGAGTAAAAAAATTCCATCTGTTTCCGCCCGGGATCGAACCGGGGGCCTTCTGCGTGTTAGGCAGATGTGATAACCGCTACACCACGGAAACAGTTGAACTATGCCCGTCCGAAATGGCCCTAGTGACTCAGGGGTGGTTTGTGTTCGGGCAAAGTGCCAGGAAATTCAATCAAAGCGGAAATCTAAACTAATCTAATGTTGTTAAAACAAGCTATTGAATATTAATGCAGCACACATGAGTGAGGTGGCCGAAAGACATTGCATAGGATTTATCAATTTATAGCTACTAAATTACAGTTGAAATATTTATGGGGTATTCGAAATTTTTTTATTTAAAATTTTTAATTTTTCATTTCGGGTAATTTAAGCGACCATTTAGCAATCAATTTATATTTAATTCCATATTTATTGACTAAAATATATATGTAAGCTTCAATTTCGGGCAAATGACACACTGGAAAGGCCGTAAAATGTTTATTAAACGGAATTCCTCGACCAGACGAGAAATTCTTTGGAAACAGTGCTATCCCAAACCCGTGACCATTGCATAAATGAAATGCCAGACATTCATATTGGCTCAGGCATTTTTCTTCACCTCCGCCGGATGAAATCTATGTATGCGTCATGCGGGGGAAAGATGCCAAAACAAAACGGAAAATGTAAACTTTAAAGCAGGAACAATTCCCGCGTGCTGGTTAAGCACCCCTTTTGGCCATTTCACTCTCGCTGGGATGGTTTGTTTTTGCCATTAACCTTTGCCGTTCGCTCTTTTCGTTGGCGGGAAGTGAATTTGTCCCATTCGAGGGGACTTTGCAGGGTGAATAATGTGGGGACCAACTGTCGGGTTCTCAGTCATTCTGTCTCTCTGTCTCTCCGTCTGTCTGTCTGTCTGTCATCCCGACAAAAGGCCACAAAAACGAACAAAATCCCTGCCCACTTGATGGCGTACGCTGCGTATGAGCAATGCGCTGAATGCATGTGATTCTGTCTGCGAATGTTCGTGTGTGTGGGCTGTGTGTGTTTCAAGTGCACCACGCTGTTTTACCTGCAATATTTTCTCGCCTTTCCGTTGCCAATGCTCTCGAATGTGTTTTCCTTTTGGGCTTTTCAATGCCTTCGCCTCTATTGGCACGTTGCTGTCACGTTTCTCGCCTTTATTGCACACATATTGTTGTTTCCCTAGCTATTTTGTAGTTGTTGTAGTTGCTGCACCAGAGTCCTTGAACGCTCAACTGACCCGACACGACAAACACACAAACACACACACACACACGCTGGCTTGGCAAATAAATATCCTTTTTGCGAACGAAGGACTCACGCGACTTGCAACTTTGTATTCAATTTAATTCAATTCAATCCGATTCAAAAAACAGAAAATCAGCCACCGCGGATTCGCGCTCGAATAATTGTATTTTGCCAACCTTGCGGCCCGAGACGCAGGTGGGCGTCGAGTGGGTGGTGGGTGTTTCGGGGTGGCGCACGGCTCTTGAATGAACGGACGATGGGTGGTGCTGATTCGCCTGCGACTCGAACGGCGCAAGGACTCGCAGCCAACTGAATGTGTGAATGCAGCTGGGCCAAGCGTCGTGCTCGTTTTCACTTTCATGAGACTTTCGCAGACCGCCCCCTTCTGCCACCCACCACTGCCTCTTTTTTTTCTTGCTCGTCAGCAGACAGCGCTTTGTTTTTGCTTTCTGTATGTGTGGCCGTGCGATTCGGTGGACCATCGGGTGGGTGGCGTTTGCTCTGAGGAGAGCATGAAGAGCATTCTCCGCCGCTCTCTCTCCTCTCTATTTTTGAAAACACAGTGGCTGCACCGCACATGCGCCCTCTCAAAAATGCCATTGTGAATGGTTCAATGAATTTAAACTGTAACGGTTTGTATCTCAAAGATAATGCATAATTTTAGATGCAATATTTTTAAAAAAGTGAATTATTTATATTTCTAAGAAACTATAAAAACATTTGAGTCTATAAAAGTATAGCTTTTCTTTAGCGGAAAGCTTCAGTTAGAGAATCTACAGCACATTGATACTTTTTTTCAAACTATTTTTCTTAACTTTAAAAGCTCTTAAATAAAACTTTTAAAATGGTTTCAAAATGTTTAAAAATAAAGTTATACTTACTTATTTAGATAACTTGCAAGATAACTTACTCGCATTTGAAATCCTGACGTAAATAATATAGCAATTCTATGATTTTTAATCGACATAGTTATACCCGTTACTCGTAGAGTAAAAGGGTATATTAGATTCGTGCAAAAGTATGTAACAGCTAGAAGAAAGCGTTTCCGACCCCATAAAGTTATATATTCTTGATCAGGGTCACTAGCCGAGTCGATCTAGCCATGTCCGTCTGTCCGTCTGTCTGTCTGTCTGTCTGTCTGTCTGTCTGTCTGTCCGTCTGTCCGTCTGTCCGTCTGTATGAACGCTGAGATCTCAGAAACTACAAAAGCTAGAAGGTTGAGATTTCCCACACATATTCTTTGGCTTCCTACGCAGCGCAAGTTTATTTTAGCCGAGCGCCACGCCCCCTCTAACGCCCACAATCGCCCACTAATGATTTTAAAATGGGTCCTGCGCCCACATCTTTAAAGATTTCCAAAAGTATAAATGCAATTTTGTTGTTTATATTTATACCTATCGAAATGTAGAAGACATTTTTCAAATCGGACCATTCATTAAAAAGTTATAGCGCAATCAAAAATTATATATCTATCTCCCTCGCACTCCCTTTAGCTGAGTTACGATTATTAGTCGGGATACCAACCCGACACAGCGTTCGCACTCCCTTTAGCTGAGTGACGGGTATTAGATAGTCGGGACAACAACCCGACTATAGCGTTCTCTCTTGTTTTTCTTTGATTTTTACACGGTTCCTAATTTATTTTATTCATTACCAAATATACGTTAACCTTTTTTATGCCATCCTACAAAACACCTTACTTTTAAACAAGAATTGAACACTTTAAAAATAAAAGATTTACCCTAAAAATTCCAGAAAATCAAAACATCGGAGGCAACGTGACAGGAGGCCTTTATTATTATTATTTGGAATAAAATCTAGTTAGGCACCAACGTATTCCGGTCTGCGGCACTCCTCCACCTTGGGATCGTAGTGAAGACCCGGAGTGCAGTCCAGTGTGACCCCATGACCCTCGACGCAGTAGTAGTACGCATCTCGGCGGGATTTGTGCGGATAGAAGTGAACTCCTGCGCGGGGACACTCGATATCAGCACGGCGCAACGGAGATCGGGAATAGGGAACTATATTCCTGGCCGCAGCATCAATCTGGAAACAGATATCATCTTTATTAAAATTCATTCCAATGTCTGAGAAAGTCTTCCCAAACTCACCTTGCAATCGACATTTTTGGCAAAATCACAGTATTTGCCCTCCGGATTGTAGGCCAAACCGGGGGCGCACTCCTGTTCCCACGGATAGCCATCGGAGCAGACGAAGTACTTGCTGCAGGACGCCTTGCTGGCCAGGTAGATGATGTCCTCCGGCTGGAACGTGGCCGAGCAATCGTTGGCCACACAATCGACGTACTCGGGGAAGTCACAGCGGTCCGTCACGTTGTTGTACTGGAGTCCATCCTGGCACTGCCGCAGAACGGGCTTTCCGTAGTAGCAGAGCACGTATTTGGTGCAGGTGTTGTCGTAGCAGAAGCTGCTTAATCGGAGGGACTCACATTCGGGTAGGCATTGCACTTCACTCAGGTAGTTGCACAACTGGAGAACCGGGTCGTAGCCCAATTCACACGGAGCTCCTCCACACATTTCCTTGGCGCCCTCTAATTCCATACAGCTGCCTATATCCTTTATTGTGTTATCTAAAAAAATGTAATAGTTCTTGTCAATCAGTAGCTTAAAAGAATAATCTTGATAACTTGATGGTAATTTTGATGGAGTAATCAATGGAAGATCAATTCTATGTATTTACAGGGCATATCACTTTTACATGATCGGCATCTTGCTTTTTGCGCTCTTTTTCTATTTCCGAGAGTTTTGAATGTTGCCATTTTAGGCGCTTTGTCACTCTTTACTCTCTTTTTTGACTTAAGAGATTTTTCAAAGAGAGAAAAATTATACTAAAAAGATTTACCATGCGAATATCAAATTGATCCTTATTTTTTTTGTGAACAAATATACTATTACTCCACCTTTGGCTTTTCAACTTACTTTCACTTTCGCACTCGATATACATCGAACAATTTCCCACATAGGGCAGGAAAACTCCGTCCGCAACGTTGTTGCATACGTCAATCTGGGTGTTTTTGTACATGTCGTACTTATCCTCCATCCTCGACCACTTCACCCTCAACCTCAAGTTCCTCATCTGGACCAGGGGCCACCACAAGATCTTCGTCGGCCCAAATCCGATGAGCCATTCAAAAGGACCAACAAAAGACCACCATTTATCAGGCACTTCACTGTAAAATTCATCCAAAATCTTTAGAATTACCAGAAATCCCGAACCCTGAACTACTTACTCCTGACTAGCTTGGAATCTGCAACGCAACTGTTTGGTATCTGCCTGGAAAATGTTTATTTTATATCGAGTCTTCGTTGTCGCCTAATGAGTTTTTGGCAACTTGCACTTATCACCCTGCTAATTTCGGCACACGACTCTCGTTGGAAAACTACAGGCTAATTTCTGCAAACACTTCAACTTTCAATTTGTCGCCAGCAAACAATGCGATAATTTATCTCTTTTCAAAGACTTTAAATAGACTGATTCTTAGAAACCGAGGATATCTTAAAGGCACGTGTTTGGTACTCAAAGTTACTGCGGAATAATAATGAGAGTCAGAGGATTAAAGTCAAGTTTTTATAGATATGTTTTCTGAACTTGAATGGTTTAGGTTCCTTCTCTAAGGTTTTCTATGCCTCTTATTATCAACCCAATAATTCCAAGCACTTGTAACAATTACAGCGGATCTTGGTAGATCCATCAGTAGATGCAATATTAAACAAGAGTGAGTCATCGTTACACGTGTTTCCTAATGGCTGACAGATGATTGGTCCTCCCCCAGATTGGTTCTTGTTGGCCCAAAATATCTCTTCGCTCCGAATTTTAATGAGTTGGTAGCGCCTTTCAATTACCACATTGAAACATGCATCCGATTCTGATAAGATTTGGAAATCGCAGGGAAGCAAAACAAACCGGAGATTGAATGCCAAATGGGTTTACCTATAAAATGGGGGTTTCTTTGAGGTGGGGCGATAGTAAGTGGAGGAGACCAAACCCAAAGAGTGAGTGAAAATCGCAGCCAAGAAATAAATAATAAATAAAGAAATTTTTAATAGTGATGAACCGCCTTTTGAACCTTTTGGCCTTGGTTGCCCTGATTGGAAGCAATGCAGCTGGAGAGGTTAATATCTGCTCCAATGTGGCCAGCAATCTGTTTCTTCCCCACGTGAGCAACTGCAGCAAGTACTACCTGTGCATGAGTAAGTGATCTTAAGGGAAGGACCCTTTACCAAACTACCCTAACTCTTTTTCTCCCCATACCAGGTGAAGTGGCTGTGCCCCGTGAATGTCCCGCGCACTATTTCTTCGATTCTCTCGATCAGCAATGTGTTCCCGTGATGGAGGCCAGGTGTATACCATCCTGCAAGACCAGGGGTCTGGAATCCTTTGGCTACGATCGCACCTGCACCAAGTACGTCCTCTGCTTCGACGGAACTCCTGTGATCCGCGAGTGCGCCGATGGACTGCAGTACAATTCGCAGACCGATCGATGTGACTATCCCCAGTATGTGGACTGTGTGGACAACATGTGCATCCGGCCGAACAATGCCGATGATATCGTTTTCATAGCCAGCAAGTCGCGCTGCGATAAGTACTTCATCTGCAACGATGGTCTTCCGTGGAATAAGAGTTGCTCTTCTGGTCTGCAGTACAACCCAAGCACCCAGAATTGCGACTTCCCCTCCAAAGTTAATTGCACGGTGGGTGTTCTTTGGATATCTCTAGATACCTGGGAGCAAGTTGAAGATTCTGTATTTCCTTCTTTCAGGTCGAGAACCTTCAGCGGAATATTCTGCCCTTTGCCCGAGCTCCACCACGTAGCGCTGACATTAGGTGTCCCTCGGAGGGCAGCCACTTCATTGCCCACCAGAAGCGCCGGGATGCCTACTACTACTGCCTGAATGGCCAGGGAGTCACCTTGGACTGCACACCTGGTCTGGTGTTCGATGCTAAGCTTGGCGAGTGCCGGGAACCTCAGTTCGTAGGTGCTTAGTTCCTTCAAATAAAAATCCACTGCTGGCCAATAAAGTCTTTAAAAAAATTCCTTTAAAATAAGTATTTAACATTTTTCAGGTAGAAGTGAATAATATTTTTACCTAAAAAATATTTTTATATTACTTCATATTATATCTAAATATATGATCTTTGTATATTATTAGTATAATTAATAATGATCAATATTTATTGTGAATAATATCAGATAGATTTATACATTTAGTTAAGAATGTTTTAGTTCTGAAAGTTCGTCTAAACCGTTTTACAGATTTTTTACCTTTAAATTTGTATAATAAGGCTATCTAACTAAGGTAGTTATCCCCCAAGAACTTTTACTCCATTCCATTTTATTGAATTCAAACGAACTACAGTCCCACATTCTTCGGTTCGCGGCACTCCTGAACCTTGGGATCGTACCACAGACCAGGTGAACAGTCCAGAACCAGACCATGTCCATCTATGCAATAGTAATAGGAATCCCGGCGAGAGTCGTGGGCGTAGAAATGGACGCCGTAGGGTGGACAAATTCCATCAGTGGTCCTGGGTGAAAGGCGGGAAAACTGCCTTAACTTCCTCTGTTCTTCGGGGATCTGTAAGGTTTTCGATTAATCAGTAGGTTCAATATATATTACTATTTTTGCCCCACCTGACAGTCCGATTTCGATGGAATGTCGCAACAATCGCACTTGGTGCTGAAGTATAGACCGGGAGTACAGGTCTGCATCCTGGGGATTCCGTTGCCGCAAAGGAAATACCTATCGCAGGACACTTTGCTCGGCACATAACGCAGATGATAGGCATTATAGTAGATGGAGCATTCGGACTCCACGCAATCCACGTTCTGGGCGAAATCACAGCGATCTGTTTGAGAATTGTACTGGAGGCCATCTTGGCATTGCCTTAAAACAGGACGTCCATAGTAGCAGAGAACGTATTTAGTACAGGTTCTCTGGTAACTAAAGGTACTAAAGCTGTAGGATTCGCAGGTAGGCAGACATTCAGCTTGACCATTTTTCACACAACTCTGGGTATTGGCATTGAATTGGTAAGGCCATTCGCACTGCAGTTCTATAGCTTGGCCAGCTAATGAAAAAATATATCATAATTGTAATTATTAAATATTAAGATCTTTAGATCCAAAACTCACATCGACATAGGTAATACCTATTGCAGTCCCCCACAAACGGTAGAAAAACATTATCCGCCACATTTCCACACAAACTGAGATTGCCCACGATTAAATGATATTCCTCATCGACTTCAGTAGAGTTCGTTTCTGAAGAATTTTCAGTGGCTCCGGAACCTTCAAAGTCTTCAGCTCTTGAAGTTAACACTCCACATAGCACACAGATAAAAAACCAAATTACTGCAAAAAAGAAAAATGATTATATTTTTGATTTTCAGCTCCTGACTCGCACACCTCCACTCATCGTCAGCTTTTTGGCCCAACTGATTGATTCGGCCCATGAAAATTGGCCTTTATAAGGTGCAAGCATCAGATTATCTTATCACTTTATCGATGTTTTTCAAACAACTGACAAATTAATTGGCAGGAAAAGGGTTGACTCTTGGGGGTCCAATTTTAGATCACATTTTTCAGTGCAATTGAATCTTAACTTAATCTCTCTCTTTATTTGATGTTGATTTCGGTTTGATTAGGTATCTATAGGAAAAAGTTGAGCATACCAAGATTTAATGTAATCCCTAATTACTAGTATAATCCGTAGATTACTTAAGTACATAGTTATAATACAAAATCTAAAATCTTTAAATCGGTTATCATTTTGAGATCCCTACTAGTCGATATCGAAAGGGTGTATATTTGCCTGCATGTTCGATAAATGGGTTCTCCCACATTAATTTCGAAACGTTTGCCGCCTGGTCCAGAAAATTCTACGTACACACGAAATCGTTTGAAAATATTTTCGTTTTCGGCACTTCGTTTCAGTTGAAACTTTCGCATCTCTCTGTGCACATCTCATCGCTCGGAGGCTCAAATATAAATATACACAACAATTATTAAAAGAAATTTCTAATATATTTTGACTTTGTGGTGTAAGTTTGCATAGTTTCTGCATTCTTTGCTGCTGTTGTCTTCAGAATTGCCAAAATGATTGACATTTGTTTAAATGAAAATATTGTTCAACAAAGAGGCATTTATTTATAGACAGTGCCTTGCGGTGGGCCTTTGTTTGTATTGAAAGAAAATCATCAATGTGCGCGATATACATAACACCAAATCTTCCCCCGTTCTCTTCTAGCACCTAGAAAATGGTCAACGAGCTCAACAGACCCCAAAATGGGGACAATGCCGCCTTGAGCGAGGTAAGCTGGAATTTTAAAACCGTGTTTATTAAAATATTACCTATTTATTTTTATGTAAAAAACTGTCTTGAAAAATCCAAAGAGTTCTTTGACACACAGCTTTTTATATTAGGTGATTCACATTCTTAAGGTAAACGTTTTTAATTGCTTTTGTGATTATCACAATACTAGGGATCGTATAATCAGGAAATCAAGAAAACCCCAGAAAACAAAAATATCCTATGGAACCCAGAATATTTTCTAAAATTTTCTACTACTTTTGTCTCTATTCTATTTTTGGTAAACCTTACAAATATGTTTTTTATTGTTATATTACAAGACTTAATAATTTTTATTAGGTGATTTACATTCATAAGGTAAACGTTTTTAATAGCTTTCGTGTTTGGGTATCACAATACTAGGGATCGTATAAACAAGAAATCAAGAAAGCCCCAGAAAACAAAAATATCCCATAGAACCCAGAATTTTTTTTTAAATTTTCTACTAGCAAATATGAAAATATCTATATAATTCCTATTTTTATATTACAAGACTAATAATTCCCATCTATCCCCTCAGCGCCTGGCAGCCTCCAACCGGCAGCTGCAAGAGATGCAGGAGGAGCACCGCCAGTTGCTCGAGGAGATGGAAACCTTGCGTCTGCGAGCCGCCGAGCTCACTCTTTTGAATGCCCAGCGCCAGCAATTGAGGCAGTCGACCGTCGTGGAGGAGGTGTCCCAGTCCCATTCCCAGTCCCAGGAAACCACGGTCAGCCAGGTGGAAGCTCCAGCGGAGCCAGAGCCAGTGCCCTCATCCTCCTCCCCCACCCCTTCCGCTGATCCCGCATCACCAACTGTCCAGGAGGAAGGCGACGAGGACAACGAGGAGCAGGCCAGCTATCTGCAGGCGAAACTAAACGAGATCGCCAACCTGAAGGCTCAGTTTAAGCGGGTGCAAAACATGGTGGACACCACCAAGATGATCGAGCAGCATATGTCCACCAGGCAGACCGTGCAGAGCAGCTCCTCCGTTCAGAGCAGCCGCCAAGTCACTAGCTCCGAAGTTCGAGTGGCAAGTGAAGTGACTGAGCAGATAGCTGAGGAAGCCAGTCCTTCAACGGGCAATCCACCCGACAACGCAGAGCTCCTGAACTCCATGCTGAACATGTTCACGGACTTTACCAGCGATCTGCGCGGTCAGGCGGAGAGTCTCCGGGCGGAGCGGGATCGCATCAGGACCCTCAAGGAGGACATCATCCAGCGCAAGCAGGGAAAATAATCTTTATTACGTGAAAACACGCACTTGTTCTAGTCATATAATGTCCAAAATTAAAGGAAGATATTATAAAATTAAAGAATAATAACCAAGTATATAAACACTTGTAAACTAATGTTTTATTTTCTTTATTATATTTTTATTATTTTTGAATCTGACTGCTTGTCATGAATATATCGTATAATATATGGGTTTTGTTTTTAATAAATAATGTCCCTTATACATATATATTTACAAGGTTCTTTTACAAATTTAAAACGTATTTTATATTTGAATATTTTTCTTAAATCTGCAATCAATTTTGAAACTAAAAATTAAATAGAAAATCAGTTATTAAGATAAAAGAAATAATGACAGCCATATTTACAAAACAAGAAATTTCAATAAACATGTTTTAAATTTCGAAAATCCAACAAACAATTTTAAAATGTAGCAGTGTGACCGCATTTGATTTCAAATTCAAAATGGGGAGCTGCCAACTGATTTTCCACCCTTTTTTTCCAGCGAGCTGCCAGCCCTGGTTGGAAACAGCTGTCAAAGTGCGCAAAGCGAAAAAAAAACAAAAAAAGGAGAGTTTTACAATTTTCTAGCGTCGTTCGTTTTGTACGCCAATATATATATTTTCTAATGGCGCCGCCGCCCAAAGCAGTTGTGGACCAAGGCAGCGCCAGCAACCGCAGCGGCGGCAGCAGCAGCAACAACAACTCGGTGGGCGGGGCAACCGGCGCCGTGCCCAAACAACAAACGCCTCCAAACGGAGCAACTGCATCCGGATTAAATGCATCTAATTCGACCAGTCGATCGGCCCGTTCCCGCCGGCAGCAGGAGCACCTGGGCGAACCGGACATGGACTTTGTGGAGCCACTGCAGCGGGACGCGCTGAAAACGCTAAATGTGAGTTGCCATGGCAAAATCTCCTCGAAGAGAAGACACCAAAGAGGCTTCTCTTTGTCGATTTATAAATACACTCTACACTCATTTAGGCTGGCGGAAATTCGAATTCCACTTGGTTCAGTAGCGAAAGCGAACGCAGCCACAGCGGACAACGAATTTCGATCGGCCAGATATATATATCTCCCTAAGAAGATATATATATAGATTTAAAAGCAGCAAAATTCCCGCCCTACTCGTGATAGTACTTTTACTAATCTTTCTTTGCTGTTGCCTCAAGGATCTCCTCCAGCGAGCACGCATCACCAACGGCAAGAATCGATCCCCGGCGGAGCAGCAGCTGACCAGCAAGGAATCGAGGTCACCTGCCCAGCAGCAACAGCAGCGCGAGACACTGCGTCAATTGGCCTACGATTCAGCAGGTGAGGATCCAGGAAGGGAATACACTAAGGAATACATACATCTCATTGAGCAATTTCCAATATCCGCACCTGGCCCACACACAGAATTCGGTGCGCCAGTTCATGTTCTATAAATAAGATGCGCACGAAAATAAACGCCCACTGAGATGATGATGATGTAGTCCGCAGACCTAAACCTCCATACTGATCTTCGAGTATTTTCGATTGCAGAGCAATTGCAGGAGCAGCAGCAGCGCTACCGCTTTCCCGTGCGTCCCGTCCAGAGGGTTCAGCACCAGCCATCCTCGTCATCGGGCGCCCCCTCATCCTCGTCTGCCCTGCTGCGTTTGCGTCAGTCGACGCCGCCGAATGCCACAGTTGGTGTGGTCATCCCAAACGCAACTACCAGCAACGGAAACGGCAATTTGAGTGGCCCAGAGGAGCAGGCTACCCAACTGACACCCGCAGGATTGCATCAACTGGTCCATCGACTCTTTGGAGTAAACCCTTTGGGTCCCCGACACGAATCAGGTCGCTCCCAGGTGGATGTGCTGCGCTCCCTGCTGGGACTGGACGAGAACTTGAACAGCAGTAGGCAACAGTCAGGTGTAAACCTTGCAGAGGTGAGTCCTTAATCTTTATTCGAGCTAGAAAACAGGGAAAATTACTGCATATAATATATATATAAAAGTAAAGACTTGATATAAGGCATTTTAAGTGGCGAAAATTTACATCTTTTTAATGGAAATTTATAGATATTAGATCTTTTACTTATGACGCAAATGGAATATAGTAGTCTAAATAGCAAGTTTCAAGCCAAATTGTATTTCTTGGACATTTAGAAAATCGGAAAATAAATGAAAAATTAGATATCTGATATCTTAATCAGGAAACGCATTAAGGAAATTAATATCAAGAGATGTATTATTATTTTAATTTATTGTTTTGGCTTCCTAACGCTACAAGTTGTGTAACTTATAAATTACTTCGCTAGTCACAACTGATAATCAATTTTATATTGAAACAAAATTGGTTCATAAATCTAATAACATAAATGTTTACATTAATTATAGAAAATACAGAATGCCAAATAAAATTAAATCAAAGTTAAAAACAAAGGAAAAGGTTTTGGGGTTTAGTCGCCATGTTAATATTGGATAATATACCTTTATTTAATTTATTTCAATTATATTCATTCTAAAGCATCTCCTTATAATTTATAATACAGCAAATTAATATTTTTGAACTGAATTTTTTCTACTTTTCGTTTCTTTCAGCTCAACAACATGGTGCATGAAATCAACCCAAACGCGGAACAGGACGAGGGCATAGTCAATTCGACCAGTCTGGAGGATGTTGCATTAAGCGAGGTAAGTTCATGAATAAAAATCAACAATCTTACCATTAAAAATGAACTCTTTTTACCTTGCAGATGAGCGACAACCGCGCCCAGTCCATCCAATCCCTGCATAGCGTTTTGGAGACACCAACGCCCGATGCGGCGCCCAGTTTCGATGAGCTTCAGCAGCGCCTGGAGGCCTCCAACCGCAACATGCAGCACCTGCAGGACGAACAGGCCAAGCTGCTGCACATCCAGAACATGGCCAAGTCGCACCTTAGCGAAATGGAGCAGCTGCGCCAGCAGGCCGATCGCCTGCCGCACAATAGCAATGGAGGAGAGGCCCCGAAATACGAGTCCGTGCAGCAGGTGCAGGACGATATGGCCTCGCTGGTGGGTCGCATGAAGAATCTCACCGCCTTCATCCACAACCAGAACGAACTGAGCACCGTGCTGGGGGATGATGGCCCCGAAATCCTGGCCGAGCAGCAGGCACTGCAGGAGAAACTGGAGGCGCTGCGCACGCAACGTGAAGATATGCGGAATCTGGTGGACGAACTGAACAGCATCAATCGTACGGCTAGGGAAACAGCAAGGGTCATCAAAGAGGAGACTCCCACGCCGCCTCCAAAGGCAGCTCCTGCTCCTACTCCTGCCAAGGAGCAGGTGGCGCCGGCCAAAGAGCGCGTGGTGCCAGTGGAGTACCAGAGGAACGTACCCATCATGCGGCAGGAGGCGGCAAATGCTGCCCAGCGGGCTCTTCACGCCCAGGCGATGATCAACCAGAAGACGGCGGATATAGAAGCCCTCAAGGCGCAGATGGCCAGGCTAAAGGGAATGCTGAACACTGTAAGCCAGATTGAGGAGGGCACACCCAGCATGGGCGCCGCCTTGGAGCGGCGAAGTGAGGAGAGAACGAGCAGCGTGGAACGTGAACTCCCAGCGGAGATTGCAGAGCGCGTCTACGGTCTTAACCAAGTGACCTCCGAACTGCGGGCCGAGGCAGCTAGCCTGCAAAAGGAGCGCGATCGTATTTTGGCCCTCAAGGCAGAGATTGAGCGCCGCAAACAGCAAGCGGCCGCCGCAGTTCAGATGGGCGAGGATGCCCTGAAAAGAAGTAGTCTTACGCCAACTCCCACGCCCAATAGGCAGCATCAAGTGGAGCAGGAGGAGGAGGAAGATCCATCGGAGGACACCTCCCTTCAGGCCACGCCCACCAAGGAACAACTCCGCAACGAACTGCGCTTGCAGTGCGAGCGTTTGCGCAAGGAGTACGAGCAGAAGCAGCGGGAACTGGAGCAGCGCTACGTGGCCAGCAACAACACCACCTCGGAGGCGGATGACGAGGGTAACGACGACACGGACAGCGATAAGTACTTTGCCAACGTGCGTACCGCCTCCTCTGCTACGCTCAAGCGGGCTGCCTCCGCCAGCACTGTTGTGGAGCAGCGGCGCGGTCAGCAGCAGCCTAACTTGCCGCCGCAGCAAGCTGCTGCTCCGCCGCCACCGGCTCCTCCGTCCACCCTCAACGAAGACGATCTGAACGTGACGCTGGATACGCTTTCCTTGGGCAACGATAGCCTGCCCTCGAGCAGCAACAGGTCGCAGTACATGCCGCCTCCCATGCCGCCAGTGCCAGGAATTTGGGGTATGTTTGTAGACCCTTTTCTTGTAATTAGAATTCAAGCCATGCATAGAGTTTTAGTACTTAACTTGTTTCTTTTTATTATTAGCTTGGAAAATCTATATAATCCATTCTTTATATCCATTTGTGGACGTCCATAAGAACTATTGTTAGAGTTTTTAACCTATTTCTTTTTATTATTATATTAGAAAATCTAAATAATCCATTTTATATATCTATTTGTGGACTTCATGATAATAACTATTGTTAGATTATTTAACTTCTTTTTAATATTAAATTGGAAAATCTCTGTGATCCCTTCTGTATTTCCATTTGTGGACTTTATATGAACTATTGTTAGAGTATTTAACTTATTTGTTTTTATTATAAGATCAGACAAATCTATATAATCCATTCTGTATTTCCATAAGAACTATTCTTAGAAATGGCCCATTAAAAATTATGTTTATTTCCCTTAGCATCGCACAACGCCGGGAATACGTGGCACGGACAGCAACCGATCTACGGGCAGGCTAGCTCCTCCACTGGAGCCGAGTTCAAGCCACCGCCAGCGGCTCCGCAAGTGGGCTCCTCGAATGGCTCCGGTTCAAACGCTTCGAACGACGCCGTGCTACTGCAGCAGTTCATGCAGACGCAACAGATGCTCATCAACTCGGTGTGCCAGTGCAACCAGACGCTGTGGCATCAGCAGCGGGAGATCGACAACCTCAATAACCAACTGCATACGGTAAGCAAGATCTCAAGATTAAAATCCTGATCACAAACTAATCAAACCCTTTAAATACTTAGCTCCAGGATCGCTTCAATGTGGTTGCTTGCCAGGATCACAGCTTTGGGCTGCGTTCGGAGTCAGTGCCGCCGCCGAATCTTCCAGTGGGCCCTGGCATGGGTCAGATGCCCAACAATCTGTGCCTGGGCAACAGTCGTGCCCAGTCCGAGCAGCTATTTAACTTCGGGGCCCACCAGAGCGCCTTTAGTAACTATCAGCGCAGCTGCCATCGCACCGGCAGCGAGTCTCATCATCATCAGCAGCAGCAGCAGCACCAGACGCAGCCGTTTCTCAACAATGCCGCTCCGCCACCGCCGCCGACGCATTACAACAATGAGACGCCCCTGTCGCCGCCAACGTACCGCTCAAGTCCGGGTCCCATCTTTATGAACCATCACAACAACACGATCCACCAGAACAACTCGAATCTGCGAACGCAGAACCAGCATGCCAACAATCTGCACTCGCTGCCCGAAGGAGCAGCTGGGGGAGGAGCACCTGGCGGGGGAATCACCCTGAATAACCAGGTGCCACCCGGAAACCGGGCCAACAATTACTGGGACAATTTCCGCAGGTAATACTACAACTTTTGGTGATGGTATTCTAAACGGGTGTGGGTGGTGGAAAAGGGTTAAGAGCAAAAATAAAAATCAAATGAAACCATTGTCTAAAGTCAATTTTCAATTCTGTGCTGCGGTAAGTGTTCCCTTAACAGAGTTGAAAGTGACTAACGCAAGATTAACCCGAAGTACTAACAAAATTGTTGAGATCCCAAATCAAATTGTTAACTATTAAATAAACTATTTATTTTATTTTATAAATTGTTACTTTAGTTATTTATTTTGGCATCGCTGATTAGATCCCTGCGTAAAACATTTAATTTTTGTATTATCATAGTATGCCATAATATTTCTGTTTGTTTAATACAATTCTATGTGAAACAAATAGATGTTCTTCTAATTCATTCAATTGAATGAATAATTTTATGATTTTTAATTTGTTATATTTTTTTGCCTTTTCAAAAAGGAAATTTTTAACAAATCAATGTTAACTGCTTAGTAAATAAAATTCAGGCAGATTTAATCAAAAATTATGGGCTTTTCTTCTTCAAAAGAAATTGTCGTTTGAATTATTTCGGAATTCATGCCATTCATTCATTCAATTCTATTAAACTCAAAATTCAAATTCAATCAATTCTATCAAACTCAAAATTCTAATTAATTCATTCATATAAAACAAAAAATTCAAAATAAATCATTGAATGAATTCATGCAGGGCTCTAATCCCAATACAATTTGTGATTATTAAATAAACTATTTAATAAATTTTAATTTTATTTTATAAATTGTTACATTAGTTTTTTTTTGGCATTGCCGACTAACAACTGCTTGATTATTTGATGACCGCTTGCATTAACCCATTAATATCTGTGCGCTTTTGCAGTCACTCGCGCCAGAATCTTCTGTCCAACAAGAGCAACGAGGAGCTGAACGTGGACCTCCAGCAGTACCGTCGCCAGCGGGCGCGTCCCAGCTACTTTCCGCCGCCCCAGTTGCTGGCGCCGCCCACATCCCGCAGTGGTTTGACGTCCCACCAGCAGCAGCAGCAGCCGCGTCGCCACTTCTTCGAATCGCCACTAACCGCTTTGCATGGCAGCAGCTCCAATGGCAGCAATAATTTGAACAATAGTGCCGGAAGGAAACGCGACTGGCGCGATGATCCCACACACAATCGCGACCATGACGACGAGGATGTCGATGAGGTGGAGGAGAATCATGATAATGTCATCTTTGGCTCCGGTAGGCGACGCAATCGTCGCCGCCCGCAACTTTCCACGCTGCGAGATGAGGAGACCGAGCAGGCTAGTGCCTCCAATCTCAACATGAACGTAAACTACGGCAATAGTCCGCTGTATCAGCGGAACAAAGTGCCGGCGAAGCCAACCACTTCCACAGTTTCGCTGACTCCGCTGCAGCAGCGACACCTGCGCTTTGACTTTGAGCTTCCGGCTCACTACATGGACTACATTGACCTGCCACAGATGACGCCGGTGGACACTACTCCGATTCTCGGCCAAGAACCCTCGCCCGTTGACGAATCAAATGCGATGGAGCAAACCGAGGAGACGGCCTCCGAGGAGCTCAATCGCAATTTGCTTGTAAATGCTTTGAAGAACGATAAGTTTACCACCAAGTTTTATGAATCCATCAAGGAGGATGTCTACCGCCGACTGGAGACGCTGTTCGAACAGCAGCAGCAACAGCAGCAGCAGCAGCAAAATCAGCAGCTGCAGCAGTCGCAAGAGCCGCACGGTTTGCGAAAGGCTCTTAACCAGGAAGAGGCGGAGCCCACGGATGACGTGGAGGCCACCGAGAGTCGCAGTGAAACGCCGCTGGAAGTGATGCGCCTGCAGCTGGACAATGATCAGCCGGAGGATGAAAAGGCTTCGCCAGTGAAGCAGCTAACGGTGGTCATTCCCCAAAATGGAGCTGCTCTCGAGGAGATGGAAGCCAGTGCATCTGGCGTGGCCTCCTCTGTAAGATTGGATAACGAAGAGGTAAGAAAGCTGCGTTTTCTTTAATAATTTACTCAACATCTGCGTCTTTCTTCTCAGCAAGTGGAACATGCCTCTGCATCTGGAACAGGAGCAGAACCCATCATGGAACTGGCCCCGGATCACGAACTGATCGAGTACATTATCAAACGCATTCGCAACCAGACGCACAACAATACCGTCATCAATGATTCTTTACTGGCGGAGGTCTCCAAGCTGACGGCCACTGCTGCCCAGAATTCGGCCGCCAGTTCGCCACTCATCTCGCCCAAACGCATTTACGCCAAGATCAAGAAGATGGAGATGCCACGACAGCGGGACGAGTTTCTGCTCTGGTATCGCTCCTATTTGGAGCAGCTTTTCGTGGTGGAGCAGCCGCAGGATAGCTGTAAGGTGAAGGTACCAAAAGTGCCTACTGGTACTCCAGCCAAGCAGACAAACAAGCGAGTGCGCGAGCAGTCGCAATCCCAGTCGCAGGACTCCAACAACGACGCTGACCTGGCCGAGGCGGACCAGAAGAATGTCTCCTCGTCGGGAAATGGCGATTTGGAGTGCGAGAACAACGAGAATCCCGGCGAGGAAGCGGATGGCCAGGCTGCGGCAGAGTCTTCCGGTGCAGAAAAGCCAGATATTAGCCTGGAATAGGCTACCAATCCAGCGCACACACATTCCTAATCTCACTATACATCATATGTACGGATATTTAACAACTCATTTCACGGATTTTACAGATTTTCGTGTCCTTAATCTTAGTTCACATTTCATTTGGCCCGTAGTTTTTTATTTAACAGTAAATTATGCAACAATATTATATATATAAATACACTAAAGACAACAATTCTAGTTACTCCTGGTCATTTGCTCCAGCATGCGGTAGTAGCAGTAGCGACTATCGTAGTCCAGGTCGTACCAGAAGTTCACGGCGATGCACTTGTGGCTCTGGGAGACGTGATGGAACCAATAGTTGGGCAGGTACAGGATGTCGCCGGCATGAACGCGCACCTTAAGCGGCTTGGCACGGGCGTACTCCGGATATTTGGCCAAGTCAGGGGCCAAGGGATCGATGCTAACCCATTCCGTGAGCTGCTCGGCGCCCTCCTCATCCAGCAAGGGTTCTATGTGGAATTGCCCGCTCTCCGAGGTCCTGTAAACAGCGGTCCTGTAAATCCCCCGGGCACACAGCTCAACTGATGAGGCGGGATGAGAATGAAGTCTTTATAACCAGATATCACGCAATACATATTCTCATAAGGATCCTTGTGCATCGAGGTCACGGCGCGCTCGTCGCCCAGCCAAAAGTTAACCGCATCGGGGGGTTTATTAAAGGACTGCTGAGCGAAATCCAGATCACTGATCCCCAGATCGGCCACCAGTTCTGGTAGGTCAACACTGAGATTGGAGTTCTGCTTCTGGATGTAGTGAACGGCACCGGTGGGATCATCCAGGCGGCGCACCAGTTCGGATAGCTTCATTTGCGTCTCCAGGGGAAGGACGAAGTACTCCTCGCCTTTCTCGGTGGCCAGGCCATCGGCGTATCCATTCGGGGTGATGGCCACGTCCACTTCCCGGTCCCCCAGAGCCTTGATTAGGTACTCCGGTGTCCATTTGCCAATCGCTGGCCACGAGAGCCCCTGGCGAATGACCACCGGCTGGTTCTTGGCGTAGTAGTCGCGGCAGAACTCCAGGGCACTCGGAATCCGGTCGAGCTCCGCTATGCTGCTCCCGATGCACAGCTCCTCCGCCTCCTGGAGCAGAACGTCCAGCGCCTTCTCAACTTGCGACATGCCGGCAGGTGCCACAGATGTTCAGTGCGTCGATAACGCGTTTTTACCTAGGGTGGACCTTGTTATGGGGGCACAATGGGGTGTTCTGGATTTCTATGAAATTAAAAATGGAACTTGTTTGAGGCTATTAACTGTGCTTCAAAGCAATTACTACCTTAAAAAAATATTTAAATACTCGTTGTTCATCAATAATCGTTTATCACTCATACGCACTGTCGCCCTAAAAAAAAAAATTTTTATTAGCTATTCCTTTCTTTTAAAAATTAATTCAACAAAATCAATAGGTTCACATACATAGCTAGAAATAGGAGAACACACTTTTTGAAATAAATTTTAACTGGCATACACGTCGTATTAGTAATTTGTAATTATTGTAATAATTTTTGAAATTTTAAAACCATTGCTCAATTAAAACAAGATTTTATTTTGCTCTACCTTTCTTTCAACAATTATTTCAACAAATGTTGTTGAACAAAATCAATAAGTTCACAAGGCTATAAATAGGAAAAAGGGTTTTTTGGAATAACTTTAACTGGCATACGTGTCGTATTAGTAATTTGCTAAGAAACTTTAAAACCATTTACGCAACGCCCAAATCTTAAATACAATATTTTTAGTTTTCTAATACATTTTTAAAATTAAGAAGGTTTAAGCAGATATATTTTTTTACACTGAAATATATTTTAATTGTTTTTAATTTTAAAAAATTCGACCCGTTCACACTGCCAAAAGCATCGATAGACGTTGTTTGAGAAGCAAGGCATAACGATAAGCATTTCGTCGGCATTTAGCCACCCCTAGTTAACGGTTGGAGACGCGAGTGTGAATGCGAGTGCGGGAGTTTCAAGACGCGCGCGAAGCTGCGGACTGTCGTACTTTATGTGGAGCGAACTGAAAAGCAAATAAGGCGGCGCGTGTCGAGTGTTTATAATACAAGCGATTTGTTTTCGACTACAAACGGTGTGTTTTCAAAAAACAATTGATTATATTAACGGGACGGTGACGGTGACGGAGGATCGGGGTCACCTCTTTTGCATGCCCGACATTTGCACCACGGATGCGAAAAAGCTGGGCGCGATTTCAGCAACAGGTGGCGGCGGTGGACGCAAATGGATCGTGTCGATGGGCGGAATTTTGGCGAAATTTAGTGCTGATAGACTACTGACGTAGGCCCATTATTATTTTGTGGCCAAAAGGGGTCAGGCAGTGTGCGCGTGAGGAAATTGAATTGACTTGGCCGTTGACGCCGGTCCGAATCCGAAACCAAAATCGAAATCTGTGTCGCAAATGTGGCACTAATAAATTATCGCACATTCGCTCGCCGCACTCGCGAGTGCTTCATTAATGCAGAAATCGCAAATGACGGAGAATATCTAGTTTTGCAGTGGCAGTTTTGCAGCGTTTGTTTCATTTTGCTAGGAACGTGACCAAAATTTCCAAGTGCCGCGTGGATCGCTTCCAGCCGAAATAATACTAAAGTCTACAAGGGAGCCACGCTTCGCGGAGCAGCGAACAAACAAAAAGAACGCTAACTCCGTGGCCTATAAATATCACTCTTCGAAATTACTAAATCCAATTGCAGTCCAATTAACAGCAAAGCGCCAATGAAGCGCCAGTGAAAGAGTAAGTACGACGCTTCTGCAATAGAAAAAGACTTTGGACAGTCGAAGTTTAGATACCCTAAAAGTCCAAGAGCCTTACGATATTGTTATCGAATTTAAATTTCACTTAGCAATCGCTTGTTAAGACCATATGTTAATTAAATTGGAATTCATTTATTATAAACAATTAAAAACTTCCACCCAATGTTCTTTGAAAAAACTAGGATTTAATAAATAGAAGAACATTTTTAAGGAATTTAATTTAAACCACCAAAAAGGGTTCGATTTATGGAGTCTTGAAGTTAAAGAATGCCTTTCCCAAAAATAATGAGCCTACAATTACAAATCATTAAAAATTGTACCCACAACAGCTATACCCCAATAACTAAAATCAGAACCATGCCATTTATAGCATATAATCATTTATTGGGCTATTATCAGAACGGTTTTTCAAATCTAATCTGCTTAAAAATTAAATACGACGTTTGAAAATGTTCTGTGTTGATAGCTTTTAAAATGGACACTTCCTGTGATCATTTACCCATATCTGTGTTGCAAAAACCTAAACAAAGTTCAAGTACTCTCTGGCAGAGTATTAAAATCAACAAACGCCAACAGTGCGTATGACAGTTCTTACGCAATTAAAATACCATCACACGCTGCAAGATTTACATAAATTCGGCCTGCAAAATTGATAAGCGTCATAAAAAAGCAGCCAGCAGCTGTGTGAGTCGAAAAAAAACGAAAGGCAATAAGCCACAAACAATGCAAAGCTTGCAGAGAGCAAAGCAATTTTTCCACAATTTATTTAAATTTCGCATAGTTGTTGTTGCTGTTGCAGTGCAAAAACCCCGAAATGAGTCAGTCGCGTGGCGTTGCAGTTGCATTTGCAGTCGCTGCATGCCAGCGCGTACTTCTTTGTGGCGACAGAGGCTGCGCTGTCATAAACACATAGTCGCAGGGGGAAGGGGATAGGGGGCGGCATTGGCCCACTGCTGCAGCTAGGCGCGATTTTTTCTTGCACCTCGCTGCCCCGCCACCTCCATCACTGACCACACTCAACGACAAATCGACAGCCGCCTTCGGGCACAGTTGAGGTCCAACATATAGCACTCAAAGAGAAAAAGAATAAAAAGATTTATTTTGGTTAATATTTTAATTAAATCGTATAGAAAAAGACACGTCAATTTTATACGGAAAATGAAAAACTAAATGCTTAAGTCCAAGTTATCCAAAAATATAAGACAACCTTTGACAAAGAAATTGGATAGCTTACATTTATTACTTACTTTAAAATTTACAGTAGATTTACAGAATCAAATTCCTCCAGCTTTAAATCTTTTTTGTAAATATGCTACCCACTTGAAGTGAAAGGCCTTAAGAACGTGTTGCTAAAATAACACATGATTTTAAAAATTTTAAAGATATTTCTTTTGCAAAAAGTGAAAATAATAAATTAAGAAGAAATTTATGTTCTTAAAAGTACCATCAAAATAAGTTAAATTTTTTGAAATACATTAATTTACTTAAAATGAGTCTCTAAGACTTTATCATTATCAGTGGTATCTCTCAAATCTCTTCCTAAAAAAGTATATGCCGATATCATTAGGATTTTTTAAATGCATAACACCTAGTCACCTAAACACCTCAGTGTAACTAAAGTTTCTCCACAATTCTTGTAGAACTCTCGTACAAATAACTTTTAAGTTTCATGGTCTGAAAATAACGATGCACTATAAATATTTTTGGGTGCTATTACTTTGACCACCATGGCTTTGTTGTCTGTCTAGCAGCTTGAGTGCTTTGCGTGTGGCTTTTTGGAATTGCATTCGGCAAACGCAAACGCAGAATGATAAATGATTGATGCTCGTGGCCAGAATACGCATTAGTCGGGCATTAGCCGGCCTCTAGGCGGCGCCCGATTTTGGTGGGTTCGCAAATTTCTTGGCCCGCAGCGGCAACGGGATTCAGGGGATTGTGTTATCAGCCACGTCACCGACGCTCACGCACTTAAATTTAAATAGTTAAGTACCCACAATATATAAAACTAATACTGCTGATTAGCCGCGAAACGGGGCCAAGAGATTATGCGTAGAATTGAGGATGTCCCTCGGTGGAACGCAAATTACCCGCAAAATTGCTCTTCTATAAATGGACTCTATATACATATATCGCCACTTGTTACCTGCATGTCATTCGCACCTTTGACGGTGTCATGGAAATTTAATTAAACCTTTATGCAGATGGCTTTTCAATCGGTGGCTCCAACAATGTTTTGCCCCTGAGGGGGGAAAAATGTTGGACAAACGCCCGCTTATCACTTAAAAAGCAGCTCCAAATGTAAAACACCTGGGGGCGTGGCAGCAGGTGGGCGGTGGCGCGGTCGACATATGTTACATTCATTCTTGTCGCTTATCAACAACAATGGGCCACCCGGTTGAGCTGGCGACAAAGAGCCTCACCCACAGTTGGCACACTTTTCGGGGGCTTGGAACTCGTATACCTACACCCAAAAAAAAAATTAAAAGTGTTAACTGTTTAAGGAAATATATTCGAGATTAAGTATTAAAAATTGGTATTGACCTAATACTAAATAATACAAATTCTATACTCAGTAGTATTAATTTCATAAGAAAAATTACATACTTAATATTAGGTAGTTTTATTTCTATAGCGAAAGTTTCGATTTCACCCTTTGGAAAATATTAATTTAATACTCATCTAACTAATTCAAATTTAACACTCCATAGTGTTGAATTTATGTAACATTAGTTTCGTTTTTATGATTTTTTTTCGGTGTATGTATAGGAAATAGTTTTTTTGAGGGGTAGGGGGTAACAAGAGAGGTTCGCAGTTGGTGAGCCGTTCAAATGGCATCCCATAAAAACGTTGTACAGAAATTAACATAGCCATAAAGGCAAATTCACTAGGGAGGAAAAGACGAAGAAGTAAAAAAAAACACCTTAACAACACGCGTGTTGGGACCCAAAAAAGAAGGAAACTTTAATTGATAAAGAGGGGGCAGCTGGGGAGACGCACAGATTCCTTATCAATTCCAACTTGCCGAAACCAAAGGCATTCCTGGCCTCATTAACATTAACATTAGAAAGGAAAGTGAACAAGGGAAAAACAGAAATAGCAGCTCAAAGCGAAACAAAGTGAAATGAAAATGAAATTGTTGCGACTTAATTTCTCTTACACATTTCTGTAATGGCTATATTTTATGCTTGCAATGTTCTGAGGGGGGCCAGCTGTAGAACAACCACAAAAACCGAAATTGAAACGATACATGTAAATAAGGGCCGACTATACGATACCCAGTAAGGAGTAAGGGAAGTTCGGAGAACTAAGTTTATTGTTAGATATCGAACTCATTGTATTGGACTTAAAAGCTAACTTTTATCGTATTTTTAAAATTACAAAAATTTTTTTTTTTAATTTTTTTTTTTGTGTTTAAATTTTTTAGGGAAATTTTTTATTTTTTAAAAGCTTTTCTTAAAAAATTGTTGTTAAAAATCTCTCCAAAAAATCAACATTTTTATTTTCTCATGGATTTGGTATACTCGATATTCCCCTGTTCTTTGCAACTTCCGGGTGCAAAAACAATGGACATTTAGCAGGGTTTGTGGTCCTTCTGTGGTTGGTCGCACAGCCCACCTCCAGACCCATTATTGGATCCTGCGGAGCTCCGTGGGTCTGAATGCTGGGGTGGGTGCTTCTATTTTATGGCCCGACATTTAATGCTCAGCCACCCAATCCGAATTTGAAACCGAAACTGAGATTTAAGCGGGCCGCCGAGGCCAAGTGCAGGCAAATGGAGAGGAAGCTGGGTTTAATGCCCGCTTAACCCACTTCGTCTGACAAATGTGCAACTCTAAATCTTCTCCTCAAAACGAAAACGCTTGAATATAAATCACGCGGCACAGAAACAGGAGTTGACTGCTCATCGCCGAGCGAGAATCTGACGCTAATGAAGCCCCAATTAGCAGTGCTAAAACTTTTGCGCGGGAACCTAGTTCATTGCATGTTTTTAGGCGCTCGCTATCGCGAAACTTGAGCCTCTTATCAGCCGGCAATTGATCATCATCAAGCGTAATTGGCTAATTGTCTGATATCCACGAGTGAAGTGAGGTCATAAAGTCGGCGGATGGGCGCTACGTTTCGTAATGAAGTGACCACGAGTTGGATCTTTCTTTGGACTTTCCAGGGAAAATAAAATCCATACGAGAGGCTACGTGAGAGGACTGAAGATTGAGGATGGGGCATTGGCATTGGCCCAGTAACTTGCACCGGGCACGCAGCAAATTGGTTTCGCCACAAACTTCGGTTCCGGTTCAAGAAGGGTAGTTTCCGACATTCGTTTGCACATTCCCCGAAAGATAAACTTAAGTACAGCGCATTTAAATGCAATTTGTGACAGTTTTCCTTTAGCGCGACTTTCAAGTGACACGCACACACAGCTGGGGGTGCCGGTTTTTAGTGGCTGGTGGGTGCAGTTGGACGGGGCAGATGGGAAAATCCACCCGCCTTGTGGAAAAAAGTTAAGGCATGCTTGGCACAAAGGAATTTTCCTATCAAATTGCACGGAAATATGCGCAACAACTACAATCATGGAGATGCACCACGGGTCACGACATGCTATCACTAATTTATTTTAAATATTTTGAGCAGCCAATTTGATAGAAATTCCTTATATTTAAAAACATTTTTATAAAATGGAGTTCCTAAAATTCTCTTTTTGTTTTATCTGAACTCCTAGAACCTGAGTTTCGAAAGTAAAACAATTTTCAAACCAATATAAAAAACATTAAACTCACAATACAACATTCTGTAACCTTATAATAAGCTTACAATTAAGCTAACATCAAAAAGTGACCTAAATATTCAAAGAAATATTTATATTTCCCAGGCTTCCTGATTTAATCTACTTTTTCTATAGTTATCACGAGGCTCACGCACTCCTCATTGGGTTATCCTTGCATGGCATAAATCTGCTTCAATCCAGAAATATACGCAAATCCTTGAAGCACACTCAAAGGAGCCGATTCTCGATAAACTTTTCCTTTTTTCCTCCTTTCGTTTGGCTGGATCGTCACTTCAGACAACAGATGGCACAAGGAAAAGGGAACTTTGAGAACTTCTCCTATCTGGGAAATGAGAAAAGGATGGGCTACCCCACTCCTTTGCCAGGAGGACGTGCGTCAAAACTTCGGGGGCGAGGCCTTTTAAATTGATTTTAAAATAATGAATGAGCCCAACGCCTGACGCACATCAATTTTGGCACTTGCTCATCGCCTTTTGGCCCCCTTTTCACCCAACCATCATTGCAGCAATGACTAATGACAAAGTTGCTCCTTTGTTTCCCTTATTCTTTTGGCTTTTTATTGGGTCTGCTGCGAAGCTCACAAGAAACCGATGTAGTAGGCTCCCCGGGAAAAGGGTGAGGACTGTCGGGTCTCCAGGAAATATATGCCCGAGGCAGGCAGCTCATCCTCCTCCCGATTTTGGCCCATTTTGTGGGTGGACCAGCGGCAACTTGAGGCGCCCAGAGTTTCCACCGAACCACAACGGGCACTCACAAAGTCATTCTCCGGCGACCAGATCTCCGCCAGCAGCTCGAAGGATCTCTCATGCGAACAGGAGTTTGTGGAGCAACCAGGCTGGTTTTGTCCACCATTCGGGTAGTAATCCACATGACCCAGTTGCTCCCAGGTTCCCTCTCCTCCGGCATTTGTGTGCACCACCTCAACGAACTCCGCATCGGATGGGGATAACTTGTGCTCCAGATCTTCGCCAGGTGAGGGATCTAGGGCAGTGATTTGCGGCAACTGGCTACCCAGATCCTGCTGCACCCTGGCAGCCACTCCACCTGCCAAGTGGGCACCCTCAGCGAAACCCACTAGGAGAATGCGATCCAGTGGCACATCGAAGTTTCGGTTGAGGAGGATTACCAGGCTGGAAACGCTATCGATGATCTCTGTTTCATTGGTGGCCTGGGATAGATCCACACTGATTATATTGCTGTCCTGCTGCTGAAGGCGGGCTGAAACCACAGCAGAGATCTCCGGCGAGGAGCTATCACCCAGCCAACGGGGAATGGATAATCTAGGGGAAGATCAAAGTTCATTTTACTAGAAATTAATGGGGGAAACACTTAGTAAGTGACTCACACTGTGGGATCCGCGGCGTAAAAAGAGCTTCGCACCAGAGCCTCCACCTCCGCCTCGATTTGCTGCGGATTTTCCTGCACCCGACGAGTGTTCAGGAGGAATTTCGTCTCCCCGCAGACTGGAATTGGTTACAGTTTGACTTAAGGATTGGTAATACTCCATTAACTTGGCCTACTCACCCGCAGCTATTGCGAGGGTCAATATGAAAGCAATAAGTTGTCTCGCCTGCATTCTCATTGTAACTAAAGTAACAGAGTTAGTAAGCCTTTGGCCGAAGGCATTCCTCAAAAGCTCGATAAGATTGCGATTAGGGGTCTCGTTTTATGATCATTGATAAGCGATTCCTTATCGTTGGTCATCCACGATCCATCGCTGATGGATTGTACTATACTATACTATAGCTTCCCCCGGCAAACTCAAACCACTTGGCCACTGATTTTCACACGTTCATCGGATTTCGTTCGTTCGTATTTCTCTCACGCTACAAATTGTTGTTTATGGCTCTTGTAGATTGTCAAATTAATCAGCAGCAAAAGCGGCAAGCGGTGGCAGCAGAGCTGCATAGCAAGTGTCGGCACTCCCCTGCCCTCCACTTCATCCGTTTTGGATTGCAGCTGCATTTGCATGGCAGACAAATTGCATTTAATTGCCCGACAGCCTCAAGAGTCGAGGGCCGCCGGCACTTGCTTTCAGTTGGGTTGGGTTGGTGGGCCGGAGCTTCAGCTCGGAAAATGTGTAGCAAACTTCATGCCAATCCCCAAACGGAATGCTACACCTTCCCCCCTCTGCCCCGGGAATAGACCTACACCTCCCCCATCAATGTCAGAAGGCAAAACAATGAAATTGGCAAATTAAACTGGAAGTGCAATGTTACAGCTTCACTGAGAAGAAAACTTATGGAGTTTTTGATTATAATATAATCTTAAAATTAATGCTAAATTTTCAGCGACAACCTTTTTTACCTAAATATTTAGTAGTCAGAGTTTTAATAATTTTGTCATGTAATAATTTTATAATAATTATGCCATTTAAGAGATCAATTTAAGACTAAGATTGAATAATAAACCAAATATTTAAAAATGTATTAAATTTCGAATTGCCAGATTTCCAAAAGTGTGGATAGAATTTCGATAGAAATTTTCACGGAGGGTTTATTTAAAATTTATTTTAATCAACATTTTTTAAAAGAAATGGTTTTTAAATCTAGCGATTTTAAGGACAGCTTGCAATATCTTTCGGAATTTAAAAGTTCCGTATAGTTTTTGATAATTTGCGAATTGTTTTACAAAAGTTTAACTTATTTTCTTAAAGTTATCCTTTATGTCAACGTTTTGTTTCTAATAAAAGCATTACAAACAACATGGAAATATGAAGACCTTAAGGAGGCGTTTTCCTACAGTGTTGCAAATACGCATGGCTCCCTTTGATTAGGCTTCTGTATGGCAGGAAAGCCATAATCTGATGGATGCAGCAGCAGGTGACCTCGTCATGCGACATAGTATCCTTGGGCAGCTTAGGTATTCGGACAAACTGGAGCGGAAACAAGAACTTTATGTACTTTTGCGGCATGGAGTTGCCTTTGGTTTTGGGGTTCCCCTCGCGCAGTTTTGCGGATAAATCGCTTGCGAAATTGTTGTGTCAAGTGCAGGCGGTGTGTCCAACCTCTAAGACCCCTCACTATCGCATCTCCTTGGATTCTGAGGGGCCCAACAATTAACCGGAGATCCAGGAGCTCTTCTTGCCGGCTCAATGGGCACGTCACGGGTTTTCGCTAGATTTACGGCCAAAGGAGCGTTATTAAACGATGCCAACGATGCCGATGGCGGCCATTTATAACATTGTTGTAACCGGGGAGATGTTTTGGGGAGGGATCGAGAGGGGTTAGCTACTTGTATTAGCATAAATAGAACGGCATGCCGCACGCAACGCTTTACAAGCCCAATAAGCTAGAGCGCATTCCATTCAGAAAACAGAGGGGAACTTTAGCTTTGGGGTCAAAAGGGAAAGTCAATATGCCAGGCTAACTTTCAAGTGGTTTCGGGAGTGCAGCGGTGGAAAAAACGAGGGTGGCTGAGCAGCAGCTCGAGTCAATATAATAAATTACTGTGATGGCTTCAAGAAGTTGCAAAGGTTCTGCCAATATTCAATACCCCCAGCAGAATCCAAAGGGCGTGTGAAAGAAGCAATCAGCCATGGAGAAAAAGTGGGTGGATGGGTGTTCGGGGGGCCAGTGAGAGATGTGGCAGACAAAAGGCAAACAAAGACATTCCAAGAGGAAGCTAGGGAGTATGTGAATAAAGGCAGGGGAACTGGGGTCTAGCGGCTCTATCAGCAACTTTCCATGCAGCAGCCGAGCGAAAATCACACATGATGCGTCGCCATTTCTCATAAAAATTTCATTACATTGTCCGAAATGTGCGGCAAGTTTAATATCGGTGAGTTTCAACACATTGTTAAGGTTTGCGCACATAAAGAAAGAATCCTAAGAAATAGCTTAACGTACTCTATACCAACCCTTGGCACGCCCCGAAAACAATTAGAACTGTGATAAACGAGCTTCAACTTAAGCTATTCGCTCATTGGGAGAGGTGAACGTCTTTATTACCAGACATTTATTTACAAAAGTCTACGCAGAAGTCTAATTTCTCAATAACTTTTTGAGGAGAAAAATTTAGCTTAGACACGATAAACTTTTTAGGTCCTTTTTATTACCAAAATTGTCTAGTCCATTTAAGCAGATTTTTATACATCAGTTTAACATTTTATAACCCAGTTTTAGAAATCTTTAAATTGCAGGGAACATTTGGTAAATAGTTCTATGTAAAAAAAAATCTCAATACGTTTCAATAAAACTGATTTATATATAATCATTATAATAATATATATTTATATTTTGTATGTATTTAAATTTTAATATTTTAATGTAACTTTAAAACATTCGCTATTTCTAACAATTTTATGTTCTTTTAAAATAATAATTTATCTAAAATTCAAACCACTCTCTCTCATAAAATTCTGAGCATGATTAAAACACGTTCAAGACACATTGAATTAATTGTCCCAAGTAAGTCGCATTATACGATGTGCGGAAGTGTACATAAATGAAATCTTTTGCGTCATTACGGCAGCCATCTTTTATGAAGCCTCCGCTAAAGTATCGTGCATTAGTTTATGTGTTATTTGCCTCCCATATGGGTGTTGGCTTTTGGGGGGGCGGCAGGATGTTTGTACATAAGGCAGATGTATGTGTGCCCCCGCATAAATCAGAGGCAGTCCTGCATGACCGTGCCAGCAGTATCCCAGTGTTGTTACAAGTCTCGAGTTTAAGGACGCTGTGATTAAAGTCCTCTTACTTGCAGAACAGGAAATATATATCCGACAGAGGAGGTCCATGTCGAGAACGTAATTAACCAGAGGGGGCAATGCAAACGCGACGAAAATGTTGCATCTCCTCGAAGGATCAACATCTGCTGCCAAGGACACTGACAAACCAAGGGGAATCCTTCGCCATTTAAGTTAAGAGCCCCCCAAAAAGGAGCAGGATCTTACGCCACTCCCGTCCCCGCGTTATGTTTGCACACCCCTGTCCTGCCCCAGCTGGAATCAACCAATCAGGACGACTGCTGCATCCACTGCTCCACTGCCTCCTCCTGCTCCTTCTCGTCGCCTCCAGCCACTTCCGGCCGTCTCATGGAGAGGTCTTCACGCTGGGCTACCTCACGGCCTCGCAACGGCGACCGGGAAACCTGGACTACAATCGACCCGGTCTCACCATCTCCGGCGCCATCTCGCTGGCGGTGGAAGAGGTGAATGCCGGTCGCCTCCGGGATCGGGGTCACTCGCTCCAGTTCGTTGTGGCCGAGACTTATGGCGAGGAGGTGGTCAGCATCCGGCAAACGGCTGCCCTGTGGACGCAGCAGGTGGCCGCCTACATTGGCCCCCAGGAGACGTGCGTCCACGAAGGTCGCATGGCGGCCGCCTTCAACCTGCCCATGATATCATATGTGAGTAATAAAACCTTTCCCTGTTTTTGGTAACTACCACTGATTAGTAAACCATATCTAGTACTGCACCCACCGGGATCCCTCGAACAAGGCTGATTTCCCCACCTTTGCCAGGACTCGACCGCCCGACACACAGATCTCCAAGTCGGTGGTGGCTCTCTTGCTAGCCTTCAACTGGACGCAAGTGAGCTTTCTGTACTTGGACGACGACAGTGGTCAGTATCAGCCCGTGGCGGAGACCATCCTGAGCACTCTCAGTGAGGCTGGCGTGAGTATCCGTGACATTCGCACCTGGAACACCATCTACCATCACGGATTTATGGACAATCCCTTCGAGGCGCTGGTGGAACAGACCTTGGCCAACACAAGAAGTGAGTGGGGGATTAGATATTAGATATATCGATATTTTCGATAAGTTTTAAAATATTAAGTCGATAATAATATCGATCTTTTTAAGGAAAAAGGGAAGATCTAACAAGTTATTATGATAAAACATCAGAGAATAATTAATGATTCCGATAACATCTATGTTTAAAAAATATCGAAAATATCGATAGTGTCGACATTTTTCAAAGCTCTTTTAAATGATTATATATCGATGTTTTCCAAAGAAAAAAGTAATACCAAAAAAAATAATTATGAGGAAGCATAACAAATTAATCGATGATTTCGATAAACATCGATGTTTGAAAAATATCAAAAATATATATTAGTTAATCCAGATTCTATATTATCTAATCACATATTATAATCTCTTTTATAGTCTATCTCATTCTGGGCCACTACTACGAACACGTTGGCCTAATGGTGAGCCTTCAAAAGCGGGGTCTTCTATCCCGAGGCGACTACTTCGTCGTGGGCATAGACATCGAGCAGTATGATCCGGCCAAACCAGAAAAGTATCTGCGTGGTTTACTTCTGGAGGATGTGGAACCACTGGCCGTGCAGGCTTTTCAGTCCTATCTGTCCATTGTGCCCACTGCGTCCGTCTCCTTTGCCACTTTCGCCAACGAGGTTCGTCCTGCGATGACAGCTCCTGACAGGGATGTGATTGATGCGCTGCATCCGCCTGCGGCTGCCATCATATCACATAATTGTCGTCGGCTCTTTCGCCACATTGACCACACATTCTGACCCTCATTTCGGTTTTCGCTTTCAGGTCAACAAATATATGGAGCGACCGCCATTCAATTTCCCCAATCCGCTGGGTCCCTTTGGAGGCGTAAAGCAGGTTTGTGCTGGAGCTCCCCTTGAAACCCAAAACGAAACCGAAACTCATACTCCATTTTGTCCCACAGATAAGCGCCGAGGCTGCCTATCTGTATGATGCCGTGCATCTGTATGCCAAGGCCCTGATGGAAGTACTGGATTCGGGCGGAAGGCCCAGGAACGGCAGCGCCATTGTGGCGGCCATCAAGGGCTCGCGATATCGCAGTGCCATGGGGTGGGTGTTTTGGATGGGTTTTGTTTGGGTGCTAGCCCATTTGACAGCTAATCCGGACAACACTCCTTTTTATACCCTTGCAGAGGGTATTATAATTGTAGTCAAAAGTTTGCAACACAGTGAAGAAGATGTTACCGACCACATAAAGTATATATATTCTTCATCAGCACCAATAGTCCGTATGTCCTTCTGTCCGTCCGTCTGTCCGTCCGTCTGTCCGTCCGTCCGTCTGTCTGTCCGTCTGTCCGTCTGTCCGTCCGACTGTCCGTCCGTCTGTCCGACCGTCTGTCCGTCCGTCCGTCTGTCTGTCCGTTTGTACGCAAACTAGTCTATTAGTTTTTAAGCTATAAAAAACTTAAACTTAAACTTAAACAGGTAGTATATAAGTCGGAACCGACCGGATCGGACAACTATATCTTATAGCTCCCATAGGAAGGATCAAAAAAGAAACGTTAAAAAAATTCTAGCTTATTTTAAAATTGGATCACTATTGAAATATTAATACGAAAGCAGCTAAAATTTTGATTTTTGTAACATATACGCAAGTAATTCCAAATTTAATGCCTAAAATTGTAAGTTAATAGGAATGATCTGCAAGGGTATATAAACTTCGGCTGGCTGAAGCTAACTTCCTTTCTTGTTTATTTTTATTTTACAGCTATCACGTCTACATCGATGAGAACGGCGATGCGGCCGGTAATTATACAGTATTAGCCAGGGGAACGGTGCGGAATGGTCGCAATCAGACGGTTCTGGGTCTGCGACCCGCGGGCACTTTCATCCACCGGAACAGCAGCTTCAGCAGCGTTAGCAAGGCACTGCCCGTAAGTAAATCCCTGCTTTTCACATGCGCCACTCTTGTGTAACTTGCTCTCTGCCAAATCTCCCACTTAAAATCGCTTGGTCCTTCCAGCACCAGGTAAGCGCTTTTGCCTGGTCCCAACTAACTAATCACACACCTTTTCCCCTTTCTGCCCCTGAATTCCCATTTAATCCTGCTCTCTATTGGGTTATCCGCAGGATCTCAAACTCTTTAGCCCCATCGACTGGGTGGGTGGTTCGCGGCCAGCAGCTGCTCCTCGTTGTGGATTTGGTGGCGAAAAGTGCGTCAGTGAGTATGGAATTTTGTGGCGGCCAGTTGCATGGGTTAACCGAAAAGTCCTCCGATTAATCCCCAGATTATACTGGCGAAATATCGGCGGCCATTGCAGGCGGTGCTTTGTTGCTGCTCAGCCTGGTTTCGCTGGTCCTCTATCGCAACTGGCGCTACGAACAGGAACTGGACAGTCTGCTCTGGAAAATAGACTTTCGCGAGGTGCAGATCCACGAGAACGAACGGGAAAGTCAAAGTCAGAAGCAGACTCGCGTAAGTCCCGGTCCCTGTCATCTTACCCACGTGACAGGGATATTTAGCGTAATAGACAGTGCACTTAGAAAATAGATTGGGTCTAAAGAGGTACACTGTCTCACTGACGTCAACACATTGAAAAGTGCCAGTGGAGAAAAGGGCTTCTGCACTAAAGTTAGAAAAAAGCCTTTAAAAAAGTTAAATTTAAATGTAGTTCGGAAATCTCCATTAAAATCCCTTATATGTTTGAGTTTTATTTTTTATAAAAGTCTGGGAGTATGTGTGTGTGTGTTTTTTTTTAACTCAAAGAACCTTTGGTATTATAATAATAGAACTCAAAATTATAAAAGTCAAGCAATTTATATTAAATATAAATATTTTTATATTTCACAAATTATTACAGTTAAAATCCCAGCTTATAACAAAGTTATCTTTGTTTTAATTATTTTTCTAAGTAAATTCCAAGGCAATTCATTTTATCCATTGTTTTATGGTTAAAAAAAATTACCCAAGAAACACGATTTTTTTTTTCAATGAACACATTTTATAGGAGGAACAGAACAATTTTCTGTTATTCTGTTGATATATTGAATCATTTTTTTGTGTGTATGTTGGGGAATGAAGGCCACATCAGCAGCATGAGTTTACCAAGTAAGAATCTGTCAGGAGTGCAGGCGAAAAGCTCTCATATTCCGCCGTTTAAAGACTCTTCTCCCGCCATTGCATGTCTGACAACAGCACTTGCTAAATCACTTGCCGCGTCGTCTTCCTCCGCAGTCCACCCATCCGCTGATCCGCACCAGCCAGGTGAGCCTGAGTTCCAATCCGGACGCCGATTTCCGCTACACCACCATCTTTACTCCGATTGGACTGTACAAGGGTCAGCTGTATGCTATTAAGAAGGTGCGCAAAAAGAGTGTCGACATCACACGCGAAATGAAGAAGGAGCTGAAGTTGGTGAGTTGGTATAACTATGTTAATTTGTAACCTTTATAACCTATTTCCAAATTCAAATCCTTTCCAGCTGCGAGATGCCCGGCATGACAATATTTGCGCCTTTATAGGCGCCTGCACGGATCCGCCAAATATCTGCATCATCAGCGAGTATTGCACTCGTGGCAGCCTTAAGGTCAGTCGGTCAGCCAAAAGACTCCCCAAAACGTCTAACAACCCATTCTTGCCATTACAGGACATTCTGGAGAACGAGGACGTCAAGCTGGACAACATGTTCATTGCCTCCATGGTGGCAGACATTATACGCGTGAGTGCTGTAACATTATACTAATGGCCAGCCCACCCACTGACCTCTTTCTACCCCATCTTTCTCCTTTAACAGGGCGTCATCTATTTGCACGACTCGCCCATTCGCTTCCACGGGGCTCTGTGCACCTCCAACTGCCTGGTGGACTCGCGATGGGTGGTCAAGCTGACGGACTTTGGCCTGTTCGCTTTTAAGCAGGGAATCGAGGATAGCTCCACGGATATGCAGCATATGTCGGCCAAGTGTCTGAGTGGGTGATCCTTCCCAGCTTTCTGCTTTATCCCTCTAAATTCTAAATTCCATTTTCTCTTTCAGAGCTTCTCTATCGAGCTCCTGAGCTGCTGAGACAGGGTCCTTCCTCCCTGGTCATGGGCACCCAACGCGGGGATGCCTACTCCTTTGGCATCCTGCTCTACGAGATGCATGTGCGGCGTGGACCCTTCGGCGAGACGGGTCTAACGCCCATGCAGTGCCTGCAGAAGGTGCTCCAACCCCAGCTGGATCAACAGCATCCCTATAGACCCTCTCTGCAACCCCTGGAAACCGCCTTCGATTGCGTGAGCGAGTGCCTAAGGGAATGCTGGGCGGAGAGGCCGGAGGATAGGCCGGATTTCAAGACCATCCGCACAAAACTGAGACCTCTCCGCAAGGGAATGCGGCCCAATATCTTCGACAACATGATGGCCATGATGGAGAAGTATGCGAATAATCTGGAGGCCCTCGTCGACGATCGAACGGATCAGTTGCAGGAGGAGAAAAAGAAAACGGATGCACTACTCCACGAAATGCTGCCACGTTGCGTGGCCGATCAGTTGAAGAAGGGTCACAAGGTGGATCCGGAGCACTACGAGCAGGTCAGCATTTACTTCAGCGACATCGTCGGATTCACAGCCATGTCCGCCGAGTGCACACCGCTGCAGGTGGTGGACTTCCTCAACGATCTGTACACCTGCTTCGACTCGATCATCGGGCACTACGATGTCTATAAGGTGGAAACGATTGGGGATGCGTATATGGTGGTCTCGGGATTGCCGCTACGGAATGGAGATTTACATGCTGCGGAAATTGCCACCATGTCGCTGCACTTACTCAGTGCTGTCGCGGAGTTCAAGATCCGCCATCGGCCCACCAACCGCCTGCTCCTGCGAATCGGCATTCACTCGGGACCCGTTTGTGCCGGTGTCGTGGGCCTGAAGATGCCGCGCTACTGCCTCTTCGGGGACACCGTGAATACGGCCTCGCGGATGGAGTCCAGCGGGGTACCGCTGAAGATCCACTGCAGCTGGCAGTGCCGCCAGCTGCTGGAGCGGCTGGGTGGCTATCACTTCCAGGAGCGCGGCGTCATCGCCATGAAGGGCAAGGGAGACCAGCGCACCTACTGGCTGCTCGGCGAGGATGAGGAGGCGCGAACGCGGCGCACCTACGAGAGATCACAGAGGCGAGGATCGAGGGCGCTTAACAAGTTCATCCAGGGCACCATCAAGCAGGCCCAGGATCAGGCCAATGAGTACGGAATACGCTCCTCGCTAAAGCAAAAGACTCTACCTCGAAACTCTTTGACGCGATCTTCTAGTTTAGAGTCGCCCAAGAAGCTGCGATTCGCCGCAGGGAGTCTCCTGGAGCATCATCGATATCATAGGTTTGATATCTGAATATGTTTAAAGCAGTGATGGCCAGCAGAAGCAGCATACATACTCGTACAATAAAAGAACGCATTGCGTTTTTCTGCTTTACAGCGTTCGTGAGCGTACGTGAGCAGCGCAGCGGTAGAGAAATTGCCTATCCTGCGCGCTGCTTTTACCGGCCACCACTGGTTTAAACTTTAAAGGTTTAAGAAATCTAAAGAATTCTCTATCTTTCAGTGACGAGGCCCTGCTGGAAGTGGACTCCTATACGGGACTGCGGCGTTCCTCCGGCGGATCCACACAATCGCGTTACGAGGAGACTACCCTTTCGCTGACCCTCTCCTGCCAAAGTATTGAGATCGTGGGTGGTCAGCACAACAAGAGGCGACCATCCTCATATCCCACTGCCAATACACCGCTGCTAATGAACCATGTGGAGGTCTAGTGGCCACCTAGTACTTATTTACACCCAACTACAGGGATCTTAGTGGAATTTGTGTTCAGTACGTTTAGTTTTAGCCAAGTATTTGTGTCGCTTTTGAGTGTCGTCCGCAGATCCGCTATCCTTGGGGGTCTGCATTGTAATATTGTGGTAACTGTAGCATCAGCATATTGTGAGAGTGATTATAAATCTAGTCGTTGTTTAAACACACATTCATGCGCTAACCGAAATCAAATTAAAATAGTCAATAACCGTAACTAAATGATATGAATAAAGAGTAAAGAAAATTAAACACTTATTGTATAGTCTAGGATTATCCAGGGACATATTTATTATGTACTGTGTGTTGCAATTTGATTCCATTTCAATTGTTGTGTCTTGGAGACAGTTGCTTTTATTTTTGTATAATTGTATTCATTTGACAAACTTAACGATTTCATTATATAACTTTAGTTTAAAACCGATTTGTGCATTTCTCTAGGCATTATAAATACAGTATTTGATTCGCCATCCAATCGCCATATATGTATTTTCGTGTATCTCTGAATCTCTGAACCATTTTTATTTTGTCAAAGCCAGCTTGCAAAAACGTCTCAAATGTCCATTAGATTGTTTTCGATATTCTAGGAAAGGTTGTAAATAATTTTACATTCTTATTCGATTATAATTTAATTGTGTTTTTGGTTTCTTTATGATAAGCCACAAGCTTTAAAGCACACTTTAATGCAATTGGTTTAGTTTAGATTAAATTTTGTTTGTGAATCAATGTATTGCTTGTCTTCTCGTAAGGGTTTCCCCGTTTTTGGGGTTTTTTTGTGTGTGGAAGAAAAAGGGTGGCGGTGAGCTAATAAACTTTGTTTATATATTCAATGCTACACAATGCAACAGTTCTAAATAACAATCTCAAATCTCATATGTCAATACTATATCAACTAGGTATGAATGTATATAACGCTTCTTTTGGGTTTCCCCATTTTTTTTTGTTTTTCTTCGCTATCAAAATATTTTTGCAACAACAATGGATATAATCAAAAATACGCAATTGTACAATTCTCAATTATTGTTCGACTGACTCCGCTCTCGGTACAAAACTAACAAATGGCCACTACCGGGAGGCCGGGGGATCAGTCCTTCCAAATGGGACCGACAACAAATCTGCTCGTATAAATAAATACGCTATATAATATACAGTAAATATGCCGTGTATATGTATATGTCGGTATTTCTTAAATGCGTCTCTGAAAAATAATCTCTCAACATTTGATTTCTTTTGATTCAGGCTGCACTCGAAGGCGAGTGCCCCGAGTGCCGTTTTTTTTTTAAATTGATCAACAACTTTTTTTAGTAGCCAAAGCCGGCAAACGAAGGATGCCTTAGCTTTAGGGTCTAACAACAGTAAGCTACTCGAGGGCACTACGAATCTGAATCGGAAGGTAATCCCGGGAATCCGTAGTCCTCTTCCAAACAAGTCTGCAGGTAACGCGCGCGTTTTTGCCAAAGGGTGTGCCAAGTTGCCTAAGGATTACAGATTACAGATGCAGTGGGTGTCAATGCAACTCGCTTTAAAAAACCTCCTCGCCTCGTGAGGTCCGTCGCGGGCCTTCATCTCGGCTTCTTCACCAGGCTGGTGGATCTGTGATAGTCGAGGATTGGATGCAGATTACCAAAATAGTTTAAATACTTAATAGGACTCACCTCTTTACGCCATGACGTGGACTGGCGGGGGGAGTGTGACAGGGCGAGGGTGGAGCCGAGCCACCCGACGAGCCCCTCGACGAGGATATAGATAATGTGGAGGCCCGCGGTGCCGAGCAGCCCAGGTAGATGGCCGAACCCTTGTCGGCATCCCGCAGATCCACTCGAGACCCGTGGACGGAGGAAGGAACCGAGCCTGGTTAGGGATTTTCAAATTATTATAGGTTTTAAAAATAAATATTAACCATAAATTTTCTGTTAACCGTAAATCTTCTGTTAATGGTGGGTATAAACGATGCAGCTTACACTTAAAACAAAGATTCTTTATATCTCGGCAACTTGTTTAAAATTGAAAAGCAGTGAAGCCTTTGAAAATTCCCATATTCTTCTTTTTCACTGCACACAAAAAAAGCATGTTCCCGTAAAATTGATATGGCCATGTAAATTTCAGGTCATGCTAAACGCATATCGTTTTTACATGAAATACTCTTTTCGACCAGGTCAAATTTACCTGGACGCATAACAAATTAAAATTGATCTTAAATAATGTAAAATCGATCTACGTTTCATATCGATTTATTTTTGGGTGTACACTGTACATCCTTTAAAATTACATTAGTAAGTTGGCAGCTGCATCGTTTACAGCCATTTGAAGATCCTTTCTCACCCGTATAGGCGTGCAGTCCAGCCGGACTACTCCGTGGCCGCACTCCAAATCCGCTGACCGTGCTGGCACTTCGCTGCAGTTGGGCGGAGCCGTTTCCCTCCCTGGCGGTGGACTCCCTCCGACTGCCCGCGCTGCTCACCCTCGGCGTTTCCCTCGAGGAGGAGGAGGAGGAGTTACCCAGCCGTGGCGTTTCTCTCGCGGAGGAGTTTCCCGGCCGGGGAGAGCGCTGACTCCGGCCCAGCTGCTGCTGGCGCTGCTCCTGCTCGCGACGGGCGTCCTCGAAGGCGGCGGCATACTCGGCCGCCTCGCGGGATGTGGTGGGCGGCTGTTCCAGGACGATCTCGTCCTCGGGAATGCGCTCGTTGCCCACCGAACGACGGGCCATGGGCAGCGGCGAGGTCTTGGGCGATGTGGGGCAGGACTGGGCGGCGACACTGGTCACGCTGAGCGAACTGGACGAGGCGTTGGCATTGGAGGACTGGGCGCGCAGACGCGATTGGGTGGAGGCGTTGGAGGGACGACGTCGGAACAAGCCCTTCGTGGGGTCCATGTTGCAGACGCCTGGAAAAAAAAATTAAGAAAAATTATTTATCTTTAGTTTCATTCTTATTTTATTTAGTACCCAAGAAGAAATATTTTTTGAATATGTTAAACTTAAAGAAAAGTCATGTTTTGTCGATTGAAATGTACACTTGTTTCAAATGGAGCCTTGGTCATCAGCTTTTCATCGGTGACTTAGCCGGTGAAACTTTTCCAACTCACACTAAATTCAAAGAGATAAAAATATACAACTTTTTGCAGCGTAGCTATATTTTATTGGTGGTAACACTATGGTTTCTTAGGGCTGCTTTGGGTTTTTGAGCCGGTTTTCGGCAGACGACGCCTCTTAAGCTTCGATGTGGACTTGGTTCTTTCTCCTTGTATCGTAACATACCGTTCTGCATCATCGTCTGAGTCCAAGTTCTTAACAAACCGTCCCCTGTCGATATTCGCATCGTAGTAACGTACATTTGGCATGAGGTCCTGCCCCAAACTGAATTCCGGCGAGGGATCGTCGTTAAGAGGATCCTTTCCTGGCTGATCGAAAGTGCTGCTCTTCCACTTGTCCACCGCAAAGCTTAGTGTATAAGCCAGGTTTCTCCTGATCCCCCCGTTAACCCCACCATCTTCCCCATCTAACTCCTCCTTCGCACCTGTGGGACATTTCTCGCCGCGCGAGCAGTTGCCCTCGCAGATATCCCGATTCTGCAGGAGCTCCTGGTAGTTATCCAGCGCGGTGACCACCTTGGTGCGATCCAGTTGCTCTAGGGCCGAGGACGGGAAGCGTTCCCTCAGCCGGCGACGTTCCTCGGGCAGCTTGAACTGCTCAAATTCCTGCAATTGGTTCTGGAAACCCGTATTGGGATTGGCCACAGCGCGACCGGCACGAACCACCTTCAGTGCCTCCTTCCAGTTCAGGTGGGTGGCCGTCATAATGTAGGCCACCGCCACGGTCACCGAACGCGACATCCCCGCCAGGCAGTGGATGAGCACGTTGCCCTCGCGCAGGCGGGCGGCGTGGATGAAGTCGTTGCAGACGGAAAAGTACTGGGAGAGATTCTGGTCCGGCGTATCCGAGGCCATTACGCACAGGTAGTGTTTGTCCTTTGGGGGGGAAAATATTTAAATTACATTTTAATAGAGATATCTACAACTTACGGGCAGCAAACGCCGCGGACTGTCATGTATGGCGATGATGTGCGAGATCTTGAACCTCTCCAGCTGGGCATGATCCTTCGAGTCGCGGTAGTTGCCCACATAAAGTCCCGGCAAGACCTAGAAATATAACGAAGGAAGGAAAAACCAGATGGTTCAGGGATTAGCTTCTCTTCCCGCTTCCAGTTTACCTTTCCCATGTGCCAGTTCATTTTTGGGTGGCGATCAGATATGGATGTGATTTGATGGTTGTGTGCCTACGATTTTTGGTGCTGTTCATGGAGACGGATAAATGTAAGCCTGTTTTATTGGCCTTTCTTGCATGTTGTTTGGTTTTTGTTTTTTGTTTCCCTTTGACAAGTTGCCGTGACAACAATCGTAGATTCTGACTCGAAAGTTGGTACCAGAGTACCAATTCCACCTCAGTGCGGAACTAGTTTGTTTATCGATACTTAATCACCGATCTATACTGCCAGTGCAGTCAGCAATTACACGCTAAACTAAATGGGTAAAAAAACAAGCTGAAGTACCTAATACCCTTAAGATTAAAATAATTTTTTCCTTTGAAAATGAATTGCAAAGAAAAATGGCATGCATTATTTTTGGTCTGATTCCTAAGTAATGGACACTAGTTAATTTTAAAAAAAAAAAAAAAAAAAAAAAAAATAGGGGTGGTGGTTTTTTAAAAATATAAAAATAAAAGCTAAAGGGAGTGCGAGGGAGATAGATATATAAATTTTGATTGCGTATAACTTTTTAATGAATGGTCCGATTTGAAAATGTCTTCTACATTTCGATAGGTATAAATATACACACCAAATTTGCATTTATACTTCTCGGAAATCTTTAAAGATGTGGGCGCAGGACCCATTTTAAAATCGTTAGTGGGCGATTGTGGGCGTTAGGGGGGAGCTAAAATAAACTTGCGCTGCGTAGGAAGCCAAGAATATGTGTGGGAAATCTCAACCTTCTAGCTTTTGTAGTTTCTGTGATCTCAGCGTTCATACAGACGGACAGACGGCATGGCTAGATCGAAAGCCTGTAAGAATATTTACTTTATGGGGTCGGAAACGCTTTCTTCTAGCTGTTACATACTTTTGCCATCAATTACCCTTTTTACGAGAAAAAAGGTATTAAATCATACAAGTTTATTCCATTCCATCGATAAAAAAAAACACTTTAAAGAGTAAAGCGCTACACTATTTTGTTTTGCTTTTTTTTTTTAAAAGATTTTAAACTTAATTTTTTTTTACGAAAACTTTAACTTTACGTTCTTAATTTTCCCTGCGTACCTTCTTAATATTAAATTTATTATTATTATTAAAATTATTTAAAATTAAATCAAAGAAAATGAGAACAATCTGGCCTTTTAATTTTTGGTTGGCTTATTGGACCTACTAAATGCAACGTATAGATTTTAATATATTTTTTAGTCAGTTTAAGTTAACTATTTGGTTACATGTTTGTGCTGGCCATTTGAGTTCTGAATATACCGCAATTATGGCGACTTAAGTTTTGTGCAGGACCTTGAAAGCTGTTGTCACCGGCTTCCGTATGCTTTTGCCAGCCATAAATCTCGTCCTTGTTCTCGTTCTTACCTTGTTCATGCCATTCCCCATGTTTCTTCATTTAAAAGTTGCGGCTCACTTCCTCAATTATCAAACGAATTGGCCCGAAAGCAGTGCTGAAAGGATAAGAGAAACAGAGGAAGAGAATCCTTTATTTGACAAGTTCAGGGCGCAAAATTGCCGGCGAAGGCCAAGAGGAAATGGTTGGGTTCTGATGAAAGTGCAAGTGGCAAATGTTGCAGTTGCAAGCTGTTGCAAGCCACTGCCATGGCCGAGACATAATGGATGTCTTTGTCGCCGCCTTCGTCGCGGAAGTCAACAGGCCTTGACGCCAGGCTCGCCTGCATCTCATTAGTGGAACAGTCAGTTAGACAGACAGACAGTCAGTATTTGATTCGAATTGGGCCCAAAATGCCAGAGGCTAAAACCAACCAAACAACTGGCATACCTGTTTGGCCCCCAAAAGTGGGCAAGGTTAGCAGCCAGGTCCTGGCAACAGTTGGTTGGGCCTGCCTTTTATGTATTTCCCCCAAAACCTTTTCCAAAGGCCTCACCTCATCACAAAGTCAAGACGTGGGCAGCCCACCTTTGTCGTTGTGTAACACACTCTCGGAGGAAACCCATCCTTTGGGTGCACTTGGAATCCAACACATTTGCATAAGTTGTCTTGCGCCGAGGCAATGGGCAAAGTGTCGCTTTGTTGTAATTTCATTCCCGACACGTTGTCGTCGCAGCCACGGGCATTAAATTGACTGACATACTCGAGGGGAGGTTGAGAAGTAGGAGGAGCACCAGGAGGAGGAGCAAGAGGAGGATCCTGAGCAGATAAGGCACGTGTGTGCAGCACCAGCAAAAGCAGCTGTCATTTACCAGTCAGCTCGACTAACGCCCCTCCACAACCACCCACTTCCGCAACGGGGAAATTACGAAATTAGAGCAGTCAATCTAGCCTCTTCATCCCCTCAAAGGAAAGAAGAGGCAAAAGCAAGGTATCGGAGGCAATTGATCAGCCAAAATTGCTGCTTAGCAGCATTCGGACAGCGGCGACATGGACTTCAAGTGCATCCAATCAGCATCACAGTGCCTATAAATAGTCGGCGCCCACTGCCATTCGGTCGGTTTTGATCAGAGGTGGAGGAATTCCCAGCCCAAGAGCCGCAATTCAATTCAATTGATGTGACACTTCGCCCCGTTTCAGCCTCCCTCGTTTCCGCAAGGATGGAGAGCTCGGCGTGTCCTCCGCATTCTGGGATTGGGATTACAGGAGCTTTGATGCACTCAAAAACATGTTTATTAAATAATAATGGGTTACAAATTTAAGACCCATTTCTAACTTGGTATTCCAAGGAGTTAAATATTAGGCCTCCCTTTTGTGACTTTGCAAGCTAATCGTTGGACTTTTCATATGTACATATATCATAAAGTACGTGACATCAATTTTTATGAAACGTGTAGCATGACTTTTGGCGACAGTCAACTTATTTGCTTAGGACAGGGTTATATTTAAAAAGATCCTTGAGATGGTAGTGTGGTGAAATGAAAATACTTTGAATAAAGTATAGATAAACTTGATCTAAGTGAATACTCCATTATACTTCATTCAGTTAGATTGTTTTTATAAGTTTAGTAATGTTGATATATAGAATAATATTTTAGAAATGTATAACTATATTTCGGCTTAATGTGCTTAAAACCTAAGCTCTTTCTGTAATAAAAATTATTTATTAAATCTTTTTAAAAGATATTTTATATGAACAAAAGGAACTTTTAAAGATTTTTTTCTTTAAAGATATTTGTTATGAAAAAAAGGAACAGGTAAAAAAAAAATCAGAGGAGTCTAGTATTTTTAAAGTATTATACAAATTATAATTAATTCCATGGAATTAGATATGCAAAATTTAACAATGGGAAATCAATTCTCTTGTGTGTGGGGTGAAAATGCAATCCGGAACCGCCTCGCTTGTGCGCCCGGAAGTGTGTCCTTGTGTCCTTGTGTCCGTGTCTCAGTGGAAGTGGAAGTGTGTTGGTTTAGCCGGTGGCCAAATATATTTAGGGGCCATGATTGAAAAACAGTTTTGCATTGAATTCATCGACGAACTTCTAATGAAATCGCATTGTGGTGGACGCCAATCCCATTTTACGTCCATGCATTTTCCGGGCCGTTTGCCAAGGAGATTTTTTCTCAGCTCGCCAAAGGGAGGAAAAAAAGTGTTGCATGTCCGGAGGCGCAGACATTAAGCGAAACGAAATTTATGGAAAACTTTAATCAAATTAAATCGGTCCCCGCTCAACTGCTCTACCTGACCGGGAATTGCATTCGCTGCCAAGTTTTTCACTTTCGCTTTTTCCCCGGAACGGCGCGAGCTTTTCCACGAATGTTTTTCCATTATCGTTTCCCTTCAATCGGCTTATAATTCGGCCTTTTTGTTGTACCCAATGTCATTTGAAAGGGGGAGGGGGTAAGCTTGGTGTGTATATCGTATGCATATAAATTAGCCAGAGTCGACCTTGTCCCATCGCCCATCTCGTGCGCCGCCCCCTACGGCTGGCAGTCAATTATATCGTTTAGACATTCAACATGAGCAATAAAATACATGCCACAACGGCACCAGAAGCCGCACCTACCAAAACAGGATGGGATTGGGATTGGGACTGGGATTGGGTGACGCTTTATGACTCCATCGCTCTGCCTGGTGAGTCAATGGCGGAGTGATATGGCGAGGGAGGAGCCCTGGGGAAGGGTTCCTGGGACACCAAGGGCCCCAATTGCTCACTGACTGTGAAAAATATGAGTTTTTTTGGTGCCGTCAAGCTTTGTTTGTAATAAATGTTTCAGGCATGAAAAGGGAAAAGCACGTCGAGGCCTATAAAAGGCCTATAAACATACAGTTGAGACTCTTTAAATTGAAATTTAGTGGTTTGAAATAGCTTAAATTTATTAAATACTAATATTTTTTAAATTTGAAAGTTTGGATTGATGACTTATGGCAAAAACAGAAACTTTTCATTGTAATTTTGGTTGGTATTTGTCGAAAAGGAACTACTCTTTTGACAAGCCAACAAACATGTTGTTTTTGGTTAATTTTTTAAAGTGTTTTTTTTTTTGGAAACGATTCCCGGTTTTAATGCTAATAAATTTCGAATTTTTATTTAATTTTTAAATTGGTTTTTTGTAAATGATTCCTTGTTTAATTTCTAGTTTAGTTACGAGCCCAGATTTTTTTGATGAAAAGTAAGGACAAAAATAATGAACTTACATAAATAAGATACGTTTATAATATGTCTTAAAAATAAGATCAAGCTAAGGTCTTATAAAAGTATATCTTCCTTAAAAATTTCCCCAAAACCAATAGCTACTGTACTATAAATATATCAAAATAGCGATTATGTTTTGCTTCTTTTGCTGCCAGGCAGGCAGTTTTAAATAAATTCGAAGGCCTGCACCCTCACACACACGAAAAGGCGTCTCCAGAAGGGTGGAAAGTAGGGGCAGTCAGTCGAGTCGAGTCGAGCAGAGTCAAGTCGATCCGGCAGCCAAATAGCGTCGCTTTGTCTGCGGATATGTCAATGGACCGGCAGCAACCGCCGAGGAGAAGGGTCAAAGCTGGGGTGCCGACTAAGCAAAACTTTCCCTCCAGAGGACACGTGCTGCCATAAAATGCTTTATTAACATACAACAGTTCAGGCCAAGATGGGTAAACACAGGGTGGGGATTGTTGATTTCACGAGCTTCGAGGATTTCATTGCTCGAAGCAAACATTGTACCGGCTCCTAAGCAAACTAAAAACAAATGCTAGTGCCAGCAGAAACTATTTTTCTTGGCCACTGGCTATCTGGTACCCAAAAAGTCCCCCCCTTTGGACCCCCGGCGATGACAGAGACAAAGTGTTGCCATCGCCAAGGCAATAAAACTGAAATGTGATCGCCTGGCATCACCTACCCCCATGATGGCCCACATAATCTGAGCCAATCTGGGGACATCAACCTTGATTTCGGAATGCATCCGTTTCCCTCGGCGGTATTTCCACATTTCACCCACTACCTATCTACATTTCCGCCATTCCGTTCAGGTCACAGCTAATTAACTGCATTCAGGACCAAGAGAGTCCTGCCCTCGAAATGTAACAATCCGAACTTAATGAACCATATATATATTGTCGACTTGGAAAGTTTTCGCCGCTGACAGAACGCAATTTAAATAAATAATTAGACAGGTGGGCGGGCGGAGCGGTCGAATTGCATGACTCAAAATATTAATTTCGTTTTACATATGCAATGAGTGTGGCGTAAAAAGTTTGGCCATGTTTTTAGTGTGCAACAAGGGAAATTAAGCGAAATGAGGCATTCAAATTGAGGGTTGTTGCTGTTTTCAGTGGCAGGAGTTGCGAAGAGTGGGTTGGAAATAAATATCCCAGTTAATTATACCCGTTACTCGTAGAGTAAAAGGGTATATTGTATTCGTGCAAAAGTATGTAACAGGTAGAAGGAAGCGTTTCCGACCCCATAAAGTATATATATTCTTGATCAGGATCACTAGCCGTCGATCTAGCCATGTCCGTCTGTCCGTCTGTCCGTCTGTCTGTCTCTTCCTTTTTTTCGTTTGAAGTGGATCCGGACTATGGGATTGGCATTTTGCTGCGTTCTGGAATTCCTCGCGCGCAGTTTGTTTCAAATGGTGCCACGCCCCTTAACGCCCACCATCGCTTATATACGATTTTAAAAATTTTAATATTTTGGAAAGTAAAATGCAGTTTTATTGTGTTTATCAATACCTATCGAATGTAGAAGAAATTTTTCAAATCGGACCATTGTTGTTTGCGTATCCTTTTTTCTCTTCTCTCCTCCCCTTTACCTGTAGGTTCTGTGCGCTCCCTCTTTTTCTTAAGTAATTATATATTAACAGGGCGTATACGTGATTTATTTACATTTTTAAAGGAACCCTTAAAATCCTTTTTTAATTATTTTGTGACTCTAAAAGTGGCATTCCTAATAAATTATATAAAAAATACCTTTATATTATATATGAGATTAATGTTAATTTTGTGTATAAAGTTTTTAAACGGTCCCAAAAATTGAGATACTTTAAAATATTTGAATAATGAATGTTTTTTAATGAACAATTTAACATTTTACAGTTGTTACCTATATTTTGAATCTTTTCTTCTCTTCTCCTTGAAAAAATAAAATACCTTGAATTTTTTTACCCTTTTTAAAATATTTTTCTTATGCACAAAATTTACACGAGCCTCAAGATAGCCTCTTTATAGGTGAGGCATCTGCAAGTTCTGGCTGACAGCGTTTTCCACAGTCACGTTTTGGGGGCATTTTCACACCAATTCGACTCTGACGGCCGGCTGACAGGCCACGACCCGCCCGAGCCACACACATTACCCATACGACCCGTGGGCCAAGATTTACATGGAAAACACTTACGCGCTCTTGTCACGGGAGGCATGAAAGGTGGAGGACTGTCCGTTAATTCCCCAGTTGCGTGCCCGCAACAAAAAATAATTATACGAAAGACCCCCGAAATTGTTCCAAATACATATTCGTAGTATAATTTTCGGGACATTTGTGTTTGAGGGGAATCGCAATCGGATGAGGGTCAGTCACCCACGAGGAATGTGGCATTATAGCGCCAGGACTTACGGTAACTTCGCCGCTCCGGTTGCTTGCCTCCTGGTCAATGGAGCTGCCACATGGGGATACCTTCGACTTCGATTCGTCCGCCCGAGAGAGTGAGTGGAGAGAGAGAGTGGGAGAAGGTAGAGAAAGTCGAGCGGCAACTCCTGTTATATCACGGTGCCAGCGGCGGCCGCACAAATTTTGATTCGCTCCTCCGACTTCTACGCTGCTGCTGCTTCCTTTTCTCTCAGTGTGAACACAAAACTAAATGGGGCGACAGTTAAAGCCAAGTTAACTGTGTCCTGGCCATTTTTCCGTGTCGCTTCGCGGCAACGAGCGTTGTAAAAGGTGTAAAAGGTGAATAGCGTTTGAGGGCCGCGAAACAATGAAAGTCAGACCGCAAGAAACGCAACCGTAAAATGTGTGGATAGTGGAAATCAGAGGAAAAAACGAGCTGCAGCCGCCGCGTGAGTTTCGTTTGCAGGAGGAGGATTGCGCCAAACGAATCGGCTCGAGCGCTGGTCACAGACTGAGCAGCAAGGCAGCAACCAAGCCATTCGGACCTGGCTCAAACGGAGTGGTGCCGATGATACCCGCGGGCATGAATGGGAACAAGCCGAGTCTGCGCCTTCGAGCAGCGCGCCAAAATAAAAACTCACTCAAGTTTTGGGGCAGCTCTGCAAAAAGAGAGAAAGAGTGAAGGCTCCTACCGAGTGCGTAAAAACCTTTGATTCAGTTATATAATTGAGGGGGCGCCCGGTTGGCTTTTTTTGTAGGGTTTCTTTTTTTTGGGGGACCTTACCTGTCGGTGGGCAATTAACGGCTAAGCAATAATCACCAAACTGCCCGAAAATCCATGACTAACATTTGTCGCCTCCCTCTTGAAACGGTTAATTGAGCCAATATTCGACTTTAACGGTAATGGAGTACGATATGCTAGTAGCAGCAAGCACAATGGGTAGAATAATCATCAATATATTAAATATTTTAGTAAATCTAAAAGAGCAGGGAACAATAAAGACTTTTTTTTATAAAGAGCTATGTTTGTCATAAAAAATTATACATAAGTTTCCACTTTTAGACACCACTTTCAGCAGTGAATGTAATATTCATAATATCTATTAAGATCTTAACAATATAGAAAATAAATAAATTTTTCCCATTATTTAATTCGACTATCATCGACTACTAGTAGTATAATAGTATAATTAGTAGTATAGTAGTAGTAGTACTAGTAGTAGGTGGTGTTATTACTAGTGAATAAAATATTTTATTTATTTATAAAGAGTTTAAAAATATAAATAAATGATATATTATTATTTATTATAATAAATGATATATTATATATATGATATGAGAAACCCGATCATTAGTTTCTTTTACGATTAGAGAGTTCACTTTGGCAAAGTATCACGTTAAAATTCCAAATATGAAACTCATATTTGTTACACTTTGTTATGGGTATCGGGGGTTCTACGATGTCAGCATATTTAGCCAGAATAAACACTTGCTTTTGACTGACTCATTCAATGCGATTTGTTTTGACAACTTACATTTCATTCATGGGCCCATAAAAGGAGCGTATTAAAATACCAAAGAAGACTGTGAGGGATACCCTACTTACTCACTAATTACTACTTTGATTCCGATATCTTAAAAAAAATAATTTCCTTAAATAAATTAAACAAACGGCATTGTTTTATTTATGTTGACCCATTTCAGAGCAAGATATATTTCTTTTTCGAATCTCGAATTCTGAGAAAAACGTCTGAAATGCAACAGCGGCATTGCGTTTCGCTCGTGTATCTATATGGCATGTATAACAACAAATATCGTAAGTATATTTATAATCAAAAAAAATATATACAACACACTAGTTGCTCGTATGTATAGATTTTGTGCAATATTTAATTATGAATTATTTCAATTTTATATGCTCTGGCGACGCAGTTGTTCGGCCAAACAACGAGAAAATATTTGGAAAATACATCTAACGGATAAAAGTGGGTGGGCGTGTCGCCGCCGGCAGTCCGATTATATATGCATAGTATGAGTGTGCATATTCTCTCAGATCTACAGTTGAGGTAAAAATAGTAGCTCTTTTAGAGAGCACCCAAGAATATATTTTTGAAAATTTATATATGTTATACTTATAATTAAAATACCGTTCAACTTAATTTTCAAGTGAAATGGACATTAATTTAAAAGAAAAACATTTATGCTTAGAAAATTCTTGGGAAAACCCAAAAACAGCATTCCAATGCTCCTATTGTGCTGGCCACAACGGTGCGTATGGGTAATTTTGGGATTCTAAGGAAAATGCTTGTGAGTGACTAATACGTAGTTGCTTAAAAGGTGGTATGACGGTAATCAGCTGATCGTTTAGCGAAAACAGTTGACTGCCGAAGACTTTCTGTCGCTATTGCACTTTTGTACTTTTGTTTATTGCAAAAATGTGTTTAAAAGTGGATACCTTTTGCGGGGGTGGGGGTCTTGTGGCAACAGATCGTTAGTCATTGATCGATTGATTGGCCGCTCAACAAGACTCGTCAGTGGGCGATGACAACTGTTTACGCTGCTGATTTTGCCTTTGCTTTTGCCTTAATTGTTGTTGCTCTTCGACGGCTGTGACGCAGTGGTTGTATGTAGGCGGTCCCAGTGCACAGAAATAAAAACAGCTGAATATCTTATTTGCTTACAGTTTGATCAACCAAAAACGAAAAATTCTATGTTTGTTTATGTAGGATTTGTCATATAAAATTAGTTTTCTGTTTTTTAATAAAATCAAAATACTAAATAGCATTTTTCTTAATCTTTTGAAAACGCCTATGTGCTTTATTATTCCTTTGTCTTTATAAATTAATCGTTTAATCAACTTTCAATTATTTTATATCTTTTCCAGATCCAAGGTTAAGCTACTGACCATAATGCCTTGTTAGTTTCACATCTCAGTAAATTATATCCAATTTCAATGATAAACATATTACATATATTTTTCTTTCGGTGTGGCTTACGGTTACAGATTCGGATTCTAGAAGCCATGCGACTGCCGAGGAATGCGTTTCAGAGCACCGCTCTGCTCTCCCGCTCGCTCTCGCACTCTCTCGGCCAACTTTCTAGCGGCCGTCTATTTATAAGTCTGATGTGTGTGTAGTGTATCTTAACCTGGTCCGTGATCGGTGCACAAAGAGAGAGCGCGTTGGCTACAGAGAGAGATAGACGGGATCGAGAGAGTCGTATCCGTATCCGTAAGACAGTATTAAATATTTACCAATTAAGGCCTTAAACCGAGGAGAGAGGAGAGCAGCCGCAAGGCAGGTAGAAGCCAAGCAAAGCTTAGCGGGAGAGTGGGGCCGAAAGAGAGAGCCGAGAGAGCCGCACACCACACAGTGGGGCTGATGGGCGAATAATAATGGCTGGCAGCCAGCAGCAATGGCGCTCGGCGCTCAGTCGAAAAGAAACTTTGGCAGCGTGAGGACGCCCGTTTGCATGTGCGTGGCCCCCGTTAAGCAACAACAACATCGAGTGGCAATGTGCAAAAATAAAAAATCTATATATATTTTAAATTGAATATAGAAATCCGAAAACCCACACTCGCAACCACACACATACGAGCGCTGGGCGAAGAGAGCGCGAGCGGAAATACTTAAAAAGCTAAAAAGCAAAAAGTGAAAGTAAAAAAGTGGCCGTATCGGTGTGAGCGGCATCTAGAAAGTGTGGCCAAAAAGTGACATCACACTCCGGGCAGCAGAAAAACAGCAGCAGGAGCAGGAACATACGAGAACTACGAATCGAAATTGAAATTGAAATCGAAATCGAAATCGAGCGGTATTCGCACGCGTCGTCGCTCAAGGTGAAACCGCGCCACCCCCCCTTGAAAATCCCCCCCAACACCTCCCCCCTCCTGCACCCGCAGCCCGCGTCCAAAAATTAATCTCAACAACTGGCACGACAAGTAGTCGCCGACGAAAAGTCACAGTCGAGTATCAACAAAAGGAAATAAATTAAAAAAAATTGTCGCTACGCAGCGCGAGACGACGGATTCGATTAGGTTAGGGTAACGGATTTTGGTTTTGCCCAGCAAAAACAGCCATGAAGCCCACTGTGATGGCGGCCAATCAGGCGCCAAGCAATCCTGCCGCCGGCGGCAATGGAACGCCCGCAGGACCAGGAGTCAATATACCCGTCAATCGGGAGTATGTGAGTGGTGGCTATGGATCGCCACAGCAGAATCCACAGTTCCACAGCCCACAAAACGCTTACGGATCGCCCAGGCAGCAGCAGCAGCAGCAGCCGCACTTCCAGCAGCCGCACCACCAGCAGGTTCCCCCAAATCAGCAGCAGCAACATTTTCAGGTGAGTGGCCGCCAGAAGCTATACTAAGGAGGAGGGGGCGTGGAGGGGTGGGGTGGCAGACGAGCGGCAGCGGCGAGAGATCCCAAGGTTGGCGCCTGGCAAGGTCGCCCCCTCCAGATCTCACAGATCTCCCCCAACCCAAAGACCTCGAGCGCATAGCTGGGACATATTCGTATGAGTGTCATGGTTTCTGTTGTTGTTTTCAACGGCAGTGTGGCAATTCAAGTACAGTGGAGATTCTCGATATAATAACAGGCTCAAGGAAATTATTATCAAAATACTATATCAATTTGTAATACATAAAAAAAGCAAGTTCCCATATCGTTTTTACATGAAATACTTCTTTCGCCCAGGTCATCACTTGACCTTAAATAATCTAAAATCGATCTACGTTTCATATTGTTTTTTTTTTGGTGAAATAGTACACTCTAGATACTTTTCTTTATAACTATTTATTTTGATTTATCTAGTAACTCGCTTTTCTTAAATCTATTTAGTAAATAAAGGAATAAAGTTTATTTTATAGTTTAGGAAAAAATGTGTTTACAATTCGGCCTTAATAAACCGAAAATAAAACATCGAGATGTTTCCATCAGTTGAAGAAGCCTTCAAAGGCTTCTTATTCTCGAAATGCTTGATTCTTTGTTTGCTTAAAAGTCTTGAGAAAGCGATTAAGTTTTATTCATTTCACTAGGTACGAGTATCGTGAATGACACAGCGTTTTTTCCATTTGTTTTATTTTTCCGAATGAATCCTTCGCAATTTCGCATTGGCTTTGGGCTCTTTGTAAAACTCTCAGGGGTAAAAACAATGGAAAAAGGCAGTGTGGTTGCGTAAAGGCCCCTAGCCACCCCTCTTAAATGGGGTTTTTCGCGAAGGGTTGGGGACTTCCAACCCCCTCAGTGTGTCAAGTGTGTGTGCACACTCTGTTGACCTACTCGGCAGGAACTTATAGTATCTCTGCTAAGTTTCTGGGCTGATGTCGTGTCAAGCTCTCGTCTAGTGGCCAACGCTGCGTATGATTAATGCCGCAACGCGTGCGGAATTTTACCAGAGACAAGTAAAGTACAGCTGTTTTGTTGCGGTCTAATCTAATGGCCAGCAATCCAAATCTATCACGAACGAATCGCAGAAAATATTTGAAAATTTCTAGAAGAAAACACACATCGCGTAGCGCTCTCGTTCGTTCTTTCTATTTTGGCGCCGAGTCGAGTCGAAATATCGCTCTTTATTCTTTATTCTTGCCCAAAGTCTGCTGTGCGTGTCTGTGTCTTCCGCTGTAGGTGGGCACCGCTGTACAGTTAATACATAATGACACTCCATATGTGCGCATATCTGTGGAAGCAAGCCAGTTGTCTAATGGGAAGCGTGGGCGGCTTTTGGTTGCTCAACCTCTTGGCCAACGCGGGGGCCTCGTCGATGCGTTGGTGACGTTGACTATATAAAAACGTCATCACCAAGTAACCGTACAGTAAATAGGGGTAATATGATAGACTTTAGAGTTTTAACAACTAATAAATAAATCTTTAATAAAATGTACTGTAATATTATTGGTATCTTACAAACATTTAAAAAATGTTTAAAATAGTTTAAGTTGTTATTGATTCTGAATTATGGTTGAGAAATCGTACGATTTTTCATATATTTTTTTTAAGATAATACATTTGTTTTTTAGAAATTTAACCCTAGCAGATTTATAACATTCTTTTATCTTAATTGGAAAAATATATATTTTATTGAAAGAAAGAAAAAAAATTTGTAGTGCTGATAAAAGTTATTTAAAACACCACTTAAGAATCCCAAGCTTTTTCTTCAAGTGTGCTTATATAAGGTAACAAATAAATTATCATTACTAATTGAGGGGTGCTGTAAAACAATCACAACACTTGTTCATAATTTTTAAAGCAAACACAAGTATCTTTTTCTATAAAGTAAAATTTATTCAAATACAGTAAACGCAGTAGTTCACCTATTTGAGTGAGTTCCGGTACTTAATTCACTGTACTTCCACTTTAAGTCCATTCGGGTAATTGAGTTGAGTAAGAAAGAGAGAGAGAGAGCGTCCTTTTAGGAGAGACTCGAAGAGACTCTCGAGAGTTGCAGAAACTGCGAGAAGTGGCTAGAATGAGCCAGCGGTTTCGAGAGTGGGCGACACTCGCTTTAAAAGGCCTCCTCCGCCGACGACTCGGCTCATTCGCATTTAAACAATCGAACCGACTGCATCACGTCACCGAGCGGAAAAGCTATAAAAATCAAAAGTTACAAAACACAAAATACTCGTAGAGTGCTTCTATACACTTGTAGCGAAAATAATTGACGGGCAGTGAGCGGTGCTCATTGATAAAGTAAACAAATTGAGCAGGCGAAAAGGTAAGGCTCCCAGATCGACATCCGCTCCCCAACAGCTGTTCATTCACTGCCAATTGACATCACTTGTTTGCCCACACTCGCACCCAGTCTATGGGCCTCTGACTCATCCTGTTATTTATAAACAATTCGCCCACCGAGCCGAGCAATTTGCACTACTCTATTGCTACACAGAACGAATAATTGATCAAATAAAAACACCTCTTAACGAGGTAAACAACTAGTGACGACCGCACCTTCAACATACAAAAGTTCTGATATCAACATTTGTGACGAAAAATTATTACACTCGTCATTAAATAGACTTTCTAATATTTTCTCATTCGGCCCGCCCTAGCAAACTATTCCAGCCTTTTTCTCTTTACAGGCATTTTCTATTGCAGCGTGACGAATGAGAAAAGATTAGAAAGTCTATTTAATGACGAGTGTAATAATTTTTCGTCACAAATGTTGATATCAGAACTTTTGTATGTTGAAGGTGCGGTCGTCACTAGTTTTTTACCTCGTTAAGAGGTGTTTTTATTTGATATCAGAAGTTTTTGTTTGTTTACATTTGCTCTCATAGGAGCTAATATATACATTTAAATTTAAATTGGTCAATCATAATTTTTAAACAATTGTATTTTAACAAATTAAGTTAAAAAGGCGTTGAAGTATTTCAAAATACCTTTTAAACGAGGTATAGCACATGTCTGTACCTTTAGTAGTGTAGAACTTACAAACTAACGAAATTTAGCTATTTTTAGCTTTTTCCCGCTAAAGTAGCGGCTTTTTCCAAAAGTCGTAGAACAAAAGATTCCTATATGGAACTTTTAAGTGCAAATTTACTGATTCCATGACCCTAAAATACAGTTCGGATACCCTCCCACAAAATTCAATACTCAGGAGCGTTAATTGTTCGAGCTGGCAAAAGTGGCTATTTTCGTATAAAAATAACTTTTAAACGTGACTTTTACAGTAATGTGTTATATACCAAAATTTAAGGAATCTCAAGGGCTATACAGTTTAAGGTTTTAAAGAAAATCGTTAGAGCCGTTTTTGAGAAAAAAAAAAAAGCTAAAAAAAAAGTTTTAAAAAATTGTTTTTTGTTCATATTTTTTTAATTATTACATTTACACAAATTGCATATAGAAGGCGTTTATAGCATTTAAAAATACCTTTCAAACGAGATGCAGCACAAGTCTGTAGCTTTAGTAGTATATAAGTTACGGATTTCCGAATTTTAGCTATTTATAGCTGTTTTCCCGCTAAACTAGCGAGTTTTTCCAAAAGTGGTAGAACAAAAGTTTTTCATATCGATGTGATGAACGTCATATCAAATTTTCAAAACTTAAAAAACATGTTTTGGACAAACTGACAAACTGACAAACTGACAAACTGACAAACAGAATTAAATTTTCATTTTGGGAAGACGAAGGAAATCTTATTTTGGCTATAACTTTTGAACGGAGCGTCGGATTTTGACAAATGACCCCTTATTCGACGGGTATTTTCAAAAGGAATACAACTAAAACATTTCGAGGGGGCATTTATCCCCACCGGCCCCAACAGCTCCAAATTTCGAAATTTTCACTTTTTCACTTTCACCGCTCTCTCTCCCAAGCCAATTAATTTTCTTAGAGTCTTGGTATGCAATCCTGTTAGTTTTCGCAATACCTTTCGATAGGCGTATCATTCATTATGATCGGACCATCACAGTAGATTTTCATTTCTTCGTGTATATATAGTAGTCGCCTTCGCACACTCTCCTGGTGCGCTTCGTCACTACATGGACTGCCGTCCATAGTGATATGGAACAGTGATTAAATTGCTGATTATACAAATCTTTTTTGGACCGGATATCAGTATTTCAATAGAAAAATGACATGTTCAAGTGTTTAAATTTTTAACAGAATTATAAAAAATATATTTATAAAAGTGAAAAGTATAGAAAAGTTAATAAATTCAAACTAAATACAAAACAGTTAATAAATAAATGAGTATTGAGTTATTAGGAGGTTATCATTATTGAAGTTAGAACACGACATTTTCAAGTATTTTTTTTAAATAAAATAAATAAAAAATCTAATTATTAAACTGATAAGTAGAAATCCATTGTATCAATATTATTATTTACAAATTAATTATAAAACATTTATTAAGTGTATGAGTCTACAAATCTTTTAAAATGTTTACCATTATGTTGGAACTGAAAAATAGTATTTGGAGGTATTTCACTTAAAAATTAAATTGTTTAACTTAAAATTATTTAACTGAAAATTCAAGATGACAACAGAGCAAAAGTTGAATCGTTCTTTTACCAATATAGAAATAATTTAAATTTATTTTTAAAAAATATAAAAAAATGTTCAGATTTAATATTTGGCCCGATCTCACCAGTTCCCTCTCTTTCGATTGCAGCCGACCTTTGGATTTGAACCCAACATGGACATGGACAACATGTTCCCGCGCTCGCACCTGGGCAGGATGCACGATCCCTTCGCCGGCTTCGGCGACTCACGTAAGCGGAGCAGTTTGCACGGTCCCAGTGCCCAAGCCACCAATGCTGACGATGACTTTTCATCCTATTTCGACGACGCAGACTTTGGATTCCCCCGCTTCTCGACGATGGGACGGCGAGGACGGGCCAACAACCACATGGATCACGATGATGACTTCTTCAACCGGCTGCCCTCGGAGTTCCGCCAGTATATCCCAGATGGTTTCGGCGCCAGACGTGGACAGGGAGTGGCTCCTGCAGCAGGACAAGTTCCCCAGCAGCAGCAGCAGCAGCATCCACAGCAGCATCCCCAACAGCACTACCAGTACGCTGTGCCGCCCCAGCAACAGCAGGTCTACGTGGGATCTCCCCAGCAGCAGCAGGTGCCGCAGTCGCCCTCGAAGCGTCTCTGTGATGCAGCCATCCAGACGGAGGATCCCGCTGGCCGCTCGGAGGTGGACTGCGCCCCACCGGCCAACTTGAGCCAGCACGGACTGCGAAATACCGTGGACATGGGCGTGAAGAGTGCCGCCGAGCAGGATCAGGGATTGCGCTCCCACTCCGCCCCGCCGCCAGAGCAGCAGCAGCAGAATCTGCTCTACCAACAGCAACAACAGTCGGGAGCTCCCCACCAGCAATTTGGCACCCAGACCAGTCCGCCCGTCCAGCAGGGTCAGCAGTTCAAGACCTACTATGCGCCCCACCAGCAGACACATCCCCAGCAGAAGCAGCCAACGCCTCCACCGCCGACAGCAGCAGCTCCACAGACCCCCGGTGGCACCTACATACGCACCATACCCATCTTCGTGGAGGGTCGCACCGAGCCCATCATCAATGCCCACAAGGAGATTCCCAACCAGAATGCTCCTCCAAATTTTGCACCACAGCAACAGCAACAACAGCAGAGACCTGCGCCCCTGAACACGCAGCAGGCACAGCAGCAGGAGGCACCTATTGAGGGAGGAGGAGCCGCAGCTGGTCTGCCACCACAGACGCCACACACCCTCAATTCGATCAACAAGATCCAGGACATACAGCGCGATGTGCTGGAGCTGATGGGCAAGGTGGAGCAGTTCAAGGGAACGCGCCAGGAGAAGGAGTACGCCTACCTGGACGAGATGCTGACCCGCAATCTGCTCAAGCTGGACACGATTGATACGAACGGCAAGGACAGCATTCGCCTGGCCCGCAAGGAGGCCATCAAGTGAGTTTGAATCTCTAGAATCTGTAAAGAAGATTATGTAATAATATGTATTTCCCTATTTTCCAGATGCATTCAGGCTTCTATAAATGTCCTAGAGGCCAAGGCCGAGGAGAATGCCAGGGCGGCGTCAGGAGCAGCACCTCCAGCTGAAGAAACGGCTGCAGTGGCTGAACCAGAGGTCACGGAGCCAGTGACTCCACAGCCACAGGATGCTACGAAAATTCAGGAACCCATCCCTCTGCCGCCGCCACCAAATGCTGCTCCTGGTGAAAAATCTGAAGGAGCTGCTCCCGAAGCCACCGTGGTGGAACCTTCGTTAGCTCCTGGTGAGACGTCAACCACCACGTCGTCGGAATGATGAACGCAGCGCCTCTACAGGGCGACCGTTTCGAAGCAGCTACGCAAATTAACCAAATTCAAGTGACAACAAACGGACGAGATGATGGAGGCGACTCATCAAAGGACTTCGAAGTGAATGTGTATCGGATGGGGATGTGAATAGCTGGCGAGGGATCTTTGCTAGTATTTCGTAGATAAAATCTCATGTGTCGAACACTCAACACCCAAAACACACACACACAGCATAGATTATAGGCTAGTAAGAAAATGAATATTGAGAAAAAGTGCCTGCATAGAATTCGGAAGTTAACAGAACGAAAAGGATTTCCTTCTTCACCTAAAAGAGCTGATTATGTTTAAGCGATAGAGATCACCATGAGGATATTTTTCAAACCAGAGTCCAGTTTTTTTATACATACGTAAATTGCACCGACGAGGAGCAGAAGCAAGCCGCCGTATGATCTCATACAAATCTACAGCAATTCGGGCTTGCTTTCCTTTCCACCAACAACAGCTCCACATGCACCACTCACACGGCTTTGCTGCAGGTGAATTGTTAAACAAAGGTAAACACTTTTAGAGAAACTACGATAACTATTTATGCTACTAATTAATGCGAAAAAAATAAATGTAGATATTGTTGACTATAAGACATCGTGTTTTTCTTTCCGTTGCACAATTATCAAAGTTTATTATCGAAAAAGGTTACAAATCTCAATCAATAATACATATACAAAAGAACCCTGGTTCGGGGATGGAGCGGGCCTTAAATACTGACTAAGTGGTTACTCTGTATGTAGCTTAAGAACATTTTAAAAGGACGCAACAATGATATAATATGTGTATACAGTATACAGATGGGAACAACGTATGAATGGTTTGCATTATGTGGGCATGGAGTATACGTTATATAATATGTATGTAGTTAAAAAACAGACGCGTGATGTACGATGTAAAAATCTTATAGTCGCATTTAGTCATCGTTGAATCTCCTTTAGGTGTATCGCATTATTGTTCAAGAGTACGGGGCTAAAGTGTTTAAGTAGCTATAGTCCGGATCCAAAATATATATGTATAGTGGCTAGCTGCATTGGTGTAGATATCTAGCAAAAGGGCGACCCAGCTGCTTGGCACTTGGTTCTAACCCCCTAGTTAATGATCTCGACATAGTTTGCCGGAAACAGTCCATAGGTTCCGTCAGGGCCCAGGCCCTGCCACCATCCCTCATCGATTTGATCGATATGCGTGATCACATCGCCGGGATCGAAGGTAATCTCCGACTCGTCGGCTGCCTGGTAATCGTACAGGGCTCGGGCTCGCAGTCCCAGATCGCCGAGGGTCTCTTGGCAAATGAAATCGTCCTCGTTCACCAAATCCGTCACTGAAAAGTACAAAATAGTAATTAAAACAAGAAAGGAAGCTAGCTTTGGCGAGCCGAAGCTTATATACCCTTGCAGATCATTCCTATTAATTTACAAATAGCAAACATTTTCAATTTCCTATATATATAGCTTAAAAACTGAGAGACAAGTTTGCGTAGCAACGGACGGAAAGACGGACATGGCTAGATCGACTTGTCTAGTAATGCTGATCAATAATATATATAATTTGTAGGAAACATCTCTTTCACTGCGTTGCAAACTTTTGACTGAAATCATAATAGCCTCTGCAAGGGTATAAAAATCAAGGATAATTAACTGGTCTTAAGAGCCACTCACAAGCATTCCTTTCCAGCGTGCTCAGGCCGCTCGTCTTGGCCGATTGCGACTGCTGCACGGTGACCGACACCTTGGTGCGGACCTCCTCCTCCTGATCCTGGTACACAGCGGTGTCCGTCTCATTGGACGAGGTGGTCTCGTCCGGCGACTGCGACTGCAGCGAGTTGGTTTTACTGTGCGGCGACCGCTTGATGGTGGAGAACTGCTCGCTGCTTTCATGGGCTAAAGGTAGATCGTCGATCGGTTGGGACTCCTCCACCTCTGCTATTGTGGAGACCACTTCGGCGGCTACGGGAGCAGCAGCTATCGGAGCATCAACAGCGGGGGCAGGAGTCTCCACGGGCAGCGATTTGGCCGGTGACACAGAGCGTGGTGGCGAAGGCACAGATGCATCTTGAGGCTGATTCTGGTTAAAGACGTTAATGCGCTGGGCAATGGAATTGCGGGCTGGCTTGGCCGGCGGTTGTGTATTTAATCTGTAAATCAAAAATGCAGCTTAGTTGGGAAGCAAATTTTAACTAAGAATGGTAATCACTTGGACTGCAGCTGCCCCTCGCTGGTGTGCTTGGTGAACATGGCCTTGGCTGCTCCCACACGCGAGCCAATCAATTCGCGGGCCTCCTGGTTCCTCGCCTGACGCATGCGCTCCGCATCGGTCAGGTTGTTCGAGAATCCCGGCACTGTTTTCTCAGGACTCAGAGGTTGCGGGGAGCTATTAGGAAATACATAATATTTACTATAATGTAAAACTATTTTTAGGTATTTTAGTTACGTTTTAATGGGAACATGAGCCGGCTGGAGCTTCGTGGTGCTTATGACCAGCTTCTCGCGCTCCTTGTGCTCCTTCTCCTCGCGACTGCGTTGCTCCTGCTCCAGCTTCTGCAGCTCCAGCCGCTTGGACTCCTTCTCGGCCTCCTGGCGCCGCTTCTCCTCGGCCTCCTCCTTCTTCCAAAAGTCCTGCATTACGCTGGCGTTCAGCTCCTTGGTGGGGATGACGCGCGTATAGTTGGTGCCCACCGGCGCCTTCTGCTCCTCCATCCCGCCGCGTGGCTCCTTGAAGCTGTAGGCGGAGCTCACGGTGCTGAGTTTCTTGAGGAGACGATCCAAATCTATGTCATCCTCGTTGCGGGCATTTATGGTGAGGTGGGCGCCGGAAAGGAGATTGCCTACGTCGCGTATGTGATTGGCGCAGGTGCCCTTGCGTAGCACAGGTGCGCCCTCGCCCTGAAAAGAGAGAAATGGTTAATGGGAACTCGGATAAGATAAGGCCATAAGGTGACTCACCTGCCAGTTGATGAGCAAGTACTTGTTGAGGCCCGTTTTCGGGTCTTCGATGCGCACGAAGGCGTACATGATTTTGCCGCTGTTTAAATCCTCGTTCAGCTCCTCGACGCCTCCATCGCCAGTGGCCACTACCTTGAGTTCATTCGTCTGCCCCTCGTAGCCAAAAAGCGACCAATTTGTGGCGCTCTTGTCGTCGAGAACATCCTTCCAGGCGGCCACTATTTGCGACCGATTCTTCTCAAAGCTAATGGCCATAATTCCAGACTGCCAACGACCTTGAACACGGAGATCTTGGCCAGCTTTCACTGGGTCGCCGTCTTCGTCAAGTGAAAGCCAACGCCCCGCGAAGTCACCAAATTTGAATGGGTTGTCTTGACTTAAAATTTCTTAATTAAAAGCAGCCGCCTCACAAAGACACGCACACACACAGACAGACACGCACACCAGTGGAACAATAGGATTGTGATTGATTTTCCAGTCTGTGCGAATTTCCAGGGCTCTTGAAATCCTAGTTTTTCACCTATTTACTCCGAGTTGTGTGTGCAGAAGTGGGTCTAGTGTTATGCTCCGGCATTTGCAACTCCCCAGTTATCCAATTTAATTGGAATTTTTAAATATTTAATCGCGGCGACCTACACTTTTTTGCAACAACAAATTAGAGGTGGAACACAAGGCGATACTAAGCTTACAGCAAGTTGGCAGACCACTATTATCGATTTATCTACCTAGTTTGAACGCGTCGCGCTTGCATTCATTTACAGATGGATGCAAGTTTATTTCCAACACCATCAAATTAGACAACTAATTGAAATCCATTGCAATCTTGAAATGTCCTATGCAATTTGGACTTCGTCTTTGGAAATTGTCTTAAAAAATCATTAATTTTGAGTATTAAAATAAAAATGTTGTTATTTGTTTTCGAAAAAATAAACATATTTTGTCTATGCATATTGTTTTTTTTTAAATCTTTGGTTCACCATCGTGGACGCAACACAAGTGTGAACAAGTTATATTGGCTTGTGTCCCTGCTAAAGCCAAACGTCAGGTTGAAGTCCACGCTAAGCCATAACAATCCGGTACTATAACAAACTATCGATATGTCAAACGATATTAACCATCGATGTTACATCGCCGTTTCTGCCAGCTCTATCCCAACTAAACGATTGTGATTTGATTGCAATTATACCAAAAACCATAAAAACCCCGCTTTTTCCAGCGTAAAACGTGAGGAAACAGTGCGAACTCGCAGGGAGTGAACCTCGAACAGCTGGGACACAGGATAGGCGACGAGGATTTGAAGGTGGTGGTCTCCAGGCGAAAGGTAAAGTGGTCCCATATATTTGGGGTACATTATATGTGGAAATTGTATGTTGGATGCTGACTGGTTTGGTCATTGCCGAAAAATCCAGCAGCCCCGTTGTATTGGTCCGAAAAAAAGAGAGAAAAAGAAACCAGTCCCAAGTGCATCGTGCCCCCGCCCCTCCTCCGCAGCTTCCCCCCGCTCAACTTTCCGATCAGATGGCAACTGTTTGGATGTTTGGCAGCAGGATTTCAAGTCAGCAAAGTCAGTCTTTGTTCGCTTTGGTTTGGTTTTGGTTTTGTTCCATTTACATATATGCCAATGCCAGGCTCGGGCGATATATCCAGTTTTTCACTCGGATATCTCTGTGCATTTGTATATATATATCTTGTATATATGTGTGTGTATTTGCCAGTGTGTTCATGGTCAATTTCTTTGCATTTTCAGTGCGAAACTCATGCGGTGCAGATCGAGTCGTTGCAGGAGCAGCAGCGAAACCCAAACCCAAACCAAACCAAGTCCAAATCCACATCCAAACCCACTTTAAAACGTTGAGATCATCATGGAATCGGCGTTGGATGTGCTCTCTAGAGCGGCGACCATGGTGCAAAACAATCCCAGCGGTAAGTGAGCAAAGTGAGCGACCCAACTAAAACCATTAACCAATTCCGTTTAAAAAGAAGTCGACAATTTTTATGATTTTCAACTTGGCCAACAACATGCCATGATGTACTCAACCCCACGGGGCAGTGGGGGCGGGGGTTACACACAGCTCTTTTATGGCTTTCACCTTTGAGCCAAGAAGACGAGAAAAGTATTTCAACAATGTGTTGTACAGAGAGAAAAAAACTTAAATTATATGAGAATTACTATGGGGCTATAATTTAACACTCAAAATAATCTGTGATGTGTTACGAAAATCGAATGAATTTAAAAATGTATTTGTAGGTTAAGGAATTAAATGATTTTTTAAAATCATGTGCAAATATTATTATTATTTATTATTATTATTATAAATAATTAATAATGCGCAGCTATGTAAATGTTATAAAAAAAAAATACATCATCAAATTCCTAATTTCCAACCTCTAAATAGTATTCATAAAGCTGAAAAAACTCGTTGGTCAGCAGTAGTATTTGAACTCTATGTTAACATACTCCAGCGTAATTCTCAGCATTAATCTTGATTTCAAATTAATTACATACACATAATAGACGATTTAATATTAAAAGAGGAAAATCTCTTTAAATTATATTTATAAAGCTTAAAAAAAATTCCTTGGTCAGTGGTAGTATTTGAACTCTATGTTAACCTACCCCAGCGAATTCTCTGCGCTGTAGTCTGGATTAATCTCGATTTAACAATATTCATATATACAAAAATATAAGTTTATAAGTTATGGGGAAATATCTTTAATGATAAACAAAAGTCGTTATAAAATGAAATATTTGAAAAATGTTTTTTAGAAAAAATTCGGTAGCGTTTGCACAGGCAGGTGTACTTTCCTCTAGCCTCGTTGACCCTAAAAACGTAACAATTACTATTTTCCCGTTTTCACATTAAGCTGTAGTTTTTCCCCGTGTAACCAGTCGCAGACCGTTTTGCATGCTCCAGTCATGATTCACGATTGCAACAGTGGCCCCTTTCCGGCTGACATCTTCTTTGTAACCGCGATCCCCCCAAAAATTCTACCCACTCTCCCGGGGGCATCGATGAACTCGACAGAGGCGGCGGCAGAGGAAGATTCCTTACCGCGAACACTGTTGTTGTTGTGTGTGCGCGAACGCATAAACACTCGACGAATCCGAGAAATGTTTTATTTTCGTACAAAAAAACGACAACAAAACATTCCAACAAAATGAGTTTGCGGCGCATTCCGATTCCGATTTTCATAAATGTGTCAAATGCCGCATTTTCGATGGCGAACGGCGAATGTGCAGAGGCGAAGGCATATGGTAGTATGAAGTATTGTCGGGGGACCGGACCCGGGAACCCCTTATCAATAATAGCCAGCCAGTCGCTTCGCTTTTTCGTAGTGCCACTGCGGCTGACGAGCACGAATTGTCGCGTTGTCGAGCTGTTTTGGATTGGATGTGTGTGGCTGGGCGTTCGTATTGCATATTTCTGTACATATCTTTTATATATGTATATATTTGCAATTTGCATTCTCTGCCCACCAAACAAGCGACTCGACCGCGTGACATGCCAAAGAAATGGCCGGCGGAGAGCTCAAATAGTATTTGTATATATTTTTCTCTGTGTTCTCTGGGTCGCTAAAATATGTGTATAATTGTTAAACAAAAAAAAGCACACTTTGATTAGGCATGTTCCTCCCCCCAGAGAACAGTGGGTAATTGCACAATTTATATGTAATTTATAAACGAGCGATAAGCACACAAAGTTCTCATTTTGATTTGATTTTTCGCCCCCATTTCGACCTGATAACATGCAAATCATGCCCACAGCCATGGCATTCCGATAATGGGCCCCCAATTTATGTTTATGTTTGTTTACCCATTGGCTAACGGCTTTATCAGACATAATTCCGAATATTTGACAAATTCCTCGAAAGATATATAGAATATATGCGTACAGCTGTCAACGCACAGAGGAGAATTTATGAGATAGCCCCCGATACAGAAAGAGAAATGGTTTCAATGCTCAAATAAATATTTAAAAGCGGGCACGCGATTTGCTGGCGTTTTGTGAGCGGTTTTTTGGCCAAAAATTAAGTGTTTCTAATGCAAAGCAAACCTACAAAAAAATTAAGTTGTTAAAATTGAGTTGGCAAATTAAGAGATACAGAAAGAGAAATGGTTTCGACGCTCGAATAAATATTTACGCGCGATTTGCTGGCGTTTTGAGAGCGGTTTTTTTATATAATTTTTTTTGCCAAAAAATAACTGTTCCCAATGCAACGCAAACCTACAAAAAAAATCTTATTTTTTTGAGTTGGCAAAGATGAGCGTTTTGATTGATCGGCAGGCATCGAAAATGCAAAATGTCGTTAACCTGCGCATGATTAATGGAATTTGTCATAATCGAACGAGCCACTCGGATTCTGGATCTTCATAAATCACACGTAGAAAAGCGGGTCGATTGGGCCGTTAATTAAGGGGCCCTTCCATTGTTTGCCGAGGAGCAATCTTGAAACCCGAATGGCCAGGCCATATAATTAATAAACAAATAGTTACACAAATTGTGGCCTGGGCCACAAAAGAAAAATTGTGGCAATTTCGAACTTGGCACACAGCTGGAGACGACGGACACCAACCGTTTGGATAGCCTGGCTCATCAGGTAATTTACATGGCCTTTCAATTCTACGTTCGTTCCGTTTTTTTTTTTTCAGTCAGTGCCAACTCTGTGGGCCAACACTCTCTTCCTTTTACTACTGGCAATGGCCAAACGGTGCGCATAATTGCCGCAAATCTCGACCAGCGCATAGAGGAAAATCCAGCAGGCAAACCAGTTTCAGTTTGGGTTTGTTATTGCCATGGGATAGTAGGATAGTATAGGATTGGATTGGTGGGGCTCACTTGAGTTTGGGGATGGGCATCGGGATGGGGACACAGATTGGGACTAGAGCATTACCTTTCTTTTTACTACTGCTGCTGCTGCTGCTGCTGCTTTTTACTTACTGCTACTCTTGCTACTGCCGTCGAGCGACTTGCTATTTATTTATTTAAACACAACATTTGCCTATTTGCCATAAATTTTCACTCTGCGCGACTTTTGCTAGCCACTTTGGACAGGAAGAGGTGGCCGTTGGCAGATGCAGCGGCAGAATCAACTTGTTGCGGACAATATCGAAATGAAAGTTGTCTCACAGAAGCGAAATATATTTTTCGGAAACTACCAATCTGTAGCGATCCATAGATCCATTGATTTTAATTCGAAATTCGGTGCAAAATGTTTTAAGATTTTTCTCACGCTTGATTTAGCACCGGATGATATTTTAAAATGACAACTATATTTATGTTATTGTTAGTTTTTTTTTTTGCTATTCGCCATCGACGCCTGTTGCTTTTTGTTGCTGTTCTGGGCAATCGAAAAACCAGTTTCTCTTCAAATCGCGCGCACGCTCGAGTTTTATTTAAATTTTGAACTGGTTTGCCGCTGATTTGTGTTGTCTCCGCTGCGTATATATTATGTACCCACTAGCTATATACATATATTAGATTGTTAGATTTCACAAACTGGGACTGCGGTTAAGATATAAACATAATTTGTCTTGTTCGTATCGATCGAAGTTCTGGAAATTGCCGGCCACCTCATCTGTGTGTCATCATCATTTGTGCGATCTAAAAAGCATTAGATCTCTTATAAAGAAGTCAGATCTCGGTGACTTCCGCACTGCCATTATAACTATACTGACCCAAATTAAAAAGCAAGCTATCTCATGTTTCAGTGCCGATTTCCAAACAACACAAATTTCAATTAGCAAAGCATTTTCCGGAGTTTTATTTCTGTTTGTGTTCTGTTTTCTTCAAAGTTTCGAATCAATGGAGCAATATTAAATTGCTGCTTAGCTTGTCATTCAGCGACCAGCGTCACAGAAAAGGGAAAGAAACGATTGTAAATATGGGTTTGAGTAACCTGTCTTGGGAGAAAAAGGTGAATAAAGGTTATATTTCATTATTTTTTTAAAGATTTTTTAAAAATCTTTACTTTATGCATGGGTTAATAAGTGTAATATATAGGTATTTGTACTAACATAATGTTCTGTAATAAATGTAACATTCTAATCTCCGAAATACCGGAAATTTTCCCGACTAATCACTATGAATATAGATATCACAGTGCAACATGAAAAATGTAACCGCAATTCTGATTTAATGGGCGGAAAGAACTCATCGAAACAAGCTAAAACCCATTTGGGTTTCTCTCACAGTGCGTTTACCTTTTATATGCGAGTTAAAGTTTTACATACAAAATTTATTTGTAACGGCCATATCTTGTGAACCGATTAAAATTTCACTTTCAAGTCTTTAGTGATTATGTAGCTATGAACCCAAGGAACTAAATTGACAAATGACTCTTGCGCACTTAGCACCTAGTGCACCTAGCGCGTTAAAAAACAAATTTGCCTAATTTTTCGATTTTTAACGCGCTAGGTGTACGTCTTCGCAAGAGTCATTTGTCAATTTTGTTCCTTGGGTTCATAGCTACATAATCACTGAAGACTAATAGTAAAATTTTAATCGGTTCACAAGATATGGCCGTTACAAATAAATTTTGTATGTAAAACTTTAACTCGCTATAAAAGGTAAACGCGAGCTAAGCCAAAGAAACCCAAATGAGTTTTAGCTTATTTCGATGAGTTCTTTCCGCCAATGAAATCAGAATTGCGGTTACATTTTATAACCCTAAAAATGTTGCACAGTGTATTTATACAAAAATAATGTTCTGTAATAAAAGTGATATTACTTATACCCGGAATACCAGGAATTTTTCCTACATAATCACTATATTAGCTTTAATAACATTTCCAACCGACTCATCATTAAATATAGAACTCCATTAGCACTGCATAGATATGTATTGTATACCCAAAATTAGCTAGGGGATTTTCTTTTGACTTCTGTAAGCAGGCCCGCATCATTCGGGTTCTACCCTCTAGGCCCCCAAGTCAAGTTTACCCACTTGGCTTTCGTCTTGTTTTTGTGCCTTCTTACATTACTTTACTTTACTTTGGTTTGGTCTACGTTGTTTGGATTTCGGTAATTTGTTGCCATTGTTTTCAGCCAGCCAGTGGAGTCTTCTGCCCCAAAGTCTGTTGAATCCCCGTTGTTGTCATTGTTTTTCTGTTCGTAGTGCTTTATTTATTTTTTGTTGTATTTTTTTTTTGCCATGATTGCCATTCGATTGACCTCGTTGCGCATGCGTGCGCATGTTTCACGCTACACTACAAATTTTCGCGCACAACAAACGCCGGATGATGATGAGTAAGCGCCAAAGCCTAGGAGCACTCAATCCATTACTCAGTCAGTCAATAGTTTTAGCGTTCGTTGGATTTTGTTACATTTTTTTCTCTCTTTCGATATTTTAGTTTCCCCCTCTGGATTTCGGTTGGCCGGTTGAAAATTGCACATTTTGTGACTGGGATTAGCAAACGATGGTGAAAGATGGAGAAAAGGATGGAGAAAAATCGATCGATCGAGCGGATGGCGCGAGTTTAACAGCTGAGCTTGTGCAAGTTGGTTCGGTTCAGGCCATATGATCAACACCCATGTGTAAGAGGCGACTCCAGGCCACACCACTCTACTCCACTCCACTGCAGTTCAGTTCCCTCCTCTATGTTGCTGTTGCTGTTGCAGTAGCAATATTCATGGGGCAACAACAGTAGTGGTTGTACTACAAATCGGGCGTAAAATTTCATGGGCCTGCTATTGAATTAGAAACGAGTTTCCACCACCGTGTTGTTGTTATTGGTTTTCTGCTTTCTGTTGCTGCTTCTGTGCCGTTTTCTTGCCGCCAAGTTGCAGTTGCAGTTGCAGCAATGGTAACTGCTGTTGCTTTTGCTTTTGCTGTTGCTGCTGCTCGTAGTCTGAAGACCGACCGATTGCCATAGCCAAGCCCCAAAGCAGCCGCAAACGTGTAGTACCGTCGACCTATTGTTTGCCTCCAATAACAAACGCAAACATCGCAGCGAACATCTTGGCTATGTGATGAGCTTTGTCCCACAGCTATTTGCATTGATTTCGGAAATTAAACTGCTTTGAAGTTGAACGAATTTGGCTTAATTGGAGCTGACTGATTGTAGGCTATATAAACGATCTTAACAGTACTTATAGCAGAAACATAAGGATTCAGATTCAAGTTTATTATATCATTTTGTATTATTTATTCCTTTTTTAAAAACATTATTTTGGATAAAGATTTTTAAGTGTTATTTTACATCCTTTTTTATATTTATTTAAACATTTCCTAAAAATTAATATTTGGCCTTTCTCAAGACCAGAGTACTGATATGTGTACGTGCTTTGAGTTCCCGGAATCGTATGCTATTTTCTCTGAATTCCTAAATGTACTCGTTTTTTTTTTAAAATGTTTTTATCACTACGAAATGTTTGGAATTTTTTAGCACAAAAATTGCGATAGGGACTTTATCACAACTTAATTGTTTGTTTACTATTCTGCGTAATTGTTTTAAGATTAAAAGAAATTTAAAAAATATTTTTTTTCTTATCAGAGGATGTTTAAATTTTTCCAAAATATAAAAATATATTAAGCAATTTTTTTAAAGATAAACTTATATTTTTGGGGATTTTAAAAAGGGGATTTTTGGATTATAAAGCTGTAATTAATAATCTTTTAGTGCATCCCAAAGTAACACATGTCTAGAATACCAAATTTCTATGAGTCTTTAAACAATTTAACTTATATTTTCAAAAAGGTAATATAACCATTACCATTACAATTTCAGTTAATAGAAAGGACTTGTAGGTATTCTATTGTCGGTGTGACTCAGCCTAAGTCTCGTTCTCCTAGTTGATTGTCATTTTCGCAAGCCCGCATACAAATATACACACGGCAATGGCGATCAGCCGAATGAACGTAGGTAGTTTTGCACGCAGCTATAAGCGTACAAAACTCTGAGTAAACATTATAATGAGCCCGAAATGCAGTGACCGGGCCCAAAAAACAAAAGAGCGTTAAAGGAAAACATGAAAGAACGCCCACACTATGTGGTGCTTGGTTTTGGACCCAAAGACTTAAGACCCAAAAGCCCAACCCCAGAAACTCCAAAGACAAGAGTTCGAGCTGGAGTCCGAAAAGAGACTCCCTGAAACTGTGTGGCCAATTCCCAATTGCTGCCATTTCGTTACCCTTTTGCCCAATTTGCCAAGCATCAATGGGGCAAATGGGCGTGGCAGCCACATCCTACGATCTGGTCCCCTTTTTCCCCATCCTTTTCTTGAGTTCCCCTTTTGAGTTTGTACTTTTTCAATTACCAAATCACCGAAAAGCAAGCAGAGATCCGAAAGATCCGTTGAGAACGGCGAACAGCGAGAGTCTCGAAACGGAAATTGGTAAGAGGAGAAATAAACGCAAAAAAAAAAAAGAAAGACAGAAAGAAAGAAAAAAGAAGAAAAAACAACAAGGGACAACTGGCGCAAGTGCAAATGGGACTGAAAGGCCCCAAGTCTACAGAGCCCCCCTTCTCCACTCTTTTCTCTAAAGACCCGTGGAGACTTTTCCAGCGAGCAGAAACGAGTAAAACGAAGGCTTCCGAAGAAACCGAAGACCGAAGACTGGAGACTCGAGCGAAGCTTCGAAAAGCCCCCCAGTTGGCAGTCGCAATCTTGAAGTCGACGATCAGTTTGAGCTTGTCCGTGGAAGCCGTCAGTTCGGTGTTCGGTCTTTCAGTTCCTATACTATATGCTATATATTACTATACTATATAGTGATTTTTTCGCTATTGGTTGTATTACATTTTCTGCTGTGAAACGTGCGTCCATCGAGGTTCGCGTGTGCTGTGTGTCCGTCGGTCTCTGAAAGCGAAAACTGGCGCTCAAGTTCAGTCAGCGATTTGTCGATTTCTATGCAAATCATTACTCGGAAAAGAAACACACATATAACCCAGAGTCAGAGTCAGAGTCATAGAGTCGCAGACGGAGACATAACAACAAAAGACGGCGTGCTATTTTTATTTTGCTAAATGTCGACTTGAGGCTCACGTCGCCGGAGCAGAGCCAAAGTCTCCGTTTCAAGACTTGCGAGAGACTGTAACCCGAGTCGCGGTTCGCAAAAAAAAAAAACAGACAAACAGAAACAGATTGTATCTGTATCTATAGTCGCGACTTGCGGCTCGTTTTGTGCGCGCACATTCGGTGTATCTGTATCTGCGGCAAAAAGCGAGCGCAAAAAGTAATCATAAAGGAAAAATAAATAAATAAAAAGACTGCCGCTCGACAGCCTCCAGAAGATAGATTTCCCCCCGCCAGAAATCAGCTGAGTCGGCAGCGATATGATGTGAGTGGATCGCCGCATCCCAGAGATTTCGGAGATTTTTTGAGCAGGAAGTAGACAAGCAAATCGAATCTATCAAGTAGAAGAGCAAAGCCATGGAATATCTTTGCATACTGAATGCCTTCGAGCAGAATTACTACAACCGCATCAAGGAAATCGAGCGATTGGCCGCCGCTGCCGCAGCTGTAGCATTCTCCTCCTCCTCATCGTCGGCATCCTCCACATCCTGCTCGAGTGGACCCTCCACTTCCTCATCCGCCTCCTCCACGGCCAGTTCTCCTAGTTCTTCGGCCCAGGTAGCCGCTGCCCTGGCGGCCACTCAAAGACTGGCCGCTTATCACGGATCCCAGAACCAGGGGGCCATGTTCTACCATCCTCAGCAGCAGCAGCAACACCATCATAATCATAATCACCACCACCTCCATCGCCAGCAGCTGGAGCAGCTGCAATCCGGCAATCAGCAGACGCATCCGCATCCGCACACATCGACGGATCCCAATGCCTCCTCCATGGCCAATAGCCTCCTCTGGCAGCCCTGGCGGGATCTCCAGCAGGCTGCGGCCATGCATCATCAGTTATACAGGCAGCAGCAGCAGCAGTTGCACAAAGGTTCGTTTGAGAAAAGAGATGACTCGCCAAAAGTCTGACCTCTGACAAAAAAGGCGCAAATGTCACATACTAGAAATTTGACTTCAATTCACAGAAAGTTTGAAGACTGAAATATGGTTCAGGATATTCCCTTTTCTAGTACCATGTTTCATAATCTTATTTCCTTTAACTGTCCATCATAAAATTTAATTAGTTCCGTTTTGCGTCAGCTTACTTACTTAACTTTTTTAAATATCGTAGTTTTATAACGTTGTGACGTCTGCTTAGTTTACTTTTTTTAAAGATCATAGGTTCTGTAACTTGTGACGACTATAAATAGTAACACTTTGGCTTAATTCTACGCTTAGAGTTAAAGCGTTTAATTCAAATAATGATGTCTAAAAAGATTTTTTTAGTAAGGTAGTTAGGTTAGGGTAGTTATAACTACCCGAAATGTAGCCGTTCTATAATAATAGTACTTATTTGTCTATAGTAAAATATTTCATTCTAGAAAAGTGTAAACCTATTATATTTCTCATAGTTTTGGGCTTCAAAGTAATATCACGAGGAATAACATTTATTCAGTTAAATAAGAGGTGGAGTACCGTTCATTAACAAGTTACCACAACAACCAAAATTATATTAAATTTTTTATTTCGCGGCATCCTATATTAATATAGACAACACTGCTTATAAACATGGTAGATAATCATGATAGTCACATCATCAGACTTGTCTTTGAAAATGTTTTATTATGCATTTCGGTGACAGGTTTAGATTCCTTAAAATAGTATAAACTTAAACATGTAAAAAGCCGCCAAAGTTATTTTAATTCCGCCAAAAGTTCCTATGGTTGCTGTAGGATATATAGTCGTTTTATTCGTCCGGTTTTCAAGCATACATCTGATTACAAAAACACGATTGGTTAAGTTTTATGATGATAGCTTTTAAAATGAGCAAATAAATTTGCCGAAATACATACATTAGCTCGTTTTGGTGATGCAGACAGGAATATTATATATTGTTATAGTTTGTAAAGTTATATATCTGAGAAATGCTTTTACTTTCTTGAAAAAGTGTATTATAAATGAAGGTTTATTGAAGTTCTTGGGTCAGAATATATAAAATAGTATGTATTACATTGTTTTTTATAGTTTGTAAAGATATATATTTGGGAAATGCGTTTACTTTCTTGAAGAAAACGAATGTTGATTGAAGTTCTAGGTCAAAATATATAGAATAGTATGGATTATCTTGTTTTTGAGGCAGGCAAAGTTCAATTTAGATGGCAATGCCCACCTGCTGTCCACGTGGAGACCACACTCACTGAATGGATTGACGAACGTGCTCTTTCCTTTGGCCTTTTGGCCATGATAAGCGCACTCCACTCCGCCGATGAATGGGATCGGGTATCGGAAGCGATTCGTTATAGTTTATCAGTAGGTAGCTTTACATGTAGCGTGTGTCCAGGACGTGGACGTGATGACGAGTGTAATGGGATTGGGTTTGGGATTCAGTTATACAGATTGGTCACGCCGGCTGCAAGAGCGTATCGATGGCGTCTCCAGTCGGCTTGTGCCAACTGTAAAATTGGTAATGAAATTGGCAACACTTTTACTGCGCTCCCCGTCTCATTCGATTGGTTTCGTCTGCGGGTTTGGATTGGCAAACAACCAAGCAAACTCACAGAAAAAACTCACACACACCAGTTGCTCAGCATTAATTGGCGACATTGCACAAATCACACAAATGCTTTCAATTACATGGCGACGCCAGGCAAACACAAAAAATGAGCGCCTGTTTAAACATTAAAACTCCATAAAAAATACAACAAAAAAAAGATTGGAAAATGGATGATGATGAGGTGGGGTGGCTGGGATTCGGGGGACTTTGGCTCGACTCGACTTGCTTTTATTTTGCTTTTGTTAATTTGTTGACATATTAAAACCAGATTTGCAATCAACTCGGCCAGCGGGTAATGCGGGTATCGGGGTATCGTGGATTGTGGTACGGGTATCGCGGGGTATCGGGGGGTATCGGAGTATCGGCATGACTCACTAGCCGGCGCGAGAAAAAATATAAATAATGAAAAACGCCTGCGATGGTGGAAAAATAAATATGTATACAAAGCTACAAAGGCAACAAAAGCAACACAAAGCTAGAAAAGCAACAAGCAACAACAAACCAGAGCAGCAACAACTTGTTTGCATAAGCCACAAATGCTGTTCCCATTGCTATTGCTTTTGCTTTTGCTATTTGTAGTACAATCCAAGCCATATAAGCATGCAAGTCTGCCTGACTTTTGTCACTCTCTTTCCGTTCCCCGTTCCCTTTAACCCCCATCTCTTTCCCAAGTTCTCTATGTTGTTTTGAACCCGAACCAGATTTTCGGATCTGACTGGGCCGGCTTTCAAATCGCTCCCCAGCTGATATATCACCGCAGAAGATTTTAAGATTGCCCCACCGTTGCCGGAAATTGTGAAATGCGCTGCCTAAAATATTGTCTCGATTTGTAATTAAAGATAATATTTTGGGATTTTATAATGGACAATCATTAGAACCATTTTTTTAATTTTATATCCACTACAACAAAATATTCATACAATTTATTTATTTTATTTTTATTATTTGATTTATTTTAATAATTAATTATTATCACAGTTTTTGAGATATATTTCTATAAATGCTTCAAGATAAAGAAATGATATTGTAATTACTGTTATTTACTGTGTCTAAACAAACATTTCTTTATTGCCTTTTTAAATGTCTCTACATTGCAATGTAAGAAGGCATTGTTGTTTTTCTCATTTTCTTTCTTTTAATTAGTCATATAAGACTTATTAATTTCCTTGTGGCTTTTATTGGAATAATGATTCTAAAAAGGCGGGCGATTCCAAATGGACTATTTTTATAGGCAAAAATGTACATGAGTGTTAGAGAGAGTTAGGACATGTGATTTTGATCCATTATTTCTGGGCGCCCTATTAAAATAATATATTACTTAAATTTAGAGGTGTTTTTATTTAATTTTTAAAAATATCAATATTTTTTTTGTTTGATCTAATATTTAATTAAGCTAACTAAATTGATGTGCGAATTTTAGCAACTAGAGGATAGCTTACTTTCTCAACATCCTATACCTTTCGCTCCCCAGAAATGTAAATATATCCCTTGCTTAAGTCATCGATTTATCCCTTTTTTTGAGGTTCACTTACCGGCTCCCCTTTATCGCCAATTAGCCGATACAGAAATGATTAAAACGCTGGCAGCAGAACAAAAAAACAATGCAGAAGAGAGGATGCTGAAAAAGCGGTGGCGGCAAAGGTGAGATAGGGAGCAAAAAAATAAGAAAAAAAGACCGCAAAAGAGGGGGAGCCAGTCTCGAAAAGAAAGCTCCATGACGTTGTCGTTGTCGTTGTTTTTTGGTTGTTGTTTTCGTTGTCGAATCGCCGATCCCCCAACAGACGGCGACGTCCGACGACCGGAAATGTGCAATAAAATTTGAATGTTTCTTTATTATTATCATCATCCCCATCATCATCATCATCGTCGTCCGCTGGAGCCGAAGTTCGCTCCCAGCCTCCGTGTTTGTTGGTTTTTAATGCCTCTTGGACTGCAACTCCTCCTTCATCTCCTCCTCTTCCTTGGTTGCTCCACTCTGGGCAGACCAGTTTGTGGTTGGTGGAGGGTTCCTCTCGCTGTAGAAGATGTAATATATGGCAGTGCCGCAGTGACGTTGCCAAAAACAGGACAACGCTCCCACCTCCTCCTCCTTTTCTTCCTCCTCCGCCAACGCCGAACCGCCTCCATCTTTAGCTGCATCCCAGCCATTCATTCATTCATTCATGCCTGGGTTCCTGGGACTGCTCCTCCTGCTCCTCCTCCTCTAAAAAGGCTCTCTGCGCTGCTCAAAATGTGCAGAAGTCGCCCGACTGGTTTGGTTTCTGGGTTCCCGCTGCCTCTTGCTTTATTTATAAACTTGGTTTGGTTTCCTGGCCAATCTCCCAGCTACACTGAGCACCTCGATGGATCTCTCATCCCGACGGGATGCCCACGCTTGGTTTTCGCTTCCCACGCCAGTGGCTCGGTCATTTGCCCATTTGGCAGGCCAGGCACGTTGCCGCATTTCGCTCAGTGTAGGCCAGGCCCAGACTTTAAAACACAAACACACACACTACAAACAAAGCGTAGACCAAAACCTGTTTTAGTTACCAATTTTGTTTGTGGAGTTTCGATTGTGTGCTTTCTGTTGTTATTATTTATTTGCTCGAGTGTGTGTGCTGTTTTTTTGTATTTATATTATTTTTTCTTGACTGGCGACGGCTATGTCTTCTTGTGCATAATTTCTGTGCTGCCTCCTGACTGCCGCTCCTCCATTTGCAGAGCTTTTCGGCTGAGAAGTTCATTCAGCAAAAAAGCGAAAGACTTAGGCAACAAACTTGCAGGAGGAAGTGGAGGGCAGAGAACCTACCTGTGATTCATTACGCCCACTCAGCGACCGCAAAATCACGTAAACCGCAGCGAGGAATCGATGAATCGCTAGCCAAATCCGAAATTTATGGCTTTTAATTGTTATGCGATTTTTGTTTAAAATTGTATAGACTTTTAACTCGTTTACTGATTTTTTTTACTCTTTCTTTCCTTACAGAAATGCGTGTGACGTCCAAGGAGCTGCCCACCACCAAATGGCGACGCGATCGGCGTCAACGGACCGCCGAGTATCAGGTTCACGAGGTTCAGGGCGCCGGGAGCAGCGAAAGGGAGAGGGAAAGGGAGCGTGAACACGAGGATCGGGACATGGACAGCCCCATTGATATGTCGGTGACCACGGGAGCCCTGAAGCAGCGGGCCTCTCCGCCGCCACCCTATCGCGAACCTCTGCCCGGGACCAACTATGCGGCCAACAGCCGACCCAGCGTCATCACCCAGGCTCCACCCAAGCGGGAGCCACCCGAGCAGGCCCACCAATCCTCAGGTGATTAGCTATACCATGCACAGAAAAAAAATTGATTAAAGATCAGATTGATAGTGTGCAGGTCAATTTAATATTTACTTAAGTTATTCATATCATTCTAATCTTTTTATGTTATGTTAACTTATTTTACAATATTTGTTCAAAAAATGCTACATTTGGTATCTTAAAGCAGTATTTTTATCAAGTTGTTTTGTTTGAATCATAAATCATAAAGATCAGATTGATATGTGCAGGTCAATTTAATATTTTTAAAGATCAAGTTATTCATATCATTTTATTCTGTTTATGTCATGTTATTTTGTACAATATTTCTTCAAAATATACTCAAGTTGGCATTTTAAAGTAGTATTTTTATGACCTTTATGAAATAACTGATAAGGTACAATATCAAGTTAATATGTTTGAATCATAAATTTTACATTAATCATTTTTGCTTTCTATTGATATGAAATAAGGTATAAATGAGCATAAAAATACTTAATTTGGTATTTTGAAATAGTATTATTATGACGTTTATGAAATAACTGATATGATACAATATCAAATTGTTATGTTTGAATCATAAATTTGACATTGTTGATATGACACAAGGTATAAATTTAATATTTTTTAAGATCAAGTTATTTATATCATTTTAACATTAATAAAGATTTATTTATCTATTTTTTAAAATATTTGTTTAAAAAATAGAAAATTTGGTATTTCAAACCAGTATTTTTATGACTTATAAAATAACTGATAAGATACAATATCAAGTTGATATATTTGCATCTTAAATTTGACATTATTGATTATAAATGAAACTTTTTCATGTCTAGACTCCTTTTTCTGTGTACAATCAAGCCAAAGATCCTCACTAACCACCTGCTTTTTTCGATATTCCCTCACAGACATGGCGATGTGCGACATTGACGAGCACTTCCGGCGCTCGCTGGGCGAGAACTATGCCGCCCTGTTCGCCAAGAAGTCGCCGACGCCCACGCCCACACCGACGCCCTCGCCAGGCGGTACGCCCAAGCAGCAGGTTTCGCCACTGGCCTACGGACCACCAGCAGCAGCAACAGCACCATTATCATCATCAGGATCTTCATCATCATCGAGCAGCAGCTACCATCTGGCCAAACCTGGTTTGGTTATTCCCATGGAGCCGGAATTGGAGCACTCGGAACTGCCGCCGCCGCAGGAGGAACCGCTGCCGCTCTCGCTGGCACTGCATCGCACTCAAACGCCGCCATCGCCGCCGCCCTCGGCCACGCTGCCCATACCCATAACCATGCCCATGGAGGCAGCGGTGGCCGCCAAAAGGATGCTGGATACGCCACCCAGATACAATACACCACCGCCGCCGCCGCCAGCTTATGGGACAGCCGGAAACTCGGTTACTCCAACGCCAACTTTGACACCCAGCACTCCTAATCCGAATCCGACTGGAAATCCGAATCCCACGCCCTCGCAGATTCCCACGCCCACGCCCAGCATGCCGGCCATCATTCGGGTGAAGGCTGAGCCTGGTTTGGCGACGGCTGCGGCTGCCGCTTCCTCCACGCAGACGCCGCCCGCCTCGCCCACCTCGTCCACGAATATCTCGATATTCACCAAGACTGAAGCCTCGGTGGACGATCACTTTGCCAAGGCGCTGGGCGACACCTGGAAGAAGCTGCAGGGTGGCAGCAGCGCGGAAACAAGGAGTAAAATTAGTAGAAGCAAATATCCCCGATCCTTTATCCCTAAAAAAAACACCCAACACCCAACCCGATCCTCAAGAAATCCAACTCAAGAGCTGTTTTTATTATAAATATTTCAAACTACACAATTAACGTTTAAAGATCTCATGCTGATGTGAACGGAAATTCTTCAACTGCGAGTGTATTACAAGTTTCTGATATATAATGATTTTATTGAATATTGATAACGGTTAGCGCGGATATATGCGATATATGATAAATGATATATATAAATGTGTATGGCAAAGTGTATACGTACAAGTGACAAAATTTTGTATTCTTAATGCTTAGTTGGTAGTGACTAATCCTTAATAATATACCTATTAAACATAAGTGAACAATCCTAAGAAAAAAGTCTATTTATTTGTGGAAATTGGGGGTGTTTAAATATTTCACGAAGTTATATTTTTGAATTTTCAAATGGCGGTTAACCTGGTTAACAGTGCGCCTAACAGCACACTGTTAATCGCGCTGGCCAGTGTGACCACACCGCCTGTTAATGCCCATCGAACTACTATCGGAACGTCGATTGTGCCATTCACAGCGAACGATAGCCCGATAACGATTGTTTGGCATTCGCACGGCACGGAATCGTACAGTACATTTACATTGCAAAAAAAAAGCATAAAACAAAGTTTTAAAACAATTAAAAGCGACCCAGCCACGGCGTATTATTAAAGAAGCAGCCCACTGTTGATGCCCCAACCGCAGCAGAGCGCGGCGCCCAGCGATTTGACGGAGTAGCAGCGCCAGAAAGCAGGGTTCGCAGGCAGAGGGGCGCAGAGAGAGAAAATGTCACGCAAAGCAGAAGCAGCAGCAAAAGCAAAAGCAGAAGCAGCAGTGCAAGTGGAAAAAGAGTAAAGAAAATACTCAGGGGATTAGGGATCAGGGATCGCGGATCTCGCCACTCGAATCCTGATCCTACGGAGAGGAGCAACCGAGAGCCTTTGGCGGCACAACCGATGGGCATCATCATCACCTGCTGCAAAAGCCAGCGAAAGTAGGAGACAACAAGGGAGCACTAAAAACTAAAACATCCTGGCCGGGATTGCTGAAAGATTAAGGCTTGGATGTCGTCGGTAACTGAGTGCGTTATCCTACGTTGGGACTCCCCTAGCAATCCGCTGCTGGCACCATGCAAAGCCTGGACTCCTCATGCCAAGAAGCCGACGTAAGAATTGGGGTTTCTCCTTCCTTTTTACCCATTTAAATACTATTTATTCCTTTTAGTTTATTATAAATGACACGCTCAAGAAGTTAAAGGGCTCCAGCAATGCGGACCATGTCCAGGGTCTAACGGTCCACGCCCACGGCTCGGGCGTCGTCCACCAGGCGCAGTTCGTCCAGTACCAGGCGGGATCGGGATCCTCGCCGCAGCTGCAGCAGCAGCAGCAATCCTACCACCAGCTGCCTCCTAATCTCCAGCAGCAGCAGCAGCAGCAGTTCGCCTCCTCGAGCAGTAAATCCTATCTGGAGACCAGCCTACTGCAGGCCATACCACAGATTCCTGCCCAGCCGCCCATTTGCATCTTCGATGACGACGATTCGCCCACCGAGGGAACGGGCGGCTCTTTGGGCGGCCTGCTCACCGAGCCCACCTCGGCCACGCCCAGCGGTTTGCCCACTGCAATTGCTCCATCGCCCTCCACGTGCTCATCCTCCACCACCACGCTGTCGAACTTCAATTCGATCACCTCGCCCTCGCCGGTGGTGCCCGATCTGCTGCTCTCCACGCCGCCGGGCGTTAACTCCAGTCTGAGCAATAGCAGCTCCTCGACGAGTAAAAAGTCCGAGAAACGGCCGGCATCGGCACAACACCTGCACCACCATCACCTCCACCAGACGCACAATCATCATGTTTTGGCCTCGCCCACATCGTCGCCGAACAAGCGCCAAAAGTCCAACAGCAGTAGCTCCTCTAGTCGCAGCTCAGCTCTACCCGCCGCCGCCGCCGCCTCAGTCTCCACGGCTACCTCCTCCTCCTCGTCGTCGCGAGGCGCTGGCGCCGCCGCCGCTGTCTCCTCCAACAAGCCACCTTCCTCCGCCTGCCAGTCGAGCGGGAGCAGCAGCAAGTTCTTCAATCTGCACGAGAAAATCAAGGATCTGTACCTACAACTGCTGAGCAATGACCTCAACTACTTTGCCGAAACAGGGGTATGATTTTAAATCAGTCAAAATCAGGGCTCGGAAAATAGCACACTCTGTAAAAAACATGTTAAATTTCAAAGTTCAAAAAAAGTTATTGACATGTGTGTAAAAAATTGTAGCTTACATTTGTTAGGAACATAAATAACACAGTTTATTTGTGTTATTTACCCGACGTGTTATTAACATTAAATGTAATTTTCATTTGTGTTAAGAACATTGTGTAAAAAACACAAGTGAGCTGTGTGTGCCAACAAATTTTTTTTCAAATTTTAACCAGGGACCGTAAATAATTGTTATTTGAGATTTTTATTTTAAAAAGACTACTGTGATATTTTGTTTAAAACGTCAAAAATAACCTTTTTAATTTTGTCCAAATCTGGAAAGCAAATGAACTGTTATTTGTTTATGTCTATAAAGTGCACAAAAACCAGTTAATTTGTTGTTTAAAACTTGTAAAAATTTTAGTAGGCCTTTTTAAAAAAAAATCTCAAATAATGATTATTTACGGTCCCTGATTTTAACACTTTTGTTTTTGACACACATGTCACGTTCCTCACACTGTAAAATACCATTTTACATGTTTTTAACAAGTGTGTTAAATTCCGAAACCTGGTCAAAATATTAACTCTGTTTAATGTCTCCTTTGCCTCTTTCAGCTAAAACAACGCACCCGCTCTTTTACACTCGAACGTCTGGTGGAGCGCGAGAAGCTCAACACAATAGTGGTCAACCTGTATCCAGGAAACAAAGGTTATTCATTGGCCCTGCACTACGATGAGCACATGCAGCTAAACCCGCAGACGAACGAATGGTTCAATGCAGACAAGGACAAAAAGCCGCCAGCGCTGGACGAAAGTCACTCAAAGGCAGCGGAGGCCAACTTTGGACTCGTGGAAGTGCTGCGTTGGCCCTACGAAAACGATTTGCTGCTGCAGTGCATCGATCGCGAGATGCTGCCGGAGTTTCTAATGGATCTAATCGGCGCCGAAACGGTCAGTTTGTCGGACAGCGAGGGCACACGGGTGTACGCCAAGCCGAGCGTCTTCTATGCCGGCTGCGTGATTGCCCAGATCCGCGACTTCCGCCAGACATTTGCCACCTCAACGAATATCTGTGATATGAAGCACATTCTGCTCAGGCCAACGAACGCCACTTTGTTCGCGGAGGTGCAGCAAATGGGCAGCCAGTGGCCGGCGGAGGATAAGCTGGCGCTGGAGAGCCAGCTGGTGTTGGCCACGGCGGAGCCGCTGTGTTTGGAACCGGATCCAAGCATAGGGCGGCAGGCCATCAATGCGCAGCATCAGCGTCAGCTCTTCAACTCCCACGAACTGCGGCGCCAGATGAAGAAGTTCACCCAAACGGCGATCAATCGGAAGCGCAAGCTGGATCAGTTTACCCATCATCATGGCCTCGAGTTGTGCGATTATCTGGCTCGTCTGCGCCAGCGACCGCGAACGGGGAGCAGCAGCAGTAGCGGCACAGCCACGGCTACGGCGCCCACCAATAATCCACTGGTGGGCGCCATGCTCTCGTCGTTCACCTCGAAAGTCCCTCGACGGCCGCACGAGGTCATCCGGCCCATTCGTCCGCCCACACTCGAGTATCCCGCCAATCTGAAGGTGCCCGAACACGTGATCAGCGTGGAAAAGTATGCCAAGGCCTTCGAACCGCTGAATGAATTCAGTGAGGCCTGCAAGGATGGCTGCCAGCCGAACTGCCGGCACAACTTCCAGCCGCAACTGATAGAGGAATATGTGCTGGAAACAGAGCGCGAGGCCAGCGAAGGGCGAAGGGCTTTATATCACATTAAGCTCTCCATCTTTCAGCGGCCCTCCGATGCCGAGTATCTTGGTGAACTGTATGTGGATAGAGATTATCGGGAAGGCGAGCGAAATGGCGAATCTTGCCGCTTTGCTTTGGGCACGCGGGTGCATGCCAATCGATACATTCAGCAGTTCCGCGAGATCTTCACCGAGGAGGGACGCAAGGCGGTCAAAATCACGCATTTGATACCCGGCCATGTGCCAATTGTGACGCACACGGGTCTGACGAATGAGCAGCGCATCCTGTTGCAGCAACAGCAGCAGCAGCAACAACAGCAGCAGCGACAGGCTCAACTGCAGCAGCAGCAGCAACAACAGCAGCAGCAGCAGCCACAACAAGTTGTGATTGTAGGCAATCCTCAGCAGCAACAGCAGCAGCAGCAACAACCGCAGCAGCAGCAACAGCAACCCCAGCAACAGCTATCCGCCACCGTGCATCATGTGGCTTTGCCGCGACAACAACTAACGCAAAAGACTCTGAATTTGGCCGGAAGTAATGTCATCAATGTACAGCAAAACTTTCGCCAGCAACCGGCGCAACAGCAGCAGCAGCAACAGCAGCAAACCTACACAATTGAGGCAACGCAGCAGCAACAACAGGCTACAGCCCAGATCGTCCCGCAACAACAGCAGCAGCAGCAACACATTCACCTACAGCAGTTGGCCACCGGCAGCAGCAATTCCTCCACAACAACTCACCAGGTTAGCCTGAGCAATGGCTCACTGGTCCTTGTGCAGCAGCAACAGCCGCAACAGCAGCAGCAGTCGCAACAGCTGGCACAGGCACTGCAACACTCGGGCATAACCATCCAACCAGCCACCATTCAGCAGCAGCAACAGCAGCAGCAGGTCAAGGGCACAACCGTCGTGGGGGCCAATTCCGCATTGCGTGCCCAGCTCAACTCAAATGTGCCAATTCTGGTAAGTAAAAAATTATTAATTTGAATAGATTCAATGAAATATTTTGAATTTTTTGTTTTATATAAATCAATTAATTAGAATTTTGAGTTTAATTGAATTGAATGAATGAATGGCATGAATTCCGAAATAATACAAACGACTTTTTCTTTTGAAGAAGAAAGAGCCATCATTTTGTGTTTAAATCTGCATGAATTTTATCTTCTAAGCAGTTAACATTGATTTGTTCAAAATGTTCCACTTTTTGTTCTCAAAAGAAAGCACAAAAAAAAATGGCAAATTCAAAAAATTCATAAAAATTATTCATTTATTTCTAAATTAAAATTCGAAAAACATTGAATTTATTAAAAAACATCCAATTAATTTCATGCATAGATAAAACAAAAATTTAATGATTCACGCAGGGCTCTAAATTGGTACAGAACTTTCCTATTAAAATGTATTTCTTTGTCCCAACAGCAAACGCAGCTGAAGGTTCAGCAGCAGCAGATATTGCAGAAGCAACATCAACAGCAGCAACACCAGCAACAACAACAACAGACAACTGCCACTAGTAACAACAACAACAACAATAATAACAATATGAACAACAATACGGCCATACACCCAAATCCAGCAATAAATGCCATAGTGAACAGCATTATGAACTCTGCCAATCAGTACCAACAACAGCAGCAGCAGCAACAACAGCAGCAACAGCAGCAACATCAAAGTGAGTTTACCTCTTGATTAAAAAATATAATAATATTTAACCCCCTTTTTATTAATTTACAGCGGGCAACACACAAAGCAACAATAACAACAATAATGGAGGCAACAACACCACGGCAACAACACTCAAAAACTCCAGCAATGCCTCAATTTTGAACCTGCTTAATAGTGCTCCCGCTGCCATGACCAGCACACCGGTGGCCAGTGGAACATTCACCTCCTCCACGGGCCAACAGCAGCAACAACAACCGCAGACTTTGACGCTGGTGCAGCACCAGCAACAGACGACTCCCACCACCGCTGATGCTGCCACAGCCACTTATGTCCAAACCACCCGTGGAACACCCACGTTGGTGAGTGCGCAGCGAAAGCAGCAGCCCAGTGAGGTGCTGCAAAATTTGTTGAATGCCAATCGAAAGACTACGACAACGTTTCGTACAAATTCCGCTGGCAATTTGATAGCAGTTAACCTGAATCAAGCGGGGCAGGCGCATCATCAGCAGGCGGGCGATGGAAGTCAGACGGTGAGGGTGTCCATGTCGGCACTCGCCTCCCAGTTGGCCTCTCCGCCGGCGGTGATGACGAACCCGAACAGCACCCACAGCTACACAGTGATCTCGTCGGGCAATAGCGCAGCGGCGGCGGCGGCAGCAGCCTGGATTCAGAGTCCAACGGGTCCCGTTCAGCAGCGAATTTTGAGCACTCTGCGAAGGGACAGCACCACGGCGCCGCCCAACGCAATTGTGGTGGGCATGGCCGCCCCTTCGCCGGGCAGCGATTCGAATGCCTCGAATGCCAGTGGCTTTGCGGTGCCCAACAATCTGGCGTCCACTTCGAGTGGCGGTGGTGGTGGTGGAGCTTTGTCTGCACTGCTAACCAATGCGGCGACGCCCTCGCCATCGGGTTCGGATCACTCGCAATCGTCGCAGCAAAATCAAGCGCTTGCTCGAGAGGCTTAGCAATGTCACCTCCAACGTTTCAGCCGTCTCCATGCCACACATGTCGCCGCAACAGCCGCAGGCGACGCAGTTTATTACCAAAACTATAGTTCATTCGCCCGCCACTTCGTCAATACACTCGCCCATGTCTAGTCCGCATCCGCAGCCCTCGGCGTCGCCGCAACAGCAGCAGCAACAACAGCAGCAACAGACAACCGCCACATTAAACCTACAAGGCATCAATTTGTCCCAGCTCCAGGGAGCCATGGCCAACTTTGCTGGCTTACAGAACGTGCAAGTTCAGATACCCGGCTTCACGCAACCCATTTCGCTGCAGTTCTCCGGGAATAGTTTGCAGCAGCAGCAGCAGACGGGAAATGCGGGTGCCACGGGTGCTGCAACAGCGCAGGGTCAACAGCGAAGTGTCCTGGTCTCGGTGCCCGTTTCCAGCCAGCAACAGCAACTGCCACACACGATAACACTGCAGACGCAGCAGCAGCAGCAGCAACATCAGCAGAACCAGCAGCAGCAGCAACATGCTCCCCCAACGGGCACCATTGTTAATCTGCCTTCTGGTAATCCAGGCAGCCAAACGGTGGTCATAACGAACAATGCCGGCGGAGGAGGAGTTTCGGCGGGAAGCAGCAATAGTGGGAATACAGGCGGCGGAGGAGGAGCCGTGCTAACTTTACCCATTGGTGAGTAGCAGGAAAAGGAGAGGAGAATCTTCGGCCAGGCCGTAGAAATATGTATTTGTAACTCTCGAAATGGCTAGCTTTATTTATATATATTTACTCGGAGACCATATTATTTATTCGTAACTCTTTTCTTTTGATTGAACATGCTTAATTTTGTTCTCTTCTGTTTCTGTTTCGTTTCTCGTTTACAAACATATCATACAACACAAACCCGTTAACCACTCGTTTCGATTTCGATTCCTCATACAACCCAAAACTAATCCCGAACCGAATTATATGTGTCTTGTGTGAACCTAACCCAAAATGCCATCAGTTTAAGATTAGAGAGTCCATTATGTATAACCTCTGACCTTGGACATTTCTCATTTGCCACCTGAAAAAACAAGAACCAAAACAAACAAAATCAAAATCTCCCCGCACACCTCTCTCTCTCTCTGCTTGCAGCTCAAATAGTCGGTGCCGGTGTTCAGAAACTAAATCCTCAAACAATACGTACCTCAAATGTTGGTGGTGGTCTAGGTATCGCCCAGCAGACGGTTCAGCAGACGGTCCAGCAGACGGTCCAGCAGCAGCAGCAGTCGCAGGGCGGCAACAGCACCGCATCCATCCAGCTATTGGGCACCATTCAGCCGCGAGCACGCAACGTCCAGGTGGTGGGCACCAAGCAACTGGCCAGCAGGCAGCTCATCACCACCCAGCGGCAGATTGGTGGCTCCACGCTCAAGCTGGCCACGACTCCGGTGAATGGTGAGTTGAAAATAGAGCCCTGCATGAATGGATTCAATGAATTATTTTGAATTTATTATTTTGTAGATTAATAAGTTTTAGTATATAAATGAATATAAATTAATTAAAATTTTGAGTTTAATTTTTGTACAAAAAATATTAAAAATCCTAACGTTTAATATAAATTATTTTTTTTTTTTTTACAGATTAATTTTTTTTTTAGAAAATATTTGCTTTTGAGTTTAATTAAAAAAATATTTCAATTACAAAATTACAAAATTTTTTACAGCACATTTTAGATAAATCTGCAAAAATATAAGTCTAGCAGTTAACATTGATTTGTTCAAAATTTTCAACTATTTGTTTTCATAAGAAAGCAAAGAAATCTGAAATTCAAAAAATTCTTAAAAAGAATTCATTCTTTCAATTTATTTCAGATAGAGTTCAATTAAACAACTTGGAAATATCAAGGCGTACATAATAAAACAAAATTTAATAATTTGGTCTGTTAAAATGGTTCTTTTTTGATGGACTATAATTCTAAAAACTGATTTCTTTTCTAGCTGCCAATGTGGTGACCAGCAGCGCCAGTCTAAGCACCACGCCAATTGTGATGTCGGGCCAGAAGCTGCAACTGAAAACGGTGAAGGCGCCCGTGCAACAGCAGCAGCAGCAGCAGCAACAGCCAATGCAGCAGCAACACCGAATACTCAACCAGCAGAGCACCGCCACGGTCTCCTCTCAGACACTGCCCAGTCCCAACCAGGTGCAGGTGCAGCAGCAGCAGCTGCAGCACATACAGATCGCCGGAAGGGCCACCACCACCGCCTCGGGGGGACTCAGCCAAAGGACACTGACTGCTTTGGCGGCGGCCAAGCAGCAGCAGCAACAACAGCAACAGGCTGCCGTCAATCGACGGCGCTCCACCACCGATGCGACCAAGTAAAGGATGTGGATTGAAGTGGCCAACGACTGAGAACTGAGAGAGCGTTGTGTATTGCTTGATATTATAGTTTATGGTTACCTCCTAACTATCACTACTATCGTACATTGTATACCCATATTACTATATATGTTTTGATGTGTAATCGTAAGTGTAAATTGCATGGGCAACTCAGCCTGGCCCCCCGCTTTTCGGCTCTACCGACTGCGCTTGTGTTAATTGTGACCCCCTGGCAAAAACGAATTAGGTGTAGAAGAGGTCTTAATAATATTTATCTAGTTGTATATACGCATATATATATTGCATACATGTATATGTATGGAAATTGTTTCAACATGTCCCGCGCCCAAAACGCCATTTAAAATACACAAGAAACACCTATCAATTTGGCTCCCAACTCCAATTCGTTAAGTCCTAACACTAGCTCATTAAGCGTGCTAATTTTAAGCTGTAAATCAGGGGAGGAGTCGCCGAAAACAAAAGGAAAGCAATAATATGAGGAGGTAAAATCAACAAAACACGTAAATTAATTGTAAAGAAATTCTAATTATTACGATTACGTTTAGCTAAGTGAGAGAGAGAGCATGTGAACCGGGATGGGGGTTCATTTTAGCAATTACAAATAATCATATTGTACTATTAAAATTATTATTGCTAATTATTTAATCGATTGCTTAGCCTAAGTTCACAAAAAAGAAGTGAAACACACACACACATTTTAGTTTGTAATGTACAATTCGTAGCCTCAACCAATTTAGTACTTCCAATTGCAGAAACATTAAAAAACGGAAAGCAAAATACACAAAAAGTCAAAACTTATTTAAACAATTTATTTGTAATAGCGCAATGTACAATGAAACTAGAGCACCTGGAGCAGATGAAGGTCCTTGGACGAAGGAAATTGCAAACGAGAGTCGAGTAATGTGTAAAAGGAAACGCTTTGACTATACAAATTTGTTTTTCAACTAAGCCAGTTTTTGTAGATGGAAATTATTTATTTAAGTAACGATTTTATTTATGTTACTACTCTGCTGTAATTGTTTAGCATTGTTTGATTCAGCTGTACAACACTAAAACTAAACCTCTTCATTGAGCAACAAGTAAAAACGAAACGAAAGTAAAACACAAATTAACCTCACCATTTACCCGTATTCCCAACCGTACCCTACAAAACACACTCAAGCATAAATTACTCAATGTTAATATTAAATAATAAATGTGATTTAAGAAGAATAAACGAAAAAGAAAACATGGTACTACGTAAACCGAATAATAAATGATTGAAATTGAAAGCATAACGAACTGGGAAAGTGTTACTCAAGCAAAGAACTGGCCAAAAACCTGAGTACGAATTATGATACATACGTGTGGTCTGATCAAATGGTTATTGAAACGTAATTCAAAGATTTATTAATGTAATGCGGAGCAATCTAAGCAGCAGCATAAGATATTTATAATATATATATGTATGTAAACACGACAAACCACTATTAATATAAATGTGTAATTTCAATTCAATAACTGCTTATCAAAATACCTGACTGTAGAAACTTTTCATTAAACTGATTACGAAGAAAGCTCTTGAGAAATACTAAACGAAAATATAAATTACGACAAAAACGAAAATAAGAAATAAAATAATGAAGCGCCGACAAAGTCAAAGCAAAAGCTCCGTTAATTCAATAAAGTGTGAAATTAATTATAAAATCTAAACAGTCTTGTTATTCTAAAAAGAGTTTTGAAATAGGCAGGATTTGATGATACCTTTCCTCCACTGAAAAACATCCGAATAATAGTCAAAAAAACAATACTTTTTTACATAAAAGTAATAATTGTTAAGCATATCTAGTAACAAGTACATTCACAGTTAAATTATTCCCGATTCAGCAGCAGATTGGGATAGAATCGTAGCCCCTCCACCGACTCATCGCGACACAGTTTGCCCAAACGCTCGGCCACCAGCAAACGCTCCTTGGCCAGCAGCAGGGAGATGCCCAGTTGCTTGGCCAGTTCCTCCACAGCCAGCGATTCGGCAGCCTCCACCTTCTCCAGCGTGTCTACGGCTATGAGGCCATCATCATGGGACTCCAATTGTAGCACCCTGGCGCCACTGGGAAAGCTGCGCAGGCGTATGGGACCACTGAGCTGCTCGCAGGCGTGCAGTAAATCTTCAGGGGAAAGCAGTTCCAAGCCACGGGCACGATTCACTCGGCAGTAGACGTCGGCCAGGGACATCATGCCTCCTTGCTCCTAAAAGAGAAAAATCAATAAAATTATAGCCTCAGAAATGCTTATTTACACTGGTCGGCATAATTATTTTGACAGATTTGAATGTTATCAAATGTTGAATGAAAGTCAAACTTCCAACTTTTTTTCTGGGGCTTAAAACAAAAATGTTTTGATGCAAAGTTTTTCCTTAATCAAAATTAATAATAACTGCAAAAAAAAAATTTTCAAAATATTTTTCCTTGTATTTTTTATTGTTTCTTTGAATGGAACGATCTCAGTAAAATTTTTTATGAAAAGGAGGAAAAAGCGGCTAAAATTGTAATTTTTAGCTATTTTCAAAAAATCAAAAAAAAATACAAGGAAAAATATTTTGAAATTTTGTCTACATAAATTGTCTAATTTTGTAATTTTTCAAAAGGGTGCTTAATGGGTTAAGAACATTGTAGTGTCATTTAGACGGAATTAAAGTGCTCTTTCTATAGGTTTCTATTATAAGTACAAAATATGAGTAGATTTAACTTTAAAATCTGTCAAAATAATTATGCCGACCACTGTAAAGTAAGAAACACCCACCTCAATCGGATCTAGCAGCATCTCGCAGATCTGACGGGCTAAACTGCTAAAGTAAGCCGAATTGCTGGTAAAGTTGTCCCTTGTCACGGGATCATCGATGCCCAGGCTCATGAGGTAGGATTTGAAACGCACCGTCTCATCGTCGGATATCTCGCCCTTCTGCTCGCGTATCTTGCTGCTGATCGTCTTGGACACACCCACCATGTCCTTGGCCATGGCCATCAACACGCTGAGATCTTGAAAGGCCAGAGCTATGTTCTCATCGGTGGCCTTGGCCTTGGCCTCCAGATGCCGTTCAATGCCGCCGATGCCCGTCCTTTTCTGGATGCGGGCCAGTCGATCGTTGACAGCCTCCGATGTTGGACTGCTCGCGAGTCGGTTGACGGTGGTCTCGCTGGTCAGGAGGATCTCCCAGACGCGGGCATTCAGCGTTTTCCGCAGGGCACTGTGAAACTCAACGCTCAGGCCATTTTTGCCCGACAACTTGATGTGCGTGGCGCGACTGGTGTCCAGTGGACCAGGTGCCTTATCCGGCGCTGGCGGACGGAGGTGCATGATTATCCGGGTCTTGCGGCCAAAGAAATTAGAGGCAGTCGTCTCCTCGCTTAGCGATATCACATAGCTGAGTGGCAGGCAAAGGGTGACGGCAGCCCGGGCAATTTCTCCAGGACGTCCCCAAAAGAGGCGGTGGGTTGTGAGCACTATTTCGCCCTCTTCGAATTCGGTCTGTAATATTGGGAGTTACTATTTAAGTAGGGTTTTTGATTGGGTTAACTTATTAACCAACCTTTTGGTCACCATCGTAGATTTTCACCTTGTTGTCGCGGCTGACGAAGGTTTCATTGGAACTCAAACGGGCCTCAACGTAGGCGAAGCGATTCATATTTCGGCTATTCTATTATTTTATTTTTGTTGTTGTGACATTGGTTCGAGATGACCTGCTTCGCGTGACTCCTCCTTAGAGATGGTATTTATTTTGTACAGTAGATATTGGTTAAACAAAATTCACTTTAAAAAAAATAAAAATGTTACAACAAACATTTTAAATTTTAAAAAATTGTATTGCGTTTTATCCTTGTAAAATTCCTGTTCGTATTTTAATCCCCTCCAAATCGGTGTTAATGATGAATTATACCTTGCATCTGTGAAACAATTTTTTTTTCCGGAGTGACGGAAAATTTGTTGGAAACAAAAAATGTTGGATTGGCGTGATAGTACCGTTTTATTCTAAGTATTTTGGTATTTGGAACTTTTGAACCGCTAAAATTTCAAACATTTCGGACCTTAAAAGATAAGTGATTTAGGTTTTGGATCTTATAACATCTTTAAGCTTAATGCCAACCATATTTAAATGTTTTTTTTTATATCTTTAAGCTAGTTTGATTCATTTTCTATTATTTCTCTATAGTAAAATGACCACAGTTCATTGCAATCTTCAGCGATATCCAAAGAATCGCGAAAAACGAAAAGTACAGAAATTAATAGCAACCACAGAAATCTTTTCGAATCATGGATAATTGAATTTTTTATTAATATACGTAAGCATTCAAATTACGCTGGTAAACTTATTTCGATCACGACATGACACGAAGAATAAACGGTCCACCGTTAACGCTCCCCCACTAACCAGTGTTGTTAAACGCTCGACCAAAGAGCCACAGCACCGCGATTTTGAGAAACCACCACAAATGCAGCATCGGTCGCGGGAACGTCCACATTGGCCGCAAACATCGAACATATGTTTCAAGTCTCTCTCAACTTTCGACCGCAGCGGAACATCGAGCGCACGAAATCGGAATAATCGCCAGTGAGCCAAACGCCGCGTGTGATCGAAAATCCGGAAAGCCAAGCTAAACAAAATCGAGGGGAAGCTGCGAGGTAACTGAACGCCACCCGCCCCCAGCCACGCCCCGCGGCCGTGTGATAACAAAGATAATGCAATAAAAGGCAATAAAAGCTGCGAGAGAGCCAAGAAACGTGACCCAGGCAAAATTTGTTTGTTTGTCTGCCTCCGCTTGCATATACATATACCGAGTATAAACGTGCGTGAGATTGTGTGTGTGTGAGCAGTCGTCGCGATAGTAGTAGTAGTAACTCAGCAAACAACAACAAATTCGTCTCGCGTTTTTTTACAATAATAATTTAAAAAATTACAAAATTGTATCCCCTATCCCTCCTCTCTCTCTCGCACACACGCACGAATATTACCCCCGGCGCGTTTTTCGTCTGTCTCACTCTCGCAAAGGCGGAAGAGTTAAACAAAAAAAATAGTAAAACAAAAAAAAGAAAATAAAAACCAAAAACTGCCACTGTCGCTGCTCAAAGATTTGTGCATTTTTTAAGGTAAATCAAAGTGAAATGCCATGTTTGCTTAGGATCGGTTTAATTAGTCCGGAAAAGCTAAGCTAAACCCTGGGAAATATCACGTATCCCCGGGCGAATTTCAATTGTCCCGTTTTATTCGCTTTTCATTTGAGCGCTTTTTTTTTTGCTTGTTTGTTGGCTAGCAATTTGAGGTCTCATTATTGTTTGGCCTTAAAAATGTTGTAAATTGTATGAAAAGTCTAGTATTTAGTGATTTTAGTGGATTGTGGGTCTTTGTGTTTTTTTGAGCGGCTTTTTGCGCAGGCAGCGCAGTCGAAAAATCACTCAGAATCGCACTCACATGCGCACACACAGTTACACCACACACGCACACACTTACAATTGTAATACACGGACGCGCCCCGGTCGCGACAGCTAACGGCACTTTTCATGTCCTCTCTCCGCTCTCTCGTTCGTTTTTTTTTCGTGTGCAGCTTCATTTGCCACCAAAAATTTGAAAAGCAAACAAAAGTAATGGCAATTAAAGTACAGTGAAACAATCCGTAATGATATTGTTGAAAAATGTTTTTGTCCTTGCGAAGTTTTACAGAAATTTAATAATATTTTAGATACTCAGTAAAAATTTTGTTTCATATTTTAAAATAGTTGTTTATCATGGGATTCTTATAATAACTGTAAAAGTTAAGAACACCTTTGTTGAAAATCTTGTTGAAAATCAGAAAGTTCTTATTACTAATGACTATAAATCAATTTTTATTATCAGAAATAGTATTAAATTATTAAAATAGTTTTTATAGTTCAGATATAGAAAGATAAACTGAAAAATAAATGTTCTTATTGCTTATCAGAACAAAGAAATCATCTAAAGTAAAATATTTTATGATCAGAATCTATAAATAAAAAACAGAAATAATTGTTTTTTAAATACTAATAAACTTAAGAAAGTTACAACCTTTTTTTTGTTTTATACAATGAATACAAAAGAATTTTTAAATTAATTATTCATAGACAAAGAAACCACCCAACAAATAATGTTTGTTGATTTCTCCTCTCCACTTTTACAGTTCTCCACAATGTCCTCAAATCTCATTTAAATAAGTAAAAAGTGTAATAAGCGACGTGAACAACACGCAGCGAAAGGAATAGCGTTGAATAGAAGCACGCCAAACAGCAACAAATGGCCAACAATTGAATGGCGGCCATCAGTGGCCCCCCAGCGGCATCCATTGAGCAATCAACACCATTTCTCCCACATCAAATCAAGCACCACTACCACCACCACCAGCACCGCCGCCACCTCAGCCACCACCGCCAGAACCACAGTCCAAACCACCACCACCACGGAGCAGCCACATCCACATCCACATCCACAGCCCAACTGAGCCGCAACCACTGAGCTCCATCGCCAGCGAATACCAGAACCGGGTGCAGCTGCTCGAATTATTTGGAAAACCCGCCGCGTAGTCCATCAATGAGCGTTTCGATGTCACTGGTACAGGGTGGTGCTGCCGGTGGTGCGCCACAGGGCGCCAGCGCAATCTTGGCCGCAGCGGCTCCCTACTATCAACCGCCGGCCGTTCCCCAGGATGTCCAGCCGGATCGTCCCATCGGCTATGGAGCATTCGGAGTTGTCTGGTAAGTAACATCTCCAGATCGCGTAATCCAGATTAAAAGCCGAGGGTGTTGCTATGGTGTAGAGCAATTTATAAGGTTATTTTCCGGGTTGTTTTGGTGGGAGTCTGAAGATATTCCGCTGAAATTGGCCAAATGAATGGTAGAACTATGTAGTAAGGGATAGGAAACATATCTTAAAGGATTATTTAGAGCTAAAACCTTGGATTTTATAGAAATAACTATATTTTACTTAAATTTTACATTAAAAATTCAGAAAACATAGAAACTAAATATGAACTATAAATGCATTCTGTATCATTTATAATAAGTATATATAAAACACATGTTTTATACAATACATTCTATTTTACTGATGGTATACCATCATAATAATCATACAAATTTGCCAACAATATGATACAAAACCTGTTTTTCTGTAAAAAACCTAATCTTATTTTCTTTGGCTTGACTTCACAAAATCCTGTTGAAAATAATTAATACTGAGATAAATGTTTGTTGGAAAAACCAGTTATATTCTTAAAGAACTTTTAATTTATTAATTTTATTTCCTGAATAAGTTTCGACGAGGAAATCAAAGTAATCAAAATTCTTTATGACATGTAAGGACTGACAACATTTGTTTCTTTAGGCATTTACAAAGAATGGCTTATTTTCGGGTTCCTATAATCCTTATAAATAGGACATCAGCAAAGGTGTTTTATAAACAATCTACCGGCAAAAGGGTATTTGCAGCATCGGTACCTTTTCGTGCTCCCTTGCCGCTTTGCTATGTGCTTTTTTGTCACGGTCTCGCCGTGGGTTCAGCAACCTTCTGTTTAGGCCTTTGATTCTGTAACCCTTTTGATTGTGTTGCTGCTGTTGCTGTTGATGTTTTGTGCAGCAGGCAACGTCAACATCCTCGTACTCATTTCGATTCAGAACCTCAGTCCCGAGCCCGAGCTATCCTTCATGGTTTTGTGCCTTTGTGCATTTTTCAACGCTGTGGCCCCCTGAGGGTGGATTTTTCCTATAATATAGTATTTCTTACCCTAAGCGCGCTGGCTCTTCCCCTCTCTTTGGCCTTTTTCTATTTGCCCATCTCTCCGTTCCTCGGCCTCCTCTCTTTCTGCCTTTTTTCTATCCCCTTGACTCTTTTGATTTACATTTCTGTGCAAAATATTACATTAATTGTTGCTCAAACGGGGCTAGCTTCAAAAATTTGTTTGTTTTTTCTTCGCTCACTGGAAGAGTAAAAACTACAAATTTAATATAATATAGACAACATAAAATTTACAGATGATGAAAAATATGATATTTAATGTTCTCTATCTTTCTTTGACATAGGACAGCTTTAAATATTAAACGTTCGTGTCGAGTTGAACAAAAGCCATGCGATAAATTCCATCAATTTATTATTTAACGCGACTTCCTATCAATTTATTTGTAGTGTAGCCAGAAGTTTGGCAACGCTGCATTTACAAATTTCATTCACGTGTAAAACGGCATTTCCGGCTATAATCAAAACGCAAAGTGAGGCCAGTTTATCGGGCGGGTTTTTCGAGGAGTGGTGGGGTGGGTGGGGTACGAGTGGTCGGGTCGTCCGCAGGGAAGCCAGTGAAAAACTGGCACACAAGGGGGCCGATGGTTTAGGCACAAGGAAGTGGAAGTCCGAAGACGAGCCACAAGTGGAGAGGAGCCAACAGAAAGACAGGCAAACTCTCTAGAAGCTAGAAGAGGCCCAAGAAGAGGCTCAAGTATATCCCTCGATACCTTCCCTTTGAAGCACCATAAAGCCCCGACGACTCCCTTTGGCCAACTGAAAGTGGAACCCGCAGAATGAAGTCGTTGACGTTTGGATTGGCTTTGCCAAGCAATCAGTACCCACCACTAGTTCTACCAGTTGCAAAATATTAATTTACTGTTGCAGTTAGTTGAGTTTTAAATTATTCAAGGTTTTTAAAAAAAGTTTTAATGGCAGTCTATTTGAAAATATTACATTTTTGAATATAAGATAATTATGGTTGGTTAAAGTTTATGTTTTTGCAAAGTTTAAATAGACCAAACCAAATTGTATAAAGTTATGGGCACATAATTTTCTTGTACTAAAAAAGTTCAAAGTTATGGAAGTTGGACTATATACATATATCTAAAGATCCTGTCCTGCGAATGGGAAGTGAATGGAGAGCGACTGAAACTTAGGCTGGAATGCAATCAAGCGTTAAATTCAAGTGCCAAATGTCGAACTTGTTAGATGCAGCCGGTCAGCCTAGGCTAGGAAATGTGTTTTTGTCGCTTTCTGTTTTTTTTTTTTTTGTTTACGGGTTCTTAGTTAAAGGTGGTGCCTGTTATTGAGGGGCGGTGCGGAAAGCCCGAAAGCAGGTGAAGCGTGGTTTTTCAGGTGCGGAAGGAAGTGCCCCGCGGATGGAGTGGGGCAACGCAAAAAGGTGGCCCAAGTCGTTAAGTAGTTCTTGTTTTGGAGTGAACTTCGGCAACGTGGCCACGTTAAAATAGAAACTTTAACAAAATCCGCTTATAAAAGTTTTTGGGCAACATTAGTTGGTCGTGTTTCTTGGGGAAATTTTCTATTAGTCAAGGTGTTGCAGTGTAGAAATTGTTGTAAAATTAGGAAAATATTAGAATTTTATTACTATGAATCACTGAAAGATGGCTTCCCTGTGCAATTAACTAAACCCCTTTGATTTTAACTGCCTGCCCCTCCCAACCATAAACACTTGAAGTGCTTCTAATAAAAACCGAAATCGATGCTTAGTGCTAGATTACTCAATTTATAATTTGTTTCCCAGAAATGGCACTCTTGGGAAGAAAAAACGACGACGCAAACGAAACAAGAACAACAAACATTTAACCAATTAATCCTAGGCAAAGTTCTACGAAATTTCCCCAATGCAACCGACTCGAAAGAGTCAAGAAACGAAAGAGAATTATATATATGTATGTTTATATAAAGGTATATATTTGTATCCGAACCGTAGTAGGTATGTATGTACGGATGGCGGGCGACTCAGGTTGCGCAGCAGTCGCAGCATAAGAAATATGCTATAAGGTATCCCAAAAGACGAGCGAATGAGCGAAGATCTTTGGGCTTTACTTTAAACTACCTGCAACTGGTTTTGGGAGGTGCGCAGGCAGACGACGAACCGAATGGACGGAATGGACGACTGGACAGCCCGGCAGAAGGTAGGAAAAAGACAGTGTAAACCTTTTGCCTGCATCGACGAAACCCGCTTCCTGCACGAATTGTGGCCGGTGGACTTCTCGACTCAACTCGCCTCGACTCGAGTCGACTATTCGGACCTGGACCTCCAGTGCCTGGCATCCCCAGTGCCTTGGCCCGGTCAGCCTCTTGGCAAGGTGTCTTCGGTCTAGGCTCACTCAGTCACTAACTCACCAACTGACTCTCGGCTTAGCTTAGCCTGTTCCTGTTATTTTTAGGCTCTGAGCCCGGCTTTGGCTTTGTTTTGGCCAGAGTTCCCGGATTCCCAGTTCCCTGTTCCCCGGGCAACAGACTGATTTGGTCAAAAACAATTTAAAACACTTTAATGGCCTTTATGTTTTATTGTTGTATTTACATTGTGATTACTTTGGAACATAAAGTTAATGAAACTAATCAGAGGACCTTTGGTTTTGAAATACTTAAAATTAAAAGTAGTCGATAATAGTTTTATATCGAGGGATTTAAGCCCTGAACACATCATAAATAAAAATTCAGAGTTTTTGGGTTCTTTAAGAAACTTTTTACATAGTTGTCTTTAATTGACCTGTTTTATTGTTGTAGTTACATATGTGATTACTTTTAAGCATAAAGTTTATGAATACTAAAATTAAAATAATAGAAAATTGTTTTGTAACGAGGGATTTATCATCATACATTTTGGTATAGGTATATGAAGTTTTTACAAAGATGTCTTTAATGGCTTTTGTGTTTTATTGTTGTAATTACATTGTAATTACTTTCTCTGAAACTAATCAGAGGATCTTTAAAAGAGTAGAAAATATTTATATAACGAGGGATTTTACAGCCTTACCCCATCATAACTTTTTGTATAGGTTTGGGTCCATTAAACTATCCTTATCTTTAAGAAGCTTTCCACAACATCTAATGCCTAATGAATATTCAAGGGTATTTTAAGACCAAAAACTTTTTGTAAAGTCTGGGCTTTCCCACTCCACAGATTCCCCCATCTGATTTCTATTGGGTCGCAAATCCTGTGCTAATCTCAGCCGGGGAGTTCAGTTTCCGCATGGTATGTGTGTACCTTTTGGGCCGCCGCGTCCAACCACCGAAAAAGATGTGTGTGCGAAAGGCCAAAAACGAAAGCAGTGCACATGCATAGTTTTATTTACGATTCTCCTCATTCCTTCTCGCTAACAATACCCACTGTTATATGCCATCCACTCTTTTTGGAACAGCTGCTCTCGGCTGATTTTGATGCCCTGATCCTGATGCTGATTCGGTTGTGCCCCTTCCATTTAGAAATTCCCTATCCTGTTTTTGGTCTTTTGCTGCTGCTGCGGTGGTTGGTTGAACAACCTTCGCCCGTTTTTCAGTTATTTTGTCTGGCAAACTCACACATGTGCACACGGCCAGACATTTACAGGA